GTAACTATGCTTGTTCAAAATCAAGGCATGACTAGGATGGTTGGGCTAATACTTTAATAATTCGGTTGCTAAGCAAGTAGCTAGAAGATCGGAGCTGAGGTTGCAGGTCTTTCCCAAAGGTGCTGGGAAAGGCTCGGATACAATCTTGCTTTGCGAATGGCTGGGGGACCTGCTCTCTGAAGAGGGAGCATCTGCAAATGTTGATTCTCGATCTTTCGCAAAGGATGTTTGTGTTGTAAGTACTTAAGATTTATCCCTAGCTTTAATAGAAATCAGGCTCAATCCATTTTATAATCGCTAACATATATCATGCATAGCCCTATATGCCCTGTCGGTTTGTGTCATCCCTATTCCAAAATTCATCTATAGATGGTTCTGTGCTCAGCTCGATCGGCTATAGGCTGTGGGCGACAGAGGGCTTATCGAGCTCCTCCAATGGACATTCGTGAACATTAATGCCTACTTCCGTGGACTCTATGCCCATGCTATGTGGATCCCGAGAGCAGATGCCGCCAAGATTGCAAACCACGGGTGGAATATGTGTGCACTTCTGCTACAATTATATCATGCATGATCCTATAGATTATCTGGTTCCAGTAGTCCACCCTGAACTTAGGAAGGAGTCGGTGCCCTGACATTCCACACAGCTCAGCGAAAATGGCGTCTGTTCAAAGTCAGGCCGAAGGTGCACATGATGCTGCACATAGTGATCCTTGGCTACCTTGCATGTTATCCATTTCTTGAACAAGTCCTGTCCATGAATTACTATCATCAGTGGCAATACCTGCCATGTGCACACATATCAGGCGCGATCTGGATGTTCAAGTTCAAAGAAATCTTCCCATGGTGTGGAACACGCGCTGCTTCTTGTATGATGCTGCAGTATCGGGTTGTTGATGCCAATGTGGGTTTTCAAAGCATGGCCCCTGTGTCAGAACAGATACATAGAAATCGAGAAGTGCTATGATCAACTTAGGTATGAACTGTTGGCAAGATGAAGACTTTATCGGTCGTGTCAGCAGAATCTCGAGGAGGTGCTCAAATGCTACATGTGCTATCCGCACCATACGACTTTCGCTCTTACTCTATCAAAAGCAATGGAAGAGAGAGTTTGGATGAAGCCGATGCCGAGCCCCTGGCGTGCAAAAGAATCGTCTCGAGCTTCTGCTGGTGCACGACCAGCAGCAAGTAGGGCTTCGGAGATAGTGTAGCATAGAACTAGCGACAGGTTCAGTGCTATTCACATTATTCGTTGTGACCCTACATTATCATCCAAATCCCTTAGGCTTATGCCTGTTCCCAAGCATCACGCGCGGAAAAAAACATCCCGAATGTTTTTCCTCATCTTATGGAGTCACACACGGAAATCCAAGCACACGGAAATAAATGTATGAACGGATGCTCTAGGAAACCCCTAAACCGAAGCATTACACGCTAGACCGCCAGACGCTAAATCTTACACCCTAAACTGCGTAAGCCCTGAAGGCTGCGCCCAAAACTCAGAAGTATCAGCTGTCACAGGACGGTTTCTCTAAACTTAAACCCCAAACCCAGTCCCCCAAACCCTAAACCCTACGGTCCTTCCTATACCTGAAACCCTAAACTACTATTTGCTTAAGAACCCCCAAAAAATAAAAAATATATTCCTTATAGGGATAATATAGGGATTATTATTTTTATTTTTTGGGGGGTTCTTAAGCAAATATTAGCTAAACCCCAAAGGCCCAAATCTGGTCTCCCGCCCAAAGCACATCTTGTCAATGCACTGCGCATGCGCCAAAAGCAAAAGCTCCCGCTGGAAAAACTGGGGGCGGTGTTTGGGGTTTGGGGTTTTAGGTTTAGGGTTTTGGGTTTAGGGCTTTGGGTTTAGGGGTTTAGGGTTTGGGTGTCCATTACACGTGTTTTCCTTCGGCATGGTACTGTGATTACATATTAAATACTACAACTATATGGATGCCAGTCATTACCCGACTCTTATAATTGTAAGATTTTATGTATCAATATCTATCTATCTACCTCCCTAACTATGTGTGTATATATATATATATATGTATGCACACGTATTCGTTTTGTGCATATATGATATATATATATATATATATATATGTATATACACACACACACACTTAAGGGTCATTAGGCTCTCGGGGCAAAAGGCCCGAAACCCTAGATGACCAAACGCACCCTCAACAACCTACCGGTGTTTAAGGCATATAAGAAGAAACCACAATTCTAACCCTGAGGTTGCGTTTGTGTTTAGAGTTCCGCTAGACGGATGAATCCCTCCCGTTTGGGATTTAGGGTTCAGGGTTGCGGCGTTTACGTTTAGGGTCTGCCTGTAGACCATCTGAGGAACACAAAACCCCAAAGGGTCCTAGGTACTGTTATGGGGGTTACTTCCCCAAATCATAATAGTAATTCATAATATAGAAACCCTACATTCTACTATATCAGTGATTTGGACCCTCTGGGAACAGGAACGAAACACTTAATCCGAACCGCTCCAAGTCTGTTACCGCTGCTAGATGCCCATAAGGTTCCAGATTTCTCATCATGTAGAAGCTGCCCCCACCCTGTAATAGTGACTATAAGGATTATATTAGGGCCGCATTATATTGCTATCATACCACTATTGCAGGGTGGGGGCCCCTTCTAATGTTGGAGCCTGATGAATTAAAGGGGTCTATGCGGGCTACTACAACGGGTCGAGGAACCATTGGGCCATTATTAGTTTTCCCTATATGAACTTTACTATTTTGGGCTATATATAGGTCCAGGGTTTCTTCATCACATACCCACGTTAGAGCGCAGTACCCGTCGTCAAGTAACCCGAGACACTGGGCCTTAACCGTTACAGAGTTCATTTCATTCTTTCACACGGCATCAACCGAGTCCTGAACCCTGCACCTTCATGCAGTATTGGGCGCTCTAGCTTACGCACTGAAGCATCGACTCGAACAAACACACTGATCGGGGCATTCAGGATGTTGTCGATGTGCGGGGGGGGGGGGGGCGGGCTGTAACTTTCTCATTGGCTTTGGCTTCGCCCCCAAAACTGCAACAAGCGGCTATGGCGAGCGTGGCTAGCAGCTGTAACAATGATGCAAGCAATATTTGCAACTCAGAGAAGCCTCTACACCCTGAGCCCAAAACCCTAAACCCCTAACCCCTAAACCCCTAAACCCTAAACTCCTAACCCTAAATCCAAATCCCTAAACCCCTGACCCTAAACCCTAAACCCCTAATCCCTAAACCCCTAAACCCTAACCCGAATCCCTAAACCCAAATCCCCAAATAACCACGTTCTTTCGTCGGCTCAGAGTCAAGGGTATCAAAGGCAACTCCAGAAAGTTGGAATATGGATTCAGGGTAGGATACCTTATAATTTACCATAGAAGGGTCTAGGATAGTCATATTCCAACTTTCTGGCTTTTACTGTATACAGAACTATACTGAACTTTGAACCCTAGCAAAAACTAGAACTTTAGCTGTTTCTTAGGGATTATAATAAGCAAAAATTAAAGAACTATACTGAACTTTGAACCCTAGCAAAGATTATAATTTTAGCTGTTTCTTAGGGGTTATAATAACAAAAAATAAAGATTATTTCCAAGTACCCCTAAGAGAAGGCTGCAGCACAACAGACAAACCGAAGCCCCTGCACGCAGCCATGGCCCAAAAGGTCACGAGGATTTTGGAATTACATCTCAGTCGGGGTTTCAAGTAATCGCAAGAAGCTTGTCACAAAGGTAAGCTTGCGGATCACCCAGATTCACGGCGGAATCTTTTGCAAAAGAATCGCTGGGTGGATGGAAGTTGCCTTGACGGAATTCTCGCATCCGACAAAGAGAATGGCCCCCTGTCAGACCCAAAAACGAACACGGGGGTTTCATGTTACTTAAGTTTCAATTTGAACAAAAGAAAAAGGTCCCTGAACCCTGAGCCACTTCTCCTGGTGAAGACTTGTATGCCTAAATATTAGGTCTAGGCTCGAAGCCTACCAGAAAAAAGGGCCTGACATCTCAGGGGCAGAACTGGCATGCTGAACCATTTCATGGCTGCATAGGATTTTGGCCGATCTACCGGCGATTTGGCAGAAGTCCCAGCTCGGCGGCAGCCTAAACCCTAAACCCTAAAGCCTAAATCTTAAACCCTAAACTTTGTAACGAAAGAGGTGCCATTGAATCTTCCGGTGAAAGCGCACATCTCCCACAGCTGTGACCCTAAATCATGGCTTTTGAGTTTAGGGTCTGGGACTTTGTGGCTAGGGCAGGCCGGGTTTGGGGGTTCAGGGCTTTGGCTTTAGAGTTTGAGTCTTCAGTCGGGATTGCGATGAGTAGAGTTTGATCGGGCCTGGTTTGCATAGAATGTGGTGCCTTGCTGAAAGCTCACAGAGTCACCTCACAGAGCTGCGAGCCCGGCAGTTCGTAGAGTGCACACAGAGATTTCGGAGCAGGGCTTTGAAGTGGTGAGTCCTTAGGGTTTGGGCTTCTCGGAGACTCCAATATCCCTTAATCCAGGAATCTTCCTTCAATTATAGTAGGATCCCGAAAATGATTTAAGGAATACTCCTTAATTAAGGGATATTGGAGTCTTAGGGTTTAGGGTTCATGACGGAGGTCCAACTGAAGGAGAGCCGACCCCATCCCCGGCTTGGTCCTTGATGGAGTGCGTGCAAAAGGCCTATAATGTAGGAACCTGAGTAAGAAACCCCGGGCCTATAACACCAGAAAAGTAGGACTCATTTAAGGAACCCCAATAAAGGCCCAAGGTTTCTTAATCAGGTACATACAGTGTATACATGTTTACAATTCTTTTTCTGTCGTTGCAGCTAGATTTGAACATCCAAACTCTACCAGATCAAGGAGAATGTGAAAGAAAGCCCAAACTGTGGATGACCGCCGTGCCGGCAAGCAAGCTTCAAGATTGGCTGAGAGAAGTCCGTTTCTGTTGCCATACCTACGAAAGGACCGTTCTGCCACCTCTGTGCTGGGACTTTTTTATTGAAACCGTCGCCGGAAAACCGTGCTAATGCAAGATTGAATTGCTGTCACAGCACCTGTCCAGGGAGTAGGCTCGGACTCAATCTTGACATGAAGGGTCTCCTGACTGCATTTGAGCTTTGTTGTAGTCTCTCTCTCTCTCTCTCTGTCTCTCTCTGTCTCTCTCAAGCCTGAACTTCGAAAGCCAGAAACGCTCAACCACAAAACCGAAGCGCACACAAGTTCATAATCTCGAAACCACTCCGAACCGCTGGACGGCCCACCCCAAAACTGCTGCGACGTCTCGAGGAGCTCGAGCCAGAGTCCACCAAAACCCTAAACCCTAATCCTCAAATTCAACAATAATAGGTAGCCATCACAGCACATACAGCAGGGGTGTTTCGGGTTCCGAAGGATTCTATGCTTTAGGCTTTAGGGTTTCGGTTTTGCAGTTGGCTAGGAGAGTCTATTCGCAGGGTCCCAGTTGAACTGCTCCCTCCCGACACCCAAGAGCATCCTAATTTGCATTAAAGCATTTCAACTCCATGAGCTTTGAAGTCTAGTGTATAGGGGCCTTACCAATTAGAAGTTACAACAGAAGTTCTAAGGAGTCGCATGGGCCATTAGTCAGGCTTCTATATTACAAGGGCTTCATATGGGGGTTAGAAAAACGGTTTTGCACATGCCCATATATCCAACTAGCTAATGTTGACTGAAACAACGTAGCATAGCCATGCAATGTCCTTGTCGTTGATCTCCATGTTTTCTTCCTCCTGGCCATCATCATCGGCGGCGAACTGCTCTTGTATCACCAGCCACTCCTGTTTGCCGATCATTGAGGAAATGGGCTTGCACCCAAACCCTCAAACCCATACCTTGAACTCTAAACTCTGTGATACAGGGGTCTGAAGCACTAGCATCCGCTTCAGGCTTTTTTCGGCGATGACAATGTCTGCATAAACCAAAACGCAACTAATCCACAAAGGACTCTTCAACCCTACTAGGATAGAACTAAGACTAAGATGCTTCTAAGAGAATCCGGGTCAGGGTTCATACAACCCCACATACATGCAGCTAACTGAATCCACGGATCCTTTACAGCGAACATGCTCCATGCTGCTACCTTCACCCGTAACAATGAAACCCATGAGCCGTTTAGGGTTTGCGGTTTAGCCCAAAGCCCAAAGCCCCCAAATCCTAGCCCTGAATCCTTGATTCCCGCAGCCCTACACCTAACCCCTAATATCTAAACCAGAACTCGAGTAGGGTTTCGGGGTCTAGTTTACAGTAATCCTGACTGGAACCCTGAGGACTAGTAACTGTAACTTGTAACCAGCCAAGCTGATATTATACTAAGCTCAAAACACTCACCTAAAACCCTCAGCCCTAAAAACCTAAATCCCCAAATCCACAAACACTACAGGCCCTAAACCCTAAAACCCAAAATCCCTAAATCCTTAATCTCTGTAGGCCCAGAAACCCTGCTGGCCCTATAAATCCTAAACCCCCCAAAAAAAACCTCGGGTCGTTTTCTAGGGTCATCAATAGCGCCTTAAAAAATAAGGGTACTCCTTTTTCCTACTATTCTGCTTTAATGGTTCCTGAATGGGCTCTGTTATGGATCCTTAGAGGGTTCATAAGGGATTGATCGGGGTTCAGGGTTTAGAGTGTAAGGAGGAGATCCCAAAATAAAAAAAAATTAAGGGCACTACTCAGGAACCTAGTCTTGCTGAGGCTCATTGAGCTCGCGCAGGTTGCTAGGCATCGCCATGAACTTGACCTCGACTTGTCTCGGGTTTAAGGTTTACGGGTTTAGGGTTTACATTTTGGGGTTTAGGGTTTGCGGGTTTGGGGTTTAGGATTTGCGGGTGTAGTAGGGTTTACGGGTTTAGGCTTGACTTGCTCCAAGATTTGGCTTTGAGTCTGTTAGACCAAATCACGGACCAGGAGTAGTAACCCTGAACCACGAAGCCTCGAAAGCTCTGGAATCTTCAAATTGAGGGTTCAGGATTTACGGCTTAAGGATCTTAGCACAAGCAGCAAAGGCGGACTCGTGGATTTGGGTGATGACCCGCACAACACAAGTCCAAATCCCAATGGAAATTGAGTACAGTGTGGGTTTACGGCTCAGAATTCAGGGTTTATGGTGGGAAGCGGTGGGTGCGCAAGCAACCTGAGGGCGTTTCCTCCCGAGGGAACGCGACTAAACATGACACGCTGTTAGACAGGCAGCCGTCTCTACAAGGGCCCCTAGTCTCCATTTGTATGTTAGCTACTCTAGGGGCCTTAATAGTTAGAATAGGGATTGGGGGTATGTTATATTAGAAAACAATCAGGACCTCCAAGAGAGCACAGGTCATTTTTTCAGGCCCTTACATGAGATATTAGAAGCCCCTAAACCCTGCATTCCAAGCTCCTGAAAAATTCAATTGCTCAGGGGCTGGGACTTGGCATTCCACTATACTACCTATACCCCAGAACACCTTATAAAACTAGCCAAAGATAGTCGTAAAGATTCAGTAGTGATCTGTAAGCCCTGGACCCCATTTAGTCAAGCGTTGCCGTCATAATGAACAACCCAGACAGCTGTGCCTGAACCCGCTGAGACAACGGTATGTTCGGTGTGCGAAAGACGACTGGCTGTTCTGCATAGTGGTACCATCTAATTAATTAGTTTCTTTGACGGTATGGCCATGCTGCTTCTTATTACTGCGCTTTCTTGATCACAACCAATGTGAAGCAATGAGAACACCAGCCTGAAATAGGAGTGCTAACAGCTGTGCCATCGACAAGGACAGCCGGACCATAGTAGGATTGACCAGCAAGACATTCAAAGAACATCAACCATACTAAGTGTGTAGAAGATAGTCACAACAAGACCCCTAAACGCCAAACCTCTAAACTCTAAACCACAAAGATCCCCAAACCCTAAACCCTAAATACACTAAATTCCTGAAGACCCTTAAAAAAACCCTTAAGCCTAAACCCTTTACAAACCACTCTACTCTAAGAGCCCCAAACCCTAAACTCTCTTCAAGCGAGGTGGCTGACCTCTGAACCCCTCCTAAAAGCTAAACTTTTAGCCTCCATTACTATAGTTCATATGGAAACCCAAAAAAGGTAAGAGTCCTAAGAGCCAACCAGAAGAACGTCAAGGTAATTCAAGCGAGGTGCTGCAAAGGACACCCAGGTGCATTTCAAAGCCCAGCTCTGGGTAAGGCGCCCAAGGAAGCTAGGGCTCTGAGTCTCGCGATTCATTGCCCTGAGGACTTGGGGCTTTTTAGGGTCTTTAGGGTTTAGGGATTTCGGGTATTTAGGGCATTTAGGGTATTTAGGGTATTTAGGGTTTGGGGTATTCGGGTTTAGGGATGGGGTTGAGGGCGCAGCTTTTAAGGTTTGGGGTTCTGGATGGTTTGGGGCTGAGTTTTTTTTAAGTTGAGTTGACTTTTACGTCTGCCCGCGGTCGGCTCTCAACTACATCCAGAACTTCACGCTTGGGAGGGTTTAGGGTTTAGGATTAAGGGTTTGTTTTATCTCAAAGGGTAAAAGGAGGGACCCTTAATAAGGACCCCTAGGTATATACCCTTTAATATAGCAAGTATATATACTCATTATATAGCCCATGATGGGGTAGGGGTCCGCATTAAGGGTCCCTCCTTTTCCCCTTTGAATGATCCGGACGCCGAGGCCAAAACCCTAACAACCCTAAGCACATCTGTCTGACAAAGGTCTGCCGCACCTATGCCCCCCTTAGAACCATAGTAGAAACTGTACTAGGATACCCAGTAACCTAAGAATAAAAAGGCCTCTCTTTTTGGTATTGGGTAACTTTATAAGGAACCTAGGACTACAAAAAGGGAATAAGGGTACTACTGGGCATCCTAGTATATGTTAAATCGTCTCTTGGGTTTGATTATAAACAAAAGAATCATTCCCAAGGGGACTATAGTCCTGAAGGAAGCACAGGGACCTGCATGTCATTCCCACGCGTCCCAGCTCATGGAGGTCCAGCCCGTCCGACAACACCTCCACCTGGGAGTTTCCGACTTAGTTGCTGAGTTCATAAGCTCCGGAAGGTGCACACTTTCTGTTTTATAGTGGGTAATATTATCCCAAAAAGTGTACAGTGTATCCACTCAGCTACCAAGTTCGAAAATAGGGGACCCCAATATAGTACCCTACATAGTAGGATCCTTAAAATGAAAAGGGCAAAAGGCTACTACGATAGTATGGTACCCGAAATAGTAGGATAGTAAAGTATCCTGAATGATAGGATCCTTAAAAATGAAAAGGGCAAAAAGGTGTACTACTCAGGAACCTAGCCACTAGCCAAGACACATCGGCCTTGAGAACAGCCGGTACCTGCATCCAGGAAGCCCCGCAACGGGCCTGTTTAAGGGGTCTATATGGGAGTTTCCGAAAACGGGGGACCCTAATATAGTACTTCTAATAGTAGGATCCTCATTTTTCGGAGCCCGAAATAGGTACCTGTAATTTTCAGAAACTCCTATATCGGGATTACACCCGCAACTGAGTTTACTTGTGAACCTAGAAATACAGTTTTGGCACTTTCAAAGTCGGACTATTTCCCACAAGTGTGCTTCCAAAGATTCGGGTGGAGAGCTTATGTTTGAACTTCGGGGCTTTGACTGCATGGCCTTGAGGCTCGAGGGGGATTCAGGTCTTAGAGCTTGAGTTTAGGGTTCAGCGTTTAGCGAAGGTGCAACTGGAAGAGCGCACCAAAGAATTGGTGATGCATCCCCCCCTGCAGGGCACCGCCCCGCAGATGCCCAAGGGTGATACGAAGCTGGCTCCAGTGTGTGACACCTGCCTTAAAGCCTCCTTGCCAAGGCCTGACCAATGATGCAATTACGAGGGTAGCATTTTACTCCGAGGCGGCACGGATGCTCCGGTGATCGTTTGCATCGGCAGAAGATGTGATTACATCGGCCGGCATGGATGCTCTGGTAATTGCATGCGATGACAATGTTCGCTGCAGCAAGAAGCCACAGCCCCTTGAAAGACCTTCCATCGTCAGTGTGTGCTTCGATGCAGGATGAAGGGATCAGGAACTCAAGAAGTGGGGCACTTTATGGGAGTGCTACCCAGCGCCAGGTTCTGGGGTTTAGGTCCAGGGTTCAGGGTTTGTGGGCACCTGGCAAAAATGGGAAAAAGCCGCCTCATGCGTCCGTGCTTCTTTGGCATCCGGGATGGCTTGGTCACTGTATGGCAGAGCCATAGCGGGTCGCAAGCACATGATCATGACAAAGGCTTCCCGAACTGAGCACTTGACGTTCCTGCAAGCCGAAATCCAAGCGGCGGTCAGAGAGCGAGGTACCCAGAGGCTCCAAAGTAGTTCCTTTTTGGGAATACCTTATAGGATTCTAAATATGCACCCTAAAAAGGAACTACTATGGAGCCTTAGGGTAGCTTCAACCATGAGTGTCTGGGAACCACGAGGGAACAAGCGCCGGCATCTCCTTCCTAGCACCCGTGCAAATGCAAACTCTTGTTGGATCTAGGTGCAGCTGCAACTGCTGGCTTGTGGCTTGTGGAGGCTCTCCCCAGCATACTGTACCAAACCCGCCATGCCGAAACCACTGCATGCTGATAGCTGATTCTTGAACAATCGTTCCTTTGTACCATATAGCGTTGCATGCTGTTGTTGCTGCTGCCAGTCTTGTTGCGCTCGTCGCAGTCGTGGTTGTGGGCGCGCCCAGACCGCGGCCCACAAGAGCATGAGAGGCTTTCGGAGAATGCTCCACGGTACAGGGCTTGTGGCGTATCATGGCGTATCTACAGCGCGAACGAACCACCTGAAAGACTCAGGCACTCACACACGCATCGAAACAAGGATTCTACGATGTCTGGTGGCGAGGATCTCGGCCTTTCTCTGCAATCGCAAGTCCAGCATCGTTGGCAGTCATGGTATTGAAGGTTACATGCAGGATGGATCGCGAAGAAGTGTCTGAAAGCTAAATCTTGTTTAAAGGATCACGGGTGTTAGTAGCTAGAGTTATCAATAAGGTAATCATGTAGACATGACTGCTTATGACCCTCCAAGAGGTCGTTTCCTAAACGAAGGCCGTCCCCGGCAACACATTGCAATACCGTAGAGTTTAGGGCTTTGGGGAGGTAGGGTTTAGGGTTCCTTTAGAGGGTTCCTCAAAAAGGGTCTATAAGCTACTATAACACGGCCTTAATAGTTGGAATAGGGTTTGGGTGCCCATTATACCAGAAAAAAAGGAGCCCCCCAAAAAGGGTAGGTAATGAACAAGGCCCCTACATTAGGGTTTAGGGTTTCATCGGCTGTATTATCTCATTATGTCAATCAAAGATATGACTTGGCTTTGATGTAGAAGTTCAACTGCGTGAAAAGCTTATTATTCCCATGATACATCACAGAACCGCACAAAACCAGCGGTTGACACTTGCGTAAGGTGACAATAACACACAAACTGGGACGGATGCTGGTACATTCAGAACAATTTGAGCGATTTCTTTATGGAGGGTTGATTGAAGCATTTCGCACCTCGAGAATCACAGGCTGCGAAGTTCGAACATGTGGAATTTGTGCTAGCGCGCATGGAGACTCGAAACCTACCTGAACGCCAACAACGACGACGAAGACGACGACGATGATGACGACCACGACGACCACCACTCCTACTGCTACTCCCACTACTACTCCACCCTACCGCTACTGCTACTGCCACTGCTACGGATGTCACCAGCACTACGACACTAGAGCTGTCGATGGTGGCGGTTGGCGGCACGAGTGCTGCTGCTGCTCCTGTGCCTCCTGCTGCATCTCTCCGTAGCTGCAGCGCTTGCTTTGGCTGTGCAAAGTTCAATCTGAGAGCCCGCGTTCCTTCCAAAAGCAAAGAAGTGCTGCCTTCGACCAATCCGCCTACAGCCAAGGTATGAAAAGGGTGCCTTTTGCAATTTAAAGGGCCTACATATACATATATACATACATATATATATATATATATACATGTATATATATATATATATATATATATAGTTGTATATGTGTGTGTATATATATATATATATGTATATATACACATATACATGCATACATTACAGGCCGTGTCTCGGGTTGAGCCGGCATTTTGTTTCCTATGTGGGGCTACGGACCGCTGAGGGCCGAGTACTTCCTACAATCCCAGACCGTGCCACAAGGTTGCTAAATCACGCGGAAACATGCTGAAGCAAAGGATATCAGCTTCATGGTACGGTTCTCGTTTTACATCGTTGGGATGTCTAGCTTGAACTTCCAAAACCAAGTCTAGGGTGAAGGGTCCCGATAAATTCTGTATTTGGCGATAGACAAGGAAACTACAGACAGGTAGGTTGCGGTAGTTTAGGGAACATCTTGAACGGTTCGCGGTCCATCCTTGGCCTCAGCAAAAGGCGGCCACATGAATTTCTCCACGAATGCCCGAACCCGTAATGCTTGATCTTCGGGTTTAGGGTAGGGTTTAGGGTTTAGGGCTTGGTTTCCGATAAATTTGACTGACCTCCTGCGACTGAGGAAACTAACACCCAACACCTGCACACATGCAAGTTCCAGATCCGAGGATCAAAAGGCCCTAAACCCTGAAACTGTAAACCCTAGTTCCCAGAGAGCCCAATACCCCTTAACTAAGGTCTATACCTTAACTCAGAAGATTAAGGCGATGCTTCAGAAAATAAGATCTACCTCGGCTCCTATACTTTCAGTATTCGGGTTTACTTGGTTTTGGTAGTTCAAGGTATGACCCCAAAAGCTGTCCGTCCTTGAAGCGCGATAACATTTTGAAGCTTATGAACTCTAAACCCCCGAAATGCCGTAAAACAGCCCAAAGTCCGGCACTGGTCATCGGACCACTATGCTGTGGGGCTCCACGATCCTACTGGGGCTCTGATGCTCTAAACCCTGACACCCTAAACCCTATCTCCCAAAATCCCTAACCCCTAAATCCTGTCTGCCTTGAGCCCTATGGTTGAAACCCTAAACCCTGAATCCTCATCCCTACAGCCTAAACCCGCAACCCTAGAACCCTAAAGCCTACAACCCCAAATTGCATCTGCCCTACCGCGGTGTCAGCTCCCGCCCAGAACTTCCGATCCGCTTGTCAAGTCGCTGTGCTGGCTGCGGTAGCCTCGGGTTTTGGGGTTTGGGGGGAAGGGCTTAGGGTTTAGGGTTTTGGATTTAGGCTTTTGAATTTAGGGTTTAGGGCTTAAGGGTCTAGGGTTTAGGGGTTTAGGGTTGGCTCCTTTCCGAGTTCGGGCTTGAGAGTTGTTGGGGTTCCTTGAAGGTTACTTTACGGGTTTCTTTCAAGGCTCCCACAAGCGGTTTGTTTGTATTTTTACAGATTTGGTATGGTGGTCTGCCACGAATGCATACACCCTGAACCCTGTAGAGTTTAGCGTCCTGGTTTAGGGTACTCTGAACTCTGAACCCTCAGCCACAGTCGCGGAAACTCTCATCTAAACCCACACCCCCAGCTCCCACAGAACGAATCTCTCTAATGCCTTGCAGCAGTGCGTTGAATTCTCGCAAAAACCCTCCGGCATAGTACTAAAGCTTGAAGCAGTTGACGGAGTCAGGGCTCAGGGTTGAGGCAACAACACACCTTTATTCCTGTACATGTTCTTGAGGGTGTCGGTGCCGAGTACTGTGCTTCAGGGATCAGGCGGGTGGTTAGGTCTTGCAGTTGTTGGTGGTAGATTCTTCTTTGAGAAATCGTTCTCGTCAAGGGTGTCCACACTAGACGCCCAACCATTCTGACAGCCAAAAACACTCAACAGCCTCAAGGACCTACAAGCATATAAACCCCAGGGTTTCAAGATGTCCGACACAGTCTCTTCTGACTCATGGCAAAGCATATTCTGGAGCATCAGAAAACACTAAACCCTAAACTATCTCTACGACAAGACCCTTAACTCCCAAGCTTAAAACCCTTGACACCCACTCCCAAGCCTCAAGCCTCCAGCCTAAAGCCTAAACACCATCCTCCCCGAAAGCCTGCAAGAAGCTCAGAACTCAAACCACCCCCGTTCGGAAAACTTCGGTTTAGGGTCCAGTGTTTTAGTAATAGGCTTCAGATGTAAGGTTGAACGCGTGAGGCCTCTGCACCTTTGCAGTTCACTTTGAAATTGCCTGCAAACTGTATACATATCTTGGTAATCCAACCCTCCAGCAGCTTTAACCAGTCTCTTCCCGCCATACAGAGATGTAGACCTGGGCCCAAACCACAATATCAGCCCACCAGCAACCTCCCATCCGAACTCGATATCGACCCAACTCTCAAAATGTCAGCCTAGCGGCTTAAGGTTTAGGAGTCTAGGAGTTTAGGAGATTTAGGTCTCTTTTTGAAAGGTCTTTAAGCGTTTGGGTTTAGGGTTTAGTGGATTTAGGGTTTGGGTTTGAGGTGTAGGACTCAGGGCCAGATCATGGACGCAGAGCTTTCGGATTCAGAAGCTCGGACGTTAGGCGCGCAGCCCCACGCTTGAGTACCCTGTATATAGACCCTGCCTGGACCTAAAGGAACCTACTTTGTTAGGCTTCCCGAATACAATTTCTTTACAAAAGTCCTGCGAGTTGGGGTTAAGGTAAGCTTTAGAGCGCTGACTAATTCGATGTGCTGCGAGGAACGGGGTACTATTGCTAATGATTTCGAAATCTATGGTAAACGATACACCCCAAACACTAGACCCTGAATCCCCACACCCTAAATCCCTAAACCCTAAATCATAAACCCTAAACCCCTGAACCCCGAGCCAACCCGAAAAGCCCACCTGCTGTTGCAGTAGATGGCTTCGAAGCGTTATCCGGCTTCAAGCCTGAAGCGCAAGGATTTTGGGTCCTCTGTCTGGTTCTTAGTAGGGATACTGGGGACGACTATTGGGGGATTATATCGGGGCTACTATAGGGATCCACTCCCCCGTTCCCTACTGAGCAGCAGGGAGTTTTTCGGGGCAATTAGAGGGGCTTAGTTTGTTTGGGGTTTTAGGGTTGTGCTGCGGGCCTGCCGATAAACCCTAAACCCTAAATCACAGGAACAAAATCCCTAAACTCTAGACTGCAGGGTATAGCCGTAGGGTTCAGGGGTCAGGAACATCAGGGGTCCGACTCGGCAATGATTAGGTGTTAGAGTTTCGGGCAGCAGTAGCTATGGGTTGCTGACTTTCTCGGTGGGTCTAATGGGGCTTTCCGAAAATGGGGGACCCTAATATAGTACCCTAAATAGTAAGATCCTTATTATAAGGACCGCAAAATGAGGTACCCCTATTTTCGGAAACTCCCAAATCAGCATGGGGTATGTAGCCATTTAGACCGCGACTGTGGCTTCTCACGTATGGGAGTTTGTCAAAATTAGGGGTACCTTCTTTGGGGGCCTTATAAAAAGGATCCTACTATTTAGGGTACTATATTAGGGTCCCCTATTTTCGGAAACCCCCATATTGAAGTGCGAAGAATTTGAAAGGACGGCATCAGCCATAGAACTGTACATCTATGCTGGAGGCCATTCATTCGTCTTTGAAAATGTGAGTCACGATATTTTGGGTAAATGCTTTGGGTTTGATGATTGAGGCTCTGGGCTCCTGCCGAGGAGCTTAAGTTAAGGTATCTATAGTAAGTAAGATGGTTTCTGTACTAAGGCGACTTAAAGTAAACCCTAAACCCTAAACCCTTGAACAAGAATCCAGGGTTTGAGGGTCTCTTTTAGTGGCGGAATCCCAGACGACCTCGCGTTTCAAGATGCCGGCATCTACAGTAAGGGACATTACCTTAAAATCAGATTAGGGGGTTTAGGGTTTAGGGTTAGTTAAGGGATATTGGAACCTCTGGGTACGAATGTATGATGTGATCTTGTAATGCAGTAAAAGCTACGAAACATCCGTGCTTCTGAACCAGTTTTTAAGGTTCGCCGCTGGACCAAGTCTACTTCAAAACTATACTGAACTTAGAACCCTACCAAAAAATACAATTTTAGCGGTTTCTTAGGGATTATATTAACCAAAAATTAAGAACTATTTCTAAGTACCCCTAAGAAAACCTGAAACGAACTCAACTATCTACCAACGCCCAGATCTGGGTTTCCCGACCGTATCAAGAAACATAGACTACACAGATTGAGGGGGAGGCGCACCATATATATATATATATATATGTATATATATATGTGTGTATGTATATATATATATATATATATATATATATATAATACAATGTATACGCCATACATGAAAATACACATATACATATACATATATGTATACGTATATGCATACATATACATATACGTATACATATACAAATACAGGTTCAAGGTTACCTCCACTCTGCAAGAAGCTCTCCGGGTCGTGGGCTCATGATTCGAACTCGACCATCCGTTCCACCCATGGCCTCACTCGATGCAGCTGGGTTTGGGATCGTGGTGTTCAGGGGTTTAGGGCTTAGGGTTGAGGGATTCCAGGTCCGGGTTTCCAGATTTAGGGCGCTGGGGTTGAGCGTGGAATTTTGCTTAAAAAAATGCCCTGTCTAAAGGGCTTGAACCTTAAGCTCTGAGGCACATTGAACCATATACCCGCAAATCAAACTGAACCGTGCGCCTTAACGACCCGAGTTGGGGTCGCTGTTCTCGGGTGGCCTCGAAAGGTGGGATGGAGGTCGGTAGGATAAAGGATCCTTTGTATTTGGACTCTCTTTTGGCGAATTCCCCAACCAGCTTCATCCCACTCTTAGAGCCCCCCTAAACCCTAAACCCTAAACCCCGAAACCCCCAAAGCCCTAAACCCTAAACCCCTGAACCCCTAAACCTTAAATCCCGAAACCCCCAAAGCCCTAAACCCTAAACCCCTAAACCCTAAACCCCTAAACCCCTAACCCCCAAAGCCCTGAACCCTAAACTCTAAACCCCTGGCCCCTAAACCCTAAACCCCTAGCTATACTCAGACTCCAGTATCCCTTAAACAAGGAATACCCGGACCCTAAGGAACCTGCCTTTTTAGGGTTCCCTAATATGACTTCTTTACATAAGTCCTTAGAAACGTAGGCTACTTGGGGTTAAGGTATTCCTTAAATTTAAACAGGATCCCTAATATGATTTAAAGAATAATCCTCAATTTAGGGATATTGGGAATCTCTTAAGATCCCTTATAATAGATCCCTGAAAGGAACCCTAATTATTCCTTACTTAAGAGATATTGGAGTCCCCTGGCCCAAAACCCAAGGGAATAAAAGTTGAAACTTTCAGAATCGACTACCTTACAAGAACACCAAAAGTTGAAAAGTTGAGCTTCCAACCAATAACTTAATTAAGGACTTTTTGGAGTCTCTTTTACGCTCAGACTCCGGCCAGCAGCCCAGTTTCTGGAGCGCCGAAATCGGCCGACAAGCAGGTGTAGTGCACCTAGTCTACGGATTGGGGTTTAGGATTGGGGTTTCGGGTTTAGGGTTTTAGGGCTTTAGGGTTTTTAGGTTTTGAGGGTTTTAAGGTTTAGGGTTTGTGGTTTAGGATGCAGGTGTCGTTCACCTTGGTTCATAATGTAGGGGTTTAACGTTTGAGGGTATGGGGTTTAGGGTATACGAGGGTAGTGCACCTTGGTTATCAGAGACTCCAATATCCCTCAATTCAGCAAGACATGCCTTACATCCCATTATCCATTCTCCCATTCCCTATTAAAAACCCAGACCTCCGGGAGGAAGTAGATCCCCTAATTTGGGACCCTATACTACTAAGGGTACCTTATTGGAACCCCCATTAAGGGATCTACTTTTTGGATCCTCCCGGGGGTCTGGGAACCAGACAGTCTAGGGTGGTTCAGGTGATCGAATTCAGGGCTTCGGCCCCCTGGGCCTTGCTTCACGTAGAGGACATTCTTGGACGATTCCCAAATTGAGGTTCTTAGGGTCGTTTGGGCTTACTTGGAGGGGCAGGGGACTTAGTAAGTAGGTTATAAATAGGGTTATAATTGGGGTAATTACCTCCATTTAGGGTACTTATAACTCTACTTATAACCTACTTACTAAGTCTCCTGCCCTTCCAAGTAGGGTATTGGGGACTACTTCCCAAGGGGTTTTAGGGATAATGCTGGTCCGTCTTTCACGGCTCCACTGCTCCGGATCCAGTGCATCGGGTGTCGGCTAAGGGACTGGAAGTAAACATGTCAGCTGCCAACATTGGAGGAACAAACGGTTCGGGGCGTGAGCCTTGGTCATAAACATACTGGGTCTAGGTCCAGACAGCCGCCGCATGTCTGGAACCCTAAACTCTAAACCCATAAAGCCCTAAACCTTAAACGCGGCGGATCCGGCTGCGCATCTTTCAAACATGCCATTCTGCACGGCAAGCCGGAGTTGAAATGTTGATGACCCACACTCAACCCTAAAACCTAAAACCCCTGAACATTTGAAATTTGTCGGGCCATAAGTCCTTGTCGTCTGGCCCACGTGCTGTCTGCTCATGTGAGGGCCCAAGGACAGCACAGAACGTAAGCAATGATTAAACCCTAAACCTTGGGTACTGGCCCCATACAGTAACAGTCTATAATAGGGCTACTATTAAGGTCCTAATATATCTACATTATGAATATTATCCAGCTGTTACTGAGTGGGGGCAGTACCCAACCTGAACCCATTATCCTTGCGGTAGAGCTTACCAGCCTGCAGCCGTGGGACCAGATCCGTCATTGCAACGCTGGAGCGGTAAATTCTAACCCTGAAATCCTAAACAGATCCATGCCGGCCATACACGATTTTGATATACGAAAAAGCGAACATGAGTATACATGCATAAAGGGAATATCTGATATTCATGTACAACAGAAACATTGAACACATAACATGTGCATAGATAGCATAAGTACATAAACTATAAGATGTAGAACTATGCATCTACAAACGAATATACGGTATGTGCAATACGTATATCTCAATTGTTATTGTGTGATGATAAGCTATGTCGTATATTAAATCCCAATAAGATATGACAAAATGCAATATACAATACAGTAAAGTACAATGTGCAATATGGTACAATACGAAACCATACAATACACCACGAAACTATACCACAATGTAACATAACCTAACAACATATGACATCGCACAGTATACTGCACTAAGATATAACATACTTTGATGTAACACAATAGAATAATATTAATATATACAGTCAAGTACATCATATCATAATAGCGTCTACCATAATGATTAATGTGGCAGTGTGCAACTTTCCGGAATATAAAAGCCATATCGCGCTGTTTGTACATCTGACCCATTTGTACATCTAGCAGCCTGCCTAGCTATCGAGCCATCTATCTCCCTCCCTCCCTCCCTCCCTCCCCCATATATATATATAATATGAACCCAAAACCCTGAACTCTATATAGAGACATGCTTACATACATATATGGATGTATAAAGAGAGAGAGAGAGAGAGAGAGAGAGAGAGAGAGAGAGAGAGAGAGAGAGAGAGAAACATATATATATATATATATACATACTGACTGCTCAGGGCTCTAGACTCTAGACCCGAAACCCCAGCTCAGAAATTTTAGGATCCTGGCTTCAGAAGCAGAGGAAACAGAGTTTGAGGGCTTGCAACCGCTGCTTTGGGCTTTAGCAAAGAGTTTAGGGTTTAGCGGTTTAGGGTTTTGATGTGGTAGTTGCTGTAATTTAAGGTAGTAGTGCGCGCGAAAGGCTGGCGGCTAGCGATCAGTGCACGTTGGGCTACGTTTGAGGAGTTGGCACAAGGAAAACGAGAGAACACCGCCAACGACCCGACTCTACCCTACTTCTGGCTCTCGTGCATTCGGGCGGGTAAGGGTTGTCTCAAGGTTTGGGGTTCATGTACTAGGATACCCAGTAACCTAAGAATAAAAAGGCCTCTCTTTTTGGTATTGGGTAACTTTATAAGGAACCTAGGACTAAAAAGGAATAAGGGTACTACTGGGCATCCTAGTGTAGGGTTTAGGGGGATTGGGGTCCGGAATTTCTGTCAGGGTTGCAGAGGCTCTGTTACAGAACCACCCTCAGCCATCAACCTAAACTTTACTGAACTTAGAACCCTAGCAAAAATTATAATTTTAGCTCTTTCTTAGGGATTATAATAACCAACAATTAAAAAATATTTCTAAGTACCCCGAAGTAAAGCTCGGGCGACCCGAGCCCCAAACTTTTGAAACCCTGGAGCTCGGACCGGACCCCACCCCTACCCATAGGCTCCATAGTAGTTCATTTTGGGGGTTCGTATTTAGATTAGAGTCCTATAGGGTAATCCCAAAAAGGAAGTACTATGGAGCCTATGGGTGCCCCGACTCAAGCCCTGGCTAAGGCTGTTAACGTTGGGCGTGGGGCTTGCAGTCTAGCAGGGTTTGGGTTTGGGGCAGTTTCTTGCTAGCTTTGGACTCTACCAGTTTAAATTAGCGATAACGGCCCTGGTGTTTGAGTGAGTTCTTGATATGAACACCACCTGGTTGGCATAAGTTCTAGTTGCGACTGTACGGGATACCCTTGCCCTTTAAAGGAACCCTACAACTACCGAGGACGCCCGTAAAGACTGTCAACCTCTGCAGTTGCGGCTGTGGAGCAACGGTGCCCAAGCACTTGTTCGCGGCGTGCGGGGCAGCTCCTGGCCACATTCTGGAGTTTCTTAAGTGTGATCTAGCTTTTTCGTAGGTTCTTGTAAAACGCCCCCCCCCCCCCCCCCCCCAATATTGGGACCCTAAATGACCCTACATAAAGTTAGGTTTGGTATCTGAAGGTACGGTTTAGGGGTTTGGGGTTTGGGGCGAGTTCAGGGTTTAAGGTTTTCAAGTAGTCAGTTTCCCCTTGGACCAGCGCATCATTTGCGCCCTTCTGTGTCCTCACTAGCGGGCTGCTACTATAACGAGGGGTTGACTAAGGTCGAACTTCTGCTCGTCGACGATCAAGCCATCGGAACGTTGAAGCATACCCCAAACCATAAAGTGTATACATTACACGGGCACGGAGTGTTCCTGAGTTTAGCTGGATTGTTGCTTCTGCAGTTTGCTGTGATTTGACTTTTGAAGCTTCCTCGGCTATCTGGGCGATGGGTTTAGGGTTTAGATTTTGTGTGACTTTTCGGTTTGGTTCTTTACGAGTTTTCGCGTGAGCTTTTGTTTCGGCCTGTGCAGCTCTTTTATAAGTCCCTACAGAACCCTGATAGAACCCGAGTCTAGGCATTCCCCACGCTATCCAAGCTTGTCACGCTTTTTCAGAAGGTGCTGGGATGCAGGCCGGGCTCTAGAATGAAGTGGGAGAGTCTCTAACTCAGCAAGCACACGCCATGAACTCTACACCCTACTGTAAGCAGAAGCCAGAAAGTTGGAACATTATCCTCATACCCTTAAGGTGCACTAGAAGGACTTTCATCTTCGAAGGACATGCATCCTAGCACCCATCAATCCTAACCCATGTCCCAACATTTTGGGTTTACCCATCAAGGCCGAAAGCCCTGAACTCGAATTCCCTCACACCCCCCCCCCAGGCGCAACACTCCAAGGGTAAAAGGAGGGACCCTTAATATTAATAAGGACCCCTAGGTATATGCCCTTCATATAGCTATGATATACCCATTATAAAGCCCATTATAGGCTAGGGGTCCCTATTAAGGGTCCCGGATTTTACCTTTTGACCCACACCTTCACCCAAAAGGTCCTCCATAGTGGAATACCTTCGCCTCGCCACCGTCTTCAGTGCTGGCGAACGACCCACCTGGCTCCATATGGGAGTTTCCGAATATAGGGGACCCTAATACAATACCCTAAATAGTAGGACCCTTATTATAAGGGGCACCAAAACAGGGTACCCCTACTTTCGAACACTCCCATATGGTTAATACTGCAAAAACCCGTGGCTGAAACCCTGACGGTGTACTTGCTTCTCTGGCTGGGCTTGCTAGCAACGACCACGATCCTAAATCCGAAGGCTAAAAGGGAGGGACCCTTCGTGAGGACCCGCAGGTATGTACCCTTAATATAGCTCTTATATACCCGATATATAGCCCGTTATAGGGTAGGGGTTCCCATTAAGGGTCCCTCCTTCTCCCCTTTGATACATCCTAAGAGTTGGCTGGAAACGCCGAACCTTTGATCCCTGCCTCGCTCTTTGGCGCTCTCTCTCCCTCCATCCCTCCCTCGGTCCCTCCCTCCCTCCGTCCCCCCATCCCTCCCTCGCTCTCTATCGCTCTCTATCGCTCTCTCTCTCTCTTTTTATCTCTCTCTCTCTCCTCCTCTCTCTCTCTCTCTCTCTCTCTCTCTCTCTCTCTCTCTCTCTTTTCTCTCCTCTCTCTCTCTCTCTCTCTCTTTCCCTCTCTCTCTCTCTCTCTCTCTCTCTCTCTCTCTCCCGCTCTCCCTCTCTCTCTCTCTCTCTCTCTGTCTCTCTCTCTCCCGCTCTCTCTCTCTCCCTCTCTCTCTGTGTCTCTCTCTCTCTCTCTCTCTCTGTCTCCCTATCTGCCGTTTCTGTTATGTTTAGCAGTTTCGCATTCGGGGGTACTGTGTATGGTGTTCGTTACCGTCTGCCTCGATCTTGCTCTCTTTTCCTCTGCTGGCCTGTCTCGCTCTCCGAGTATCTTTCTTCTCTTCTCTTCTCTCTCGCTCCCTCTTGCTCTTTCTCACTCGCTCTCTCGCTCACCCTCTCGCTCTCCAGATGTTTCAGAAGTACACTACATCGACATGGGTGGTTGTCAAAATTATGGTCCCTTTTTGGGTCCCTATTATAATACGGCACCTATTATTTAGGGTACCCAGAAAGGGGCCATAAAATTGACAACCACCCACATGTGCACGGGTTGGCTGAGAGTTTCGGACGTCTGGGGATTCAGGGTCTTGGGTGCTATTCACTGAAAGCACCGCAGCCCTAATTCCTTCGTTTAGGGCTTACGAGGGCTTTAGAGATGTTGGTGTTTGGGGGCGTGTAGAGTTTGAGGGTTTGGAGTAGTACTTAGCATCATGTTTACGGGCCGTTTGGAGTCGCAGCTCCGTTTTCTGCGACTTCTTCGGTTGCGAATCTCAAACACCATGGCATGCAAAGAATACTTTATGACTGACTACTGCCGTCGTTGCACAAAGTGAACTTCAGAGCGGCGTGCTTCGTGGACCTACTAACTGCATAAGATGCCAGTGACGTCAAGACATGCAAACTTAGAGGTTAACGAATGCGGTGTTTACAGAAGCACTGCAGAATGCAACGTCAAAAGGCTGGGTTCTTAATACTACACGTGCCTCGCCCGAACCCTTTGTTCTGGCTTCAGTATCTTTGGTCGGCTTGTAATCTCAATTGGAAGAGATTCCTATAAACCCTAAACTACCCCCCAAAACTCTATTGCGGGCTTCACAAGCACACCATGCCAACCCCTAAAGCCCCAAACCCTGAACCCTAAACCCCGAAACCCCAAACCCCTAAACCCTAAACCCCTAAACCGTTAAACCCTAAACCCTAAACCCCTAAACCCCTAAACCCCTAAACCCTAAACCCCTAAACCCCGAAACCCCTAAACCCACACCTGCACATATGAGGGAGCTGTGCGGGTCCTTGGAGAACCGAGCGGTGTACCTGTCAAGGCTAAACTTGCTAGGCTATTTTAGGGTTTATAGGCTTCGCGACTCATATAAGGGACCTATAAGGGCTCCTTTAAAGGAGCCCCACAAGGAAGCTTAAACGGATCCCTACAGGTCTTAGGGTCTTTACGGGTTAGTTGAGGCTTATCGCTTCGAAGTCTCGGGTTTCGCCAAAACGGTGTGCGGTTGCGAGCTTTGGGGGTTCAGGGCTGCTGTACTTGGAAGGGCAGGGGACTTAGTAAGTAGGTTATAAGTAGAGTTATAGGTACCCTAAATGGAGTTACCCCAATTATAACCCTTCTTATAACCTACTTACTAAGTCCCCTGCCCCTCCAAGTATAGGGGTAGGATCAAGGGCTTACGGGCTGTTCCGACACCCCTGCGCAGTGCCCCTGAAAGCATCCAGCAAGTAAGATCCCTTTAGGGCCTTCCTAGAAAGTATAGCTCCAATGTCAGGATGCGACCAAAGTAGACCCCAACCCCTACCAGTCCTAAAAGTAAGCTTTAAAGTCTATGACGCTGAACCCCTCTGCATGGGCGGTTCAAAGTAGGTCTTGCAACAGGTTTTCGACTGCCCAAGGCCGAAACAGGGGCAAGGGCTATGCCTACATAATCCAACATACCTGCAAACCTACATACCTGCGTACCTGAATATGTGCACATGTACATATACATCCGAACATCCCATAGCTGGCATCTACACATATGTGCCTGCCTGCCTGCCTGCCTGCGAATCATACAGACATACATGCGTTGCTTGCGTAATTACATACATGCGTACGCGTGGGACATGACATGATTGCGTGCGTCGGTTCATACTTGTACATGGTTCATTGTCATGCATGCATGCAGCTACATCCTGGCATGCATACCAGCATTCCTCATTCATAGTTGCCGCAGCACATAAATACCACGAATCCTGCCATGATTCTAGCCTTGCGTGCCTGACTCCTGACTTGAAATCAAGAGCGACAGAACCGAAACCCAAACGAATTGAAGCGAAACCCAAAATCCCGACGCCCTGCGATCTTCTCAAAGCACAGCCCGAAACTGAAGCTCCTAACACCATAAGCCCGGAACTCCAACACCAAACGAAGTCAAAAGAGTGTCGGGCGCACAAGAAGCAGGCTGGCTCCTGGCTAATGCTTCAGGCAATCGCGCCAAAACTTAACCTGGGATACCCAGTAACCTAAGAATAAAAAGGCCTCTCTTTTTGGTATTGGGCAACTTTATAAGGAACCTAGGACTAAAAAAAGGGAATAAGGGTACTACTGGGCATCCTAGTAACCACGCCTTGAGAAGCCCCGAGCCCAACACCCTGAAGCGAAGCCGCAAAACCGAGAGCACCGGGGGTGAAGACTTTCCAAGACTTTAGCTAGGGTCCGGAATGCATGCCTTAACCACAAAGATGTGACATGAGTTAAAACAGTTCTATAAGCAAATATAGGTATGTAACATACAGACACGTATACGTATGTATATAAACATAGATATATATATATATATATATATAGGGACTCTTCGACAAGATAGGTGCTGATTCTTAAGGCGCGCCCCTCAGGCAAAACCCTCCATCGCCAGACCCTCCACAGCAAACCCCGAGATGGTGGATGACTCTCGAACTTGTCCAAGCAATCAGAGCACCGCCTAAGTCTTGCTGCTCAAGGGCTTGCTTGGGGAGGTTGAAAGGCTGAGTCTAGGTTTCCGGACGGTACTAAACCCTGAATGCTAAACTCTAAGCTCTCTCTGTTCCTCGAACTCGCAAGTACTCGATTCAGTGAGGGCACGGCCTGGAAATCAAACCTTGGCATAAGACTCCCAAGCCTATCAAAGCCCTATAAGCCCGGTGTTTGGGAGCATGCTTTAGGGTTTAGGGTCCTACAACCCCAATAAAACAAAAGCGCTGTAGAACCCTATAAGACGGCTTCAGCCCTCCCCCGCAATCGGAACCCCTGAAACAAAAACGGTTTGAGGTTGTAGTTTTGGGTTGAGGGTTAGGGTACACTAAAAGATGAGCATAAAACCCCAAGATTGCGAAGGGCTTCCTTAACCCTAAACCCGTAAGCCCTACCTGCAGCCCCGAACCTTACGAAACAGTAGGTCGTGACAGCTCTACTATAGGGTATAAGCCTTCCAATGGTACGCTTTTGGATCCCCTCGTACACCCTAAACTATACTGAACTCAGACCCCCTCTGACTAATTCTAGTTTTAGCTGCTTCTGAGGGATTATAGGAACCAAAAATTTAAAATTTGAAACATATCTCTACTTACCCCTAAGTACACCCTAACGTCCCACAGTCGCCCTAAGCCCTGCAGATCCCTTACAGGAGCCCTTAAGGAACCCTAAGAGGATCCCTTAAAGAAACCTCAAAAGAACCTCCCAAAAGCGTGGCCTCCATGCCCCTTGCTCTCCAGGGCAAGGCCTCGTTCAGAGTTCAGGGTCTAGGGTTTGGGGTTTAGGGTTTAGGGTTCAGGGCTTGGGATTTATGGTTTAGGGTTTAGGGTTCAGGATTTAGGGCTTAGGATTTATGGTTTAGGGTGTAGGGTTCAGGATTTAGGGCTTAGGATTTATGGTTTAGGGTTTAGGATTTTGTCAATAGGCGATCTGAAGCTTTTCAGGGTCTCGGGCTTTACAGCGAACCCCTAAAAAGTTGGAAACCGCATGAAGGCTAAATAGTGCTGGGTTGCCCTATACATTACTCTTAGGGATTGAGGCTATTGGGTTTCGCTGCTAGTGTAGGGCACGCGGTTTAGGGTTTAGGCTTTAGGGCTTTAGTACTTAGGGTTAAGGGTTCAGGGTTTTAGAGGTTTAGTGTGTTTAGGGTTCAGGGCTTTAAGGTTACGGAGTTTAGGACTTTAGGATTTAAGGTTTAGGGTTCGGGGTTTTACGGCTTTAGGGTCTAGGTTTTAGGTTGTGGTTCTTTGGGGTTTGGGGCTGTAGAGGCTTGCGGGTTTAGGGTTCTAGGGTTTAGGATGGTTTGCGGCTGAGTGCTCAGAGTTTTGGTGCAGGGCTTGCCTTACAGAAGGGACGGTCCAGAGGCGTGCGTTTTGTGAATAGCAGGCCTATTTAGAGTTGAGTCGATGACCTTTGTGGGGGCAGTCAGCTCTCCAGACTTAACACCCCAACCCCCCACCTTTCCAGGGCTCCTTGTTATGATTCCCAGGTTTGAAATTCGAGGCAGCGGCAGGGGATTAATGTCTAACGGTATATGAGGATTAGGTTAGGTTTTGGATGTAGGTTTCCCCAGGCGCTCAGGTGATTAGGTTTGTGGTTCAGGGGTTTGGGGCTGGGTCTCTGTGGAAACTGCGGCTGTGACTGAAGGGATGCGATTACTATATTGATTTGGCTTCCATATCAAGGTTAAGGCTATCCCACACCTGCTCATCGAAGGCTCAGAGCAAGAAGCAGGAAGCGAAGTCCCAAAAACACATACGCCGCACATGGGGCTTTTGGGGCACTCTGGGGCTCGACGTAGGCCCCCAAACCCCAAATGCCCCCAGAACAAAAAACAACAGACGCCTCAAACCACAAACAACAACAACAACCCTAAAAAGAACGCACCAAACCCAACCTACCAAATCCTAACTAAACTATTTAAGAGAACACCCCAAACCGTAACTGAACCCTAAAAATAGAAGCATACAAACCCAAACTACACCCTAAAAAGAAGGCACACGGCCTTGATCCGCTCGCCCTTGGCTATGTCCCAGAGCTCCAGCTGGTTCTGGCCGGCTCTTCTTTCAAAACGTATGCGTTTCATAAGGGTGTTAAGGGTTTGGTGGTTTAGGTGTTCATGGACTACGGGTTTTGGGGTTGCAGGCTTTACCTGTAGCCGAAAAGACCTACCTTTTTAAGGAACTATATATAGAAACCATAATAAGGAACCCTAAAAATGTAGGTCTTTCTGGCTACAGGTAGGGTTTAGTGTTTAGGATCCTGCTGGGTTTCACTCTCACAAGGGTGTTTAGGGTTCAGGGGTTTAGGGTCTTACATTGCCGAGCTTGACTAGACCCAAGAGTAACCTAGGAATAAGAAGGGTGCCCTTTTTGGGTTTAAAGTGGCTGATAAGGGAACCTGAACCCTTAAAAAGGGAATAAGGGCCTACTCTGGGTCCTAGTTGATAAGCAGGATTCATAAAGTGCTTCGTCGGGTTCCGAGAGAGATTCTAGGGCTTCACAAACAGAGCGCTTGCGTCAGGAATTCAGTTCCAGGTTCAAGATTTCAGATCCAGGCCCTGGGGATTTAAGGGTTGCCCTACACCCTTGGTAGTTCCTTCTTGGGGTTGATACTTAGAATCCTATAAGGTAACCCCCAAAAAAAACTACTTTGGAGCCTCTGGGTGGGTTGTGGGCTCAGGATTTGGGAGTTTCCGAAAATTGGGGGTACCTTATTTCGGGGTCCCTATTATAAGGATCCTACTATTCAGAGTACTATATATGAGGGTCCCCTACTACTATTTGCTTAAGAACCACCCAAAAATAAAAATGATAATCCCTATATTATCCCTATAAGGAATATATTTTTATTTTTTTGGGGGTTCTTAAGCAAATAGTAGCCTATTTTGGGAAACTCCCATTTGTGGTTCAGGGCCCAGGATGCAGAGAAGTAGGATTTTGCTGGAGGATGTAGCGTTCGCCTCGGGGTTAAGGGCTGATGGGTTCAGGGTTTAAGGTTTAAGGTTTAGGGTTTAGGGTTCAGGGTTTAAGGTTTAGGGTTGATTCGAAAAACTTACCCGGACCCCGAAGCCAAAGCGCAAAAGTTCAACCTCCAACCCTCTGACTACGATTAGAGTTTGGACTTTACAGTTTAGAATTTCAGGTTAAGGGGTTTGCAGCTTAAGAAGGGTCAGCTAACTACCTACCCAACACCTTGTCCTTTTGTATCCGTGGTCATTGCGGTCTCATCTTGGCGGCAAAAGTGCCCGGCGACCGCAGCGAAAGCTTGGACAACTAACAATCGGGCCTTGATCTGGCAGGAAGTCTTTGGTTGTATTCGGTGACTTAATTCCTTAACGTCCTAAACCCTAAACCCGAAACCCTAAACCCTAAAACCCTAAACCCTAAACCCTAACCCCTAAACCCTTAACCAAGAGATATTGGAAGGTCTTTTTGGGGTTCATGACTCCGGTCTCTGAGCGCCGTGGAAGCAAGGCTTTAGGGTTGAAGGAAGCCAAACTCCGAGTCGTGAAAAGGGGGGGGGGGTTTAAGGCTTAGGGTGCATGTCACGGTTTAGGGTTTAGGGCTTAGGGTTTAAGGTTTAGGGTGCATGTCTAGATGCAGCTGCGCCATACCGATTCGTAAGGCCCACTTCTTAAACCTGAATGTAAGCCCACTTCCTCTAGAGGCCGAAGGCCTCAAGCAAAACAACAGAAGAGTGACTAAAAGGGATATGAGTACATAGTAAAATGGTAGACATAGTAAAATAACTAGTGGCTGCTTGAGCTTCCATACTGGGTTTGTCTTCCGCTGAAGCACTTTGTGCTGAATCGCCTGCTTTGCCGAGCCACACTACATGGAAGTTGTCCACACCAGGAACCCATTCGAGTTGCCAACTTGCCCTTTCTTGGAGATAAGCGCCCCTTGCCTCGTTATACTTCCATGTTGGCATCAAGCTCATGCAACATGTGCTAAATCTGCCTGGGAATGCCTTCGCAACAGACAGTACTACAGCGCGATCACCCCGCAGATGACCTTTCAGCGCCAAAGTCGTTAAAACGAAACACACTAGGAAATTCAGCGTGCATTGTTTTCCAAACTCAAAAACAGGGACCAGAGAGCATGCGATTTACGGGTCACCGGCATCAGTTCATGCTGCAACAGGACACTCCAAGGACATCATTGGAGTCTTCAGGCTAGATGTCCTCAACCCCAAATCGTAAATCTCTGGTCCCAGAAAACAAGCTACCACAGCCTGTAACTGAAGCTTGCTCAGCCGTCTATGGTGGTTCGACGAAGCACAGGCAGGGCTCAAGCGCACTTGGATGGTTTGGCTCTTTTGCTGTGGCAAAAGTCGGGGTAGAGTTTAGGGGCCTCAAACCTAAACCTATACTCTAATTCTCGTCGAGGCTTTGGAGTTTCAGGGTTCAAGAGCCCCGCCCTGGAATTTGCTTTGCAAAAAGGGTTCCCTCGAGCAAGAATCTTCCCAAAGGGTCCACGTACTGTTGTAGTATATAGGTACTTAGTAGGTACATGGGCCCCCAGAGTATATACTATACTACTACTTGGACCCTGTGGGCTAGGTAATCCCCAGCTGTCCAAGCTCAACGCCAGCAGTCTGCTCTGCGATGACCTGCGAATGACGGACCCTAATTCCCCAAACGCAAACAAGCACGCTACAAAACACAAGACCCCAAATCCCTAAACCCTAAACCTCAAATCCCTAGACCCCAAACCCCAAATCCCTGAACCCTAAGCAACAAATCCCTAACCACAAATGCAACTTTATTCACCCAGGACACAAGGTCTGGCATGTCCTACCAGGAGATTCAAATTGTTATTCGGTTGCAGGTACTTCTATACTTGCACATCAGCACTCGGAGAGCTCAAGACCCCACCATTAAGGACTGTAGCTTAAATCATCATGAGGGGCTTCTTTTGATGCTTCAATCGGTGCGTGCTTACAGCGCGTTCCTGAATCAAGTGGTATTGGGCTTTCTGGGCGATTCCGAAACTCCAAGCACTTACACGAATGAGTGTTGCATGCTGATTCAAGGAACCTTGAGGGGAGTGATAACTTTGCCGTCAACCTTGGTAACTTCAAGGGGGGTAAGTTGTGGATCGAAAGGGCCTTCCTCAAGACAATCAAGAGCAAAGGTTTGCAGGACAAGTCTATCGACCCGAAAGAGCTAGATGTACTGGAGGGGCCCGATTTAATTGGTAGTGTACTATGTTGACTTCTCAGCTTACCGAAACCTAATGTTATGTAGGGTCCCTATAAGATATAATGAAACAATACATGTATTGCGGTCTGTGAGCCATGGGCTACGAAAGAATAGTTATTGTAGTTTCTGGCATCGTATAAGCAGCCCTACTCCCAAGACGAACTGCCAACCCAGAAAGCCCAATACGCCTCAAACAAGGAGCATACCTGTCATCACCAAGAGTTCATAATTACAGTGAAGCCTCCTGTAGTTTAAGGTATAACCCTTAATCAACGGGTATTGGGCTCTCTGGAAACCGCTTCAAGGAAATGTGCCTAAACGATTGAGCCGGGTCCTGCCTCCAGGCGGCTAGCCCAGTTTACCTGCAACAACCGTGGGACTTACCGGAGAGGCTTTTGTCCTCCACTCTTCCTTACCCAAAGGCTCCATGTACTTTTAGAGTAGGTACTTTGGCCTTAAAAGGGTCCCTATATAGGTACTTTAAGGCCTAAGTATAGACTATATGGGTACATGGAGCCTTAGGGTTAAGCATCAATACGACTCACGTTGCAGGCACGGTCCCTTGAGCACAGCACCGCGCTACTCTACAGTTCACATCGCAATCGTGAAGAAGTGCTTCTAGTGCTCTCAGACATCATTGTGTAGGGGTGTACCGGCCTAACATTAAGATTAAGGGTTTGCTCTGTGGCGAACAGTCCCTGAAACCTTGAGGTGCAGGCCTTCAGAGTTGACGCTATTAGGGCTTCGGGCTTTAAGGTTTAGAGAGTCAGCTCTCGGGCGTTAAATCATATGGGTAGTTGTCAAAATTAGGGTACCTTTTTGGGCACCCTAAATACTAGGTGCCGTTTTATAATAAGGACCCAAACAGGGACCATAATTGTGACAACCACCCATATAGCATAAGTTTGGAGTTGAGTATAGGGTTCTGAATAATGAGAATAGGGTCCCATCAGGGGCTCCTTTACCTAGGTGTCGATTTCAATAATCCCCAAATTTGAATATGATGAGGCTCTATACTAATCAAAAAGGAACGTAAAAACTATCCCAAGTCGATACCTGGTTAACGGGTTCTGCTTCGAGATAGGCTAAGGCTGTTCTTGACGGAGTCTCACAAAAGTTAATACAGGGGCCGTAATAATCAGAGTAGGGGTTCTGGGGCCCGCTTTACTATACTTATAATCAGGAGCCCCCCCAAAATAGCAGATGTAATTATTTAGGCCCCTTTATTACGCTTTCCTAAAGAATCGTGAAAGACCGGCGACCCCGTGCGGACTCAGGCTTGGGGGTTTCAGGATTCCAAAAGGGTTGCTTTAAAGGGTTCCTGCTATTTGGGCTTTTGCCTCTGGTTTAGGGTGTGGGGTTTTTAAGGTTTGAGGCTTAGGGTCATGGGCTTATGGGGTTTAGGGTGGTGGGATCACGGGTGGGGCTTGGGGTTTAGTGTTCCTAAACACCGAACATCAAGCCGCCCAAAAGCCCTGCTACTCGAGCCTGCATCCCGATACTCCTTGGGAACCCCCCGACTTATACGAAATCGCAAACCCCCCAATTCAGGAACATCATGCTAAATTATGAGGTTGTGTAGGGTTCAGGGTTTAGGGTTTCGAAGAGTCTAGGCATGGCCTTGAGTTTCTCTTTATCAAATCCCCTTCGGAAATTTTGGGTGTCTGCTGTAATTAGGGTGTTTTTGGCTTTCTGGGTACAAGTATCGCATCCCTTTAGCACCCTGCGTCATATACTGCAAACCCACTCTGTTCGTTGACCGCGACACACAAGACTCCCCAACATGCCACACCACAAGCCCAAAGGCTCCATGTACTTTTAGAGTAGGTACTTTGGCCTTAAAGGGGTCCCTATTTAGGTACTTTAAGGCCTAAGTATAGACTATATGGGTACATGGAGCCTTAGGGAAGCATGGCAATGCAGTGCCTGCATCAGGGCACGGCCGAGAATGTAGAACACGCCGCTTAGCATGGGCACCAGCACCTTTCAGCTAGCGACTTGAACCCTGAACCCCAAACAGCTCAGAGCCAGCATTTGGCATTTGGGCTAAGGCTAAGGGCATTCCTTGGGCGAGTTAGGATCTATATTTAGCAAGGTATGCTGTTATTGTGATAGTACCCCTCATAAATAGAATTTGGGGTTTATTGAGGCTTCTTGCTGCTGCGGGCTTCCGTGTCCTGGGTTCAAACAGACTCCTCACTGCCCCCACCGCCAAAGAGCCCGATGCCCCTTAGTTACGGAATGTACCCTCAAACATACGGGGCTTTAGCTCATGCTTTTCATCGGTGTTGTTCCTGCATAAACCCTATATCCGCGAACCCTACGTCCCAGACCCCTGAACCAGAAACCCTATCGAAACTCTAGACCCCAAATCCCCATCAAATCCCCATTAAAACACCAAACCCTGAAACCCAAAATCAGGGAGGGCCCAGAAATAGGGATACGACCACCGATCATTTTGACTCTGATACTGCATTAATCATGTTGAAGGACACTCCCCTGCGTTCTTCCTAACCCAGGCCCCTGGGAGGATCCCAACAGTGGCTGACTTACGTGGTTTGCCATATTACACCCTTTAGTAGCATATGCTCCCAAATCACCTGCAGAGGTTCTACTTCCATTACCTAGAGACTCCCCAAGCCCTTTTTTGAGAAATCGACCATAACTTAAGTTCAACGGGATCCTTATTGTAATGAATGGCATATTCCAGAAATCAAGACGTTTGGGAGTTTCAGAGTCTCTACTACGAATTAAGGTCACGCACCACTACCAGTGCTGGAACAGCGAGAACGTTTCACACCCAAGTTGCATTAGGACCCTTACTCCAAAAACCTTGCAGTGCTTTGAAGTACTAGAGTCCTGAAGTTGCAGGATAATCCCGGAACGCTGAATATCTCCTTGCCATTGGTACACATAAGACTGCCGGTTCGGGATTTTGATTTGGTTATGTCTAACCACGCTCAGCATGCAACCCCTCACACTCTAGACCCCATACTCATAGGGACCCTTGGGGAGGGGCTAGGGGACTATACTTCCTTTCGAAGGCCTTGTATCCTTAGGTATTCAGGCCCCCTACCCCCTGCGCCCTACCCCCCTAAGGATCCCTATGATACAAGTTAGCACTCCGAACCCTCACCCCGAAATCGTGAGCCCTCAACCCCTGCTTACTTATAGCCTCATAGTACTCCTTACAGCCTCATAGCAGCCCGTACGGGAACCGCTATGTGGGAACCTACATCTTATGCAACCAATATGAAACCCCGTGGCTCCCTTACCCAGACCCCGGGGGGGATCTAGAAAGTAGATCCCCTAATTTGGGGCCCTATTCTACTAAGGGTACTTTATAGGAAGCCCCATTAAGGGATCTACTTTTTGGATCCTCCCGGGGCTCCCTTAAAGGAGGCTTTTTGGGATCCTTGGATTGAGTCATGTACAGGAACCCTTCGTAGCAACACCACTTCCAGGAACCCTCCCTCAAATCTAGGGTCCCTAAACCCTAAACCCCAATCCCTAAACCCCAAACCGTGAATCTAGGGGCGATCGAGGGGCCGGAATAATCAGAATGAGGTTTCCTTCACCATGGAACCGTGGTACCCGAAACATGGCACGGAGCCCGGCCCCTGTATCACCCTAACCAGGAAACCCCCAAAACCCTGTAAAGGTCTAGATGTCCCCAGATCTTATTAAATAAGGCATATACCCCAAAATAGGGGGGTGATCCTTATTATGATTTAAGGTGAATTCCGGCATCAAGGGTTTGAGGGTATATTCCTATCTGTATCCCCAAACCTTACAAGCAGTAGGTCCAGTAGGTCATGACCCCTGAACAAAACGGGTGTATCACCGAAAACAGGAGGCTTTCGGATCCTCGTGCAAACCCTAAACCATCAACAACGGAGACCAGAGGAATGTCCCTATAATAAGTATAATCCTAAACCCTGAGCCCCTAAACCCCCAAACCCTAGACCCCCCAAAAAACATCCTCAAACTACAGGTATATTCCTGCAGCCGAGGCCCTTAACCCCTAAACCTCTACATCCGAAACCCCTAACCCTCAACCCCTAAACCCTAAACCCCTTCCGAAACCCCTAAACACTACCCCAAACTCCAAAACTCTCGTGGAGGCGAAGGCTTTACTTAACATTGGTTAGTAGGGAATGGAGGAATGGGGTACAAGTATAACTACTATTAGTACCATTCTTCGATTCCCTACTAGCCAAAGGTAAGTAGGGCTTAGGGTTCGGTAGTAGTAGTTCCCTGCTAGCCAAAGGTAAGTAGGGCTTAGGGTTTGAAAGTGTGGTAGCTCACTGTGCCCCAGCGCTCGACGATAGGAGGGTGCTCGGGAGTGCTTCCAGAAGAATGGCTAGGCGAACGTAGCTGAAGCTGGAATCAACGCACTCTTTTGCTCGGGCTCCCTTCCTCGATAGTCAAAGCTGCGAGAAGACCGTGAATGCGTCTGATGCACTCGAAAGCAGAATGTCTTTTGCATCCGGCCCGCTCCCCCACGGGCACATGAAACATAAATCAAGTTTCCACTTCCACAGAATGTGTCTTTTGATCCTCAGCCTCCAAAGGATCTAAGCCTGCTTGTTTGCGTCTCCTCGCGGACCGCATTTCAGGATCTGCCACGATACGCCATCGATGTCCCATGCGGTAGTACAACTCCAATTCCTTAGCAGCTCCAGCCTTAGTCAGAGAGTTGGCCAACTGGGCCTCACTGTGGACCCAGCGGACTTCCAAGGACGTCTGGTGTTGGGCCGCCTTAAGTGCAATCAACTCAATGTTGGCCCGCTTTTCAGCTCCTTTGATCGTCAGAACCTCAGTTTTGACTTTGTCAAACACGTTCCTGGAATCGGAAATCAGGCATCCCTTAGTTTGACGAACAGTAGACTCGGGATCGCGCACCTGAATGTTTCCATAAGTCATCTCACTCCACTGAAACCTCAAGAAGAAAAGACTGTCTTCACCATTCACCGCCGCCTGAGTCTCGGCGGCCCCTGGGGAACGGCAGGCCCTATCAATCTTGTGACTGCTCCATGCCAGTGGTGACACCGGCAGAATCTCACCCTCCTGAAGTCCCATCGTACTCATCCCGATAAAGGAACCCTGAGTGCTTCCACCATCAGGTCTGTTCTGACTGCCGGCATCGACCCACGCATAAATGCACAATTCGTCTTTGGGATCAAAGGCATGAATCTTCATCACATGGTGCTTCTTAGCTCGCGTGTGCGCAATCAAGAGATTCGTCTTGACAATCGTGTTCACAGTACTCTTACTCACTTCCGACAGTAGTAGACTCGTCTCTGCCGACACATGCGGCGCCACTTGCTGTGCGTGCCATGACAAAGCCCCCAGCGCAGCTCTCAACTGCGTTTTCTCCTTTTCTGATGTCGCAGACTCTTTGGCTTTCCGTCGTGCACCACACAAAGGAATCTCTAGCAGGTGATCTTCGACATATTGGGCCTGACATAACTCGAAGCCTTGCTCTGTTTGTCGAACTTGAACCCCACATTGAGTAAACTCTCCTGATTCCCAATCTCCCCATTTGAACTTGTTGCGGATCTTCTCCAAGATGGCTTGCCACTCGCTGTCGGTTTCTGCTCCTCCAAATAAGAAGTCATCTACGTGACCTGAGATCAGGCCTCGCAGGACACCTTGAGGTCTCCACATCCACAGGCATGGATCGGACCACGCTCGCTCTAAGCCTAAGCTCTGAAGAAACTCTGAGACCGTCTTGTACCACTCCAGAGGAGCATCTACCAAACCGTAGCACGCCTTCTTTAAACGGGTGATGGAACCCCGGGCCAGGCCCATTCCATCACAGATCTCATCACAAGGAATACAGAAGAGATCCCCTGGGTAAGGCCTTCCTTGCAAGAAAGCTCCAGAGACGTCTCCTTTGTACACTTTCCAACGTTTGTTGGCACTCATTTGCAAGAAGCACTGGCGGGTTTGTCGACTCATAACTGGTGACGTAGTAGCACGATGTTCATATGCCGGGTCTTGATACCCTAATAAAACTGCTCTCGCCTTGGCCTTGCGGCCCCCAGTATCAAGCTGTTTCCATGTCAACACCCATCGCATATTGATTGCAGTAGCTTTGTCAGGCTTCAAGTGGGATGGCAACGCTTCAAAAGCTTCGGCTGCCAGAAAATTCTTAACCTCTGACATCTTGGCAGTTTTGAACTCCGCCCGTTCAGCCTCCGACAGCTTCCGTTCACAGACTTCTACTGCCCGCTTCTTCATGGCTCCCACAAAATATCCTGATAGATTCGCTGTTGCTCGCTTGAATCCCCGGGAACTCTCTGGCATCTCGATCTGAACCTCGACGGCAGCTTCTGCTGACTGCCACCACTCACTTTGATCGCCCCATGCAGCATCCGTAACTTCATGCCACCAGCAATAACCCACTTCCTCCACGCTGGCCGTCAGCGCCGAGTCCGTACGTGGGATCGCCGATGGCCTCGCGTCGGCAGATGGCTCCATGGGCTCATCGGGCCCACTCTCCCTGGCAGGTCTCTTCCGGGTGATTCGATGGCGTATGGGTTGTTCCTCGCGTTCGGGATCTTGCGCTCTCTGCCACTCCTGAAGATTGGGCAAGTCCTTTGTCAGGTCTTCGAACTGATTGCCCCCAATTTCTTGGGCGACCTTGGTGTACGTCCAAGGGACTTGCTTATCCTCTGAAAGAGCCTCGATGAGCTCTTCCCGCTGAGAAGCATGCCGGAGCTGCTCCGGCGCGCACTTCAGCAGCTGGCGTCCACGCACCAACCACACTGAACTTCCCGGTCTCAGTTCTCCGCTGTCGCTCCGCCGGGTCTCTGTGGCCAATACACGCGCTGGCCCTAAGAATCGTCCTTTCTTGGTGCCGGGAGCATGCTTGCCCTTTCCCGATTCTTGGCATCTCCAGAAGTACACTAATTGCCCAGGATAGAAGGTCAATGATCGACGGCCTCTGGAATTCTGAGCCCGTAACAACCTTTGATGCGCCTGCCACTCGCAGTGTGCTTTCTCCGCCTGCGTCTGTCGTTCCAAGTTGCGTGCGAACTCTCCTTCGGGGTTTTCAATTTGCAGCTCATCAGGGGTCCCATCTGCCTGATCTATCAGCCGACCTGTAACATCTGCGCTCCGGCCAAAAGCATGCTGCAACGGCGAAAACCCTCGAACAAGATCCCGTTGGTTGAAAGTGCGCACAGCAATTGATAACAAATCCTCGGAAGTGGCCTCGGGGTCTCCTTGACACGTCTTAGACATGACCTCCTTCAAGCCCTGAACGGCCTGTTCGCAAGTACCAATTTGCCAATGGGCTTCTCCCGGAATGACATCTAGAAAGATATGGTTTCGATCGCAGAAATCCACCACTGCTTGGCTTCGGAAAGACCCCGCCGGATCCAATCGCAAACAATTAGGGTTACCAAAGTATTGGGTCCAGCCTTCCATGAGGTAATGCAAACAAGCGGCAGCTGTGGGTGTTTGTTTGGAACCCTTGCACAAAACCCTCGCAGCCCTATACCTGGACCCCTCATCAATGATGACCATAAAGGCGACGTGTTCTCCAGTCACTGGGTGTCTCCAATGTCCAATGTCGGCAGAAATGGTGGCCCATTTGGGCGGTAATGGTTCCAAGGATGCAACGTGTTGCGGGGGAACTCGCCTTCTTTCATCACAAATGCTACACGTGAAAGTCTTGGCTAGCTCCAGGACTCTGGGGGCTACGTTGCGTCGCTTCAGTGCCTGATACAGATGTCGCATGCTGCCATGCCCAGTAGCGGCGTGCAAAAGATACAAGTACCGCTTGATCTTTTCATCTTCCTTCGCTTGGTTACTTGCAAACTTGTACTTCCATACCCCGGGCCTCTGAATGACATTAGCCTCCTGCACCTCAGGAAACTTGAAACCCGTTTTCTGAAGTTGACCCTGAACTTCCTCGGAAATCTGATCCCAACCCCGACTCACGTAGTAGGTCACCGCTATTCGCTGACCCGACCATGGACACGTCGCGTGCCACACTTTAGGATCAAACGGAACTACCTTGTGCCGGGTGGCGTGCACCTCGCCCCACAGTCGTTCGCCATCCGGTCGAACCTGAGGCAAGGCGCGCTGAGATTGTTCTGAGAGCTGGGGGTTGTGGACCCACAGCCCTCCATCCTTGTACTGCCCCAGTCCTATGAGGTGGTTGGGGTGACTCGCGCTGTTGTTCACATCCCTGTGCACGGGCATCTGATTGTTTCGACTCACTGTGAGTGAGGTCCATTTGGCATCCTTCGGGAGATGTTGTTTTCCAAAAGCATTCAGGTAAGTCGTTAAATGTGGGTATCTCTGAACAGCTTTGGTGGCTCCATAGAAGGCTCCATGGCTGTAGACCCCCAGGGTCAAGTACTCGGCTTCCTTGTCAACCAAACTACGGTTCAGGTTGGGGCTCTTCAACTGGGTCTTATTTAACAGAGCTTCACATGCGGAAAACGAAAAATCTCGCTTCTTCAAAAGTTGCTGGGCCTGTGCTTCAAGGTTTAGTTCTTCAGAACTATACGCCTCGGACCTTTCGGGGGTCTGAACACCTGAAAATACCTGATCCCCGGGAGCCTGGGCAGATACCTTGGACCCTGAAGCCTGTCCTACTGGTCCCTCTGAAGGTCCCTTCACCTCCGAAAGCAAAACCCGATCCCAGCAAAGCGGACACTTCTGCTCCGGAAGGTTCGGAATCCGTAGGTCCTCGCAGAAGCACATAGCCCCTGCTCCAAACAGCTCTGGGAGCTGCGTTGCCCCTAGGCACTCCTGTTGAACGTCGCTGTAGTCCAACTCTTGAAGCACACACTTTGCTACACGTCTCGCAAACTCTACCGTGTACCTAGCACTCGCGGACCCATACTTCCCAGTACATGGAGCATGTTGATAGTTCTTTGGACAACGACACGGAAGGTGAAGGAGCTTTGCCAAGCGACTGTGCGTGGTGATCATTCTCCATCCTTTCTTAAGAAACTTACCCTTGGGCGTCTCCCTAAGGTTCACAGCACACCCTTGAGTCACCACTTCATGCAACTGGTATTTGTCACGCAGCTTCCGAACAATGGGCAACCTCCATGCTAAGGATCTCTCACTCATTTCCCAAACCACGTGAATCCCTCTCTGAACGCAGTACTGAAACACCACGCTGCAGCTGGTATACACGCGCCGTGCTTCAAGCCGCTTCTGTGCCAAAGCCTCCTGTTGTTGAGAATTCCTGGAATTAAGGTTCTGGAGGGGGCTATAGGGTCCCTCAGGGGGTGACAACCACACGCACACTGGCTGCTCGATGTCAATCCTATTCAGCACCACATGGAGTCCTTCCTTGGTTCCTATGTCACACGAATTCCACAACGAACACCGAGTAGCGGCACCCTCATACCCTGCGGCTTGCTGCACAGCACCGGACAAAAGGCTGTCAGGCTCGCAACACACCTCCATGAAAATGCTTCGGTCTTGCGTCACTAAACCTTGGAAGAGGCTAGGGACTAGGGACCAGGCCTTCTCTTCTAAGGCCTGCGCCGCTGCACAGTTAAGCTCGCAACACACACCATCGTTCGAGCCGTCAGCACTCTCACCCGAGGTAGGTGTAGGAACCCCGGTAGCCGTCTCACGGATCACTTCTTGTTCGTGGGCTCCACCTTCTCGAAGCTGCTGATCGATTTCATGTCCTCGTCGGGGTGATTCTCCCGGCGTGGCCTCGATCCGCGGCGGTCGCTCTGCAACTCCGCCACTTCGCTGCGTAGTGCATTGATCGCCTCCATCATCTCCCGCTGCATCAACATCTGAGCACTCTCCATCCCCACACTCGAAGTGGACGCGCCGCTGTGGCGGCTGGACGATTTGGGCGCTGCGCCACTGCTCATCAACGTCTTGGGCGGCTCCTCGCGGCGGCTCTTCCACCCCGTGGCCTTGCGGGGTCCTTCGCTCTGCTCGCTGTTCGTGGCGAGCCACTGCGCCAGGCGATGTAGGCGAGGGTTCGCCTGTCCCTCGCGGGATGTCTGAAGCACCCAGTCGCAATACTGCGGTTCCTTCTGCTTCAGTTCGGCATAGCTGAGGCTTCCGTGCGTCCCGAACCCCACAGGGTCCGTGGCATCGGCCACAGCCAAATCGTACACCTTGACCATGGCCTGGTTGACGAGCTGCTGGATGGTGGAGTTCTCGTTCACATTCAGGCGCAGCTCGTCCTTCAAGTAGGCGATCAAGCTGCTCTTGCGCGCGCTTGCCCGCGTCAAAGCCTTGGTCAACTTCTGGTAGTCGCTGGTGGCCGCCGAACCGGTAGCCTCTGGATCTTGTCCTTTCTCCTTCATGAGTTCTTGGAGCTGCTGCTGCAACTCCAGCTTCCTGGTGGTCATCTCCGCATGGCCTCCCAATTCGTGGATAGCCTCCACAAGCTGAGTCTTGTTCATGCTGCTCACGCTGGGCATGTTGCGGGGACACCGTCGGTGGAGTCGATGGAATGCTCGAGGAGTGCTTGGGATCACTGAGAAGGCTGCTGGTTTTCCAAGACAACTTAGACTCTGGAAGTGGAAATACGTCACTCACACTCCTATCAGCATGCACACAAGACTGCTCACTACCCTGGGGGAGCGGTGTATGTACATCTGATACAAACCCTTTGCCTGCAAAACTTTCTTCACCCTTCTGCTGCAAGGCAGGCGCTGTGCGCGGCAGAAGGAGCTGTCCCTACTCATCCGGTAGGATCACGTCCTGCAAGCTTTCGATCGTCTTCTTCAAAGGATAAGAACGCTCGTACAAATCTTCGGTAAGGGACAACAATTGATGGCCCGTAGCAGACCTCTCCAAACGGATCGCCCGATTGGGGTCCAGACGTCGAAAGATAGCAAGATCGTGTTCAAAATCTATGAGGGCGCCTAAGGCGCGCAGTGAGTGCACCGAAAGTAGCACTGGACCCGATCCTTTGTCTAGCGTATGCACCCGGAGTTTTCCGGGCTGGCCCTGGGCTCTCAAGCGTACCTCAGTTGTGCTGATACATGTGTCCATACTGGAATTGCCAAAGCTGAACGTAGGGCGGTCGGACTTGTCGATCGAGAGGATGCCGTCCTCGCCGAAGTTCCGTTGGTTTTGGCGCCCCAAAGCTTCCAGCGCCTCCACGCTCGCGATGGTGCGAGTGGCTCCGCCGTCGACTACGGCCTTCCCTGCTTGCACTGCTTCCGAAGTGCTCAGACCCGTGCTCAATGCCAACTCATGATCCTCCATTGTTTGGCTGGCCAGGCAAACGAAGGGAGCGGCTTCATCGGTTTGCCGCGCTTCTTCCTGTTTCTCAGGACATGTAGATGTACGATGGCCCTTCTTTCCACATCGGAAGCAGGTGATCTCGGCATCATTGCGGGGTGCCCCGGTGTTCCGGGGGTTCGGTCCGAATCCGCGGCCCTTGCCGCCACCATACCGGCGCCCAGCATTTGCTCCTGCGCCCGTGGCGTAGTAGCGACGCGATAGACGGACCTCGGATTGACGGGCCCTCGCATCCTTGAGTGTCCGGCGATTCTTCTCAATCGCTGCCATGGCTTCTTGCGCTTCTGATTCTGCCTCCTCCATAATGACGAGGCCCTCTTCGGTCATGCCCTCGTCCTCCAGGTCCTCCTTGGTGTACTCTGCCTCATAGGCCTGCTCCTCATCGTCCTCGTGCAACTCGCCCATGTACCCGCTCTGGCGGTTCTGCTTGTCCCGGCGCTGCAGCTCAGAGTCTGGCCACTGTGACCGTAGCTCTGCCGCCACATTCTGTAGCTCATAGTTGCCACGAAGAGCCGTCTGCACCAAGTTCCTCTCTTGGATATTGAGGCCAGAGTCTTGGAGAAGAAACCATCCCTGAAGGAAGGTTGGCACCAACTCAGGCATCACAGGCTCCTGAGTTTCCGTAGCCGGCGAGGAGGCCCACGCCGTCCCTGCCTGCCACGGCTGACCCCAGTCACTGTAGTTCCACGAGTTGTAGCCATAGCTGGACCAAGAGGCACCATACCAGGCATTCTCATGCCACGCACTGTTCCACCGATGATCTCCGTCTTGCCCTTGGCCTGTGGTGGCCGAGGTCGGAGCTGCCGCCTGGCTGTCCTCCTCGGCGTCGGCATCACCCGGAGTGGTGGTACTCGGTACTTCCTCGGTCCCCATGGAAGCCTGAGAGTCCCAGCTGCCACGGCGTCCACCTCCATAGGTCCAGGAGCTCTGCGGCGGCTGTGCCGGGATCCCCCGACCGCCGCGGTTCACTTTCTGGTCCTTGGAGACTCTCACCATGGCTTGTTGTGCACGAACATAGGCTTCACACTTCCTGGTCACGTAGTCGTTCACCGTCTCATGGGGTTTCCGCTTGGTGCCCCGGAAGTACTTCATGAGAAGCTCTGATAGCTCCGGAAGCTGTGGTCGTCCCAGCTTCTGACGAAGGAAGTTCATAAGAGCCTTCACGCCGTCTGCATGAACGCCCCATCCGGGGTCTTGTCCCAGAACCAGCCGTTTGGCTGCGCCTGAGAGCTCTGCTTTCAACTTTGGCACGCACATGTGTCGCTTGTGGTACGCCTGGGTCTCGACCCAGAGTAGGCTTTCTTCCTCATAAGCCTGGAACAAGGACGGGTCCCCGTTCCACTGGGGCACACCATCTTTACTTCGAGATGGACCATCACTTGCCATCCTGAAAGAGGCGAACGTCTTTCAGGTCACCGCGCGAAGTGGCCCTGGATCGCGGCTCTGTCCTCAAAGGAGGTAGCTTCAGGAACCTGACGAATCAGGCTCCGCTACCATGAAAGTGTGGTAGCTCACTGTGCCCCAGCGCTCGACGATAGGAGGGTGCTCGGGAGTGCTTCCAGAAGAATGGCTAGGCGAACGTAGCTGAAGCTGGAATCAACGCACTCTTTTGCTCGGGCTCCCTTCCTCGATAGTCAAAGCTGCGAGAAGACCGTGAATGCGTCTGATGCACTCGAAAGCAGAATGTCTTTTGCAGGGTTTAGGCTTTGAAGGTTTCGGCTTCCAAAGGGACCTGAAACCCTAAAGCTTAAACCCTACCTTAACCCTGAATAACCCACCTTTTTAAGGTTCCTAATTGTGTTTTCCTTATATATGTCATTAAAAAGGTAGGTTACTCCGGGTTAAGGTATACCCTAAACCTTAAGCTGTATATACCTTAACCCCAAATAGCCTACTTTTCTACGGACTTACATAAAGAACTCATGTTAAGGAGCTCTAAAAAGGGTAGGTTCTTCAGGGGTCCAGGCACACCCCGAAACCCTGAACCCTAAACCCTTATACCCTAAACCCTAAACCGTTGTACCCTAAACGCTTGTATCCTAAACCCTAAACCATAAACCCTGATACCCTAAACCCTAAAGCCTAAACCCCAAACGACCCATGGCCTGGTTGCGCTTAGAGCTGGTGATCTCCACGCCACACAAGGAGATGGGCTGCTGCCAGTTCTTTATGAAGTCTACCATGTCCTTGGGTTCTTTTTTCAGGGTTTAAGGGTAGTTCTTTGTGAAGTCTACCATGTCCTCTGTTCTTTTTTAGGGTTTAAGGGTAGTTCTTTATGAAGTCTACCATGTCTTGGGTTCTTTTTTAGGGTTTAAGGGTAGTTCTTTATGAAGTCTACCATGTCCTGGGTTTTGAGGTTTAGGGTTTAAGGCTTTCGGGTAGCTTCAGGGTTAAGGGCTTTAGGGTTTTAGGGCGCCCCTTCTTGTCCTTGGTTTTGGGGGTTCATTTTTTGAGGGTATCAGAGTTTGGTTTTAGCGTTTAGGGCCTTAGGTCGGGTTTTGGTGCCTTTTCCTTTTCTTTCGACAACGTCCTCGCCCAGACCCCCGGGAGGATCTAGAAAGTAGATCCCCTAATCTGGGGCCCTATACTACTAAGGGTACTTTATCGGAATCCCCATTAAGGGATCTACTTTTTGGATCCTCCCGGGGGTCTGGGCGAATACGGGTGTATAAGGGCTTAGGGGAGGTTCTTTACGAAGTAATCGGGTTTAGGGGCTGTTCTTTATGAGGTCTGCCATGTCCTTGGTTTTTTGGGTTTTAAGGCATTAGGGTTTGAGGCTTTAGGGTTTAGGTGCTGTTTCTGTGCAGTCGACAACGTCCCTGGAAAGGGGTGTATAGGGGTTCAGGGGCGGTTCTTTATGAAGACTACCATGTCTCTGGCTGCTGCTATAGACAGTACCAATGGTAGTATTACTCGCACTGCTGCAGTTTGTTTTTTTACGGCTACATTTCTCGGTAAAGCATGTCTATTGATGCTGCGGCTGCTTCTGCTACTGCTGCTACTACTACTACTACTACTACCACTACTACTACCACTACCACTACTATCCAGCGCCGATGCCAAGAATCCGTGACCGGATCCAGCAAGCTGAGGAAGAAGCTGTCCATGTGCGTCCTTTGGGTACAGCACCCCGAGTGATTAAGGCTGTAGGTTGAGGGCTTGTAGGGCCTGTAGGGTTTAGGGTTTAGGGGTTTAGGGTTTAGGGGTTTAGGGGTTTAGGGGTTTAGGGGTTTAGGGGTTTAGGGGTTTAGGGGTTTAGGGGTAGGGTTAAGGGCCCTACCGTTGTAAGGACTTATTATAAGGAAAACATAGTTAGGAACCCTAAAAAGCTGGGTTGTTCAGGGTTAAGGTAGGGTTTAGCTTGTCGGTCTTAGGATTGAGGTACAAGACAGCCATTATGAAAGGGCCTAACATTGTACCATATGGGTGGTTGCCAAAATTAGGGTCCCTGTTTGGGTCCTTCGTAAAATACGGCACCTAATATTTAGTACCCAAAAATCACCAAAATTTTGACAATTACCCATATGTGTCCTGGCCGACCCGATGGGCATATCCAGCGTGACTTCGAAGCGCAGTCGGTCCAGCTTCTCTTTCCTCAGCTCAAACAGGGCCCCCAAAAAACACATAAGCAAAAATTAGGATAGGGATATCCCATATAAACCCCATATAAGGAAGCCCAATAAGGCAGGGATATCCCGGTAAAATGCTTATGCTTTATGTGCATTTTGGGTCCCTAATCAAAGGCTCCGAATTAAAATATTCATGTTCCTTGCAAGAAGCGGTTCTCGTATCTTGATTGAAGACATATTCCGTAATTGCTGAATTTAGGGGTCACTGGGAATGCGGTTTCGAGCTTCAGTGGTTTCGGGGAGTACGGTTTCGAGTTGAGGAGTTTAAGGTTTAGGGGGCACAGCTTCGGGATCACAGAGATTGCGTATTGGTCTTTTTCTGGACTTTTGCTGTCACGGGTAGAGGTACATCTGTTAAACTACTGGGCAGGTTCCTCTCACTATGTGACTATGTTTTCGTACAAGCATCTGTATATATATATATACACACACACACAAACATCGAAATTAATGTACATACAATTCTGCAAAACATACAAAAATCAACGAAAACACATATGAATTAATAAGTTCGTGTGTATGCACATATTTACGCGGAATCGAAATGGGCTCAAATAGGTCGGCCCAATATCAATAAGTTGGGGAGCACTCCCTCTATGATGCATGTAGGGCACAACCCGGAAACCTTAAGCCTTAAGCACAAACCGCTGCACACGGCCCTACAGCGGAAAGTCGAAAGCGCCCACCGTGAACCCTAAGGGGTCAGCCTGGTGAGCAATTCCAGCACTGATTTGGGAGTTTCCGAAAATTAGGGGTACCTTACTTTTGGGTCCTTATAATAAGGATCCTATGATTTAGGGCACTAGATCAGGGTCCCCTATCTTCGGAAACTCCCATTTGGGGAGCCGAATAATCTGAAGCTAGCCGAACCACAACGGCCTCAGCAATACTCCACTGTCCACTGTCCACTGTCCACTACTACTACTACTACTACTACTACTACTACTACTACTACTACTACTACTACTACTACTGCTACTGCTACTGCTACTGCTACTGCTACTGCTACTGCTACTGCTACTGCTACTGCTACTGCTACTGCTACTGCTACTGCTAACTGCTGCTGCTACTGCTACTGCTACTGCTACTGCTACTGCTACTGCTACTGCTACTGCTACTGCTACTGCAACTGCTACTGCTACTGCTACTGCTACTGCTACTGCTACTACCACTACTACTACTACTACTACGACTACTACTACTACTGGGCTATGGGTGGTTTGAGAATGGAGGATATGGCGGTGCAGAGTGTACAGTGTACAACTCTATGTGACTTCATGAGGCCAGGTTTTGGACTCGAGCTGTTGCGTTTCGGCAGTTTTCTGCTTTCGGGCTTTGGGTTCTCCCAGACCACGAGAGACTTCAAAAAAACATGATCTCCGCAACTCCGGCCTGGCACCCTGTACCAACAGTTTAGGGAAGTTTAAGATTTACCTTAGCCCTGAAGAACCTACCTTTTTAAGGACCTATATAAGGAAATCAAAATAGGGAACCCTAGAAAGGTAGGTTATTCAGGGCTAAGGTAGGGTTTAGGGAGATCAGTTGAAACTGTCTGGTAGATCAATTGGCCCAGCGATCCCATACCCCTTAATTAAGGAATACAATATACCTTAACATTGTTCGGATCTCAAGGGGAACTGTACCGACAATGATCCCAATGTTGACTTCGGATCTATACAATCCCGAAGGCGCTGAGAGCCCCAAACCCGAAACCAACCCTAAGCCCTGAAACCTCATTAAAAAATCAGGGTTTAGGCTTTCGGGTTTCATTGGTGCTTGTGCTCTTTATTGCTTGTTGTAAGCGTAGATTCGCGCTTACATCAGCCTTACTACTGCTATTCGAAGATCGAACCCGCAAACCCTACTGCTATTCGAAGATCGAACCCGTAAACCCCAAAGCCAAGCTTCCAGGACTGCAACACCTTTAGGGTGTCTTCGCGAAACATCTGGTTCAAGGCCACCAGCTTGTTCAGAATACTGAAAACCAGTGCCACGATCGCCAAGAGATTGCTCAGGCAAACGATGCCTTGGTGTCTATGGTATTGGTCTTCGGCTTCCTGTAGACCCCGGATAAACAACCCCGCATCCCGTAATGAAGACTACAATAGGCATCCGAAGATGACGGCTTTAAAGGAAAGGGCGTTTGCTACTCAGAGGTCTACATTCACCACATGATGGACTAGGGTTTGTGCATACCCTCATCCCTGACCGCGGCCTATGGTTTGGGTCTAGGGTTTAGGTGTCTTGAGGCCCACAAGCCTTATGACATATATACTTATAAAGCTTTCGGACGCAATTCCCTGGGAATCAGGGATGTGCCCTAAAGCCCTAAACCCGTGACTCAAACCGGTTGCTGGCCGAAGTGAGAGAGTCTTCCGAAGCCACCAGAAGCATCTCGCTCGTCACGTACCTTGCTGCAGGGCTTCGCATTTACGTGTCAAGGATTTAAAAGTTCTAGGGAAATTGATTTTGGGGCTTCAGGGTTTCAGAGATGGGGATTTACGGCTTCAGGATGCACAACTCGCTCGCCTTAAAACCCGAAGCCAAAAAGGTATGTTCACAGTCTAGAGTACCCCATTACCGCCAGTGCTGCTGCTGCTGCTGCTGCTGCTGCTGCTGCTGCTGCTGCTTGTACTACGGTTGATGATATAAATCCTGCATTACCTTAAGGTCCCTAAACTATGGGGAATTATGGTATATTCCTTATTATGGGTACTGCGGGATTTATATCATCAACCGTACCAATGCCACCACGACTGACAGCAACACCAACCCACAGTTAGCAATATCAATCAACTACAAGGCTTGGCAGTAGGAGTCGCAGCAAACTTCGGCGCTTTTAGTGGTACTTCGTCGTCGTAGTCGTACTGGTAGTAGTAGTAGCAGCAGTAGTAGTAGTAGTAGTAGTAGTAGTAGTAGCAGTAGTAGCAGTAGCGTAGCAGTAGCAGTAGCAGTAGCAGTGGGAGTAGCAGTAGCAGTAGTAGTAGTAGTAGTAGTAGTGGTGGTGGTGGTGGTGGTGGTGGTGGTGGTAGTAGTGGTAGTAGTAGTTCTGGTAGTAGTGGTAGTAGTGGTAGTAGTAGTAGTAGTAATAGTAGTAGTAGCAGCAGTAGTAATAGTAGTAGTACTAAGCAGGAGCAGCAGCAGCAGCAGCAGCCACGGCGGCGGCGGCGGCAGCGGCGGCCGCAGCAGCGGCAGCAGCAGCTGCCGCAGCAGCAGCAGCGGCGGCCGCAGCAGCAGAAGTGGCGGCTGCAGCAGCAGCGGCGGCAGCAGCAGCGGCGGCAGCAGCAGCAGCGGCAGCAGCAGCAGCAGATTGTGTCTGTTAAAAGCCTGACGCCCTAGTCGGACGCCGCGAACGCAAAATGTTGAACCCAATCCGTGCAGCGCAAGAGCAGCACCGTCACGGCGAGGATGCCACTAAGCAGCTTCTCGACATGCACCTTCAGATTCTCACAGCTCATTCCCAAACCCTAAATGCCGAGGTGAAGGGTTCCAGTAACCCCCCACTGTCCCGGGCTGGATCCGAAATATACCTATCCAACAGAGGCCAAGTAACCAAAGACCAGGGTTTAGAATACAAGACCGACATTCTGAATGGTTTTTGGTGCCTGAGCTGAAGCCCTAGCCGGAGAATGGGAGCCGCGATATCCGTTCCTGCGAGCCCCTCCTTGATACAATCAAAGTATATAGGAACCTGGACAGATCCGCCTACATGCCAGGGCTTTCTTCAGGGCTCCTTCTGTGCACATGCTCCTGCAGGGGCCCTTTTGACGCTTGAATTCTTCCGGCCCTTTTTATGTGGCTCATGACATTTGAACGCAGCAGATCTCCGCAAATCTTGGATTTCGAGTTTGGGGGAAGCATTCGGAAGAAAGATGCCAGGACCAGAAAGTCATGAGCGATCTTGATATTGGGTCGTCGGCAGAAGGAGCTTGCAAAGGTGTGCCTTTCACACCGATCTGCAGTGTAGACGCCCGGGGAATCAATCTCTGGTTTAGGGTAGGTTTAGGGGTTTAGGCGTTTAGGGCTTAGCGTTTAGGTCTCAACCCCAACCCTTCGCCCGAACGCTGCGCCTGCAAGACGAGTGCATTTGCGCGCGTGACGATACGGAGCAAGGCAAAGCGTCTGGCAGCCAAGATCTTCACCTCGAGGGGTTCCGGTTTAGGGTTTACCCTAAGGCCCCATAGTAGTTCTTTTTGGGATTCACATATAGAATCCTATAAGGTACTCCCAGAAACGAACTACTGTGGAGCCTCTGCGTAGGCAGACTGTACAACTATCGTATCCAAGAATCCTACAGGCCGAGGCTGGCGAGGGGTTTCGAAGCAGAGTTCCTTCTGGGGTTTAGGGTGTACTTGGAAGGGCAGGGGACCTAGTAAGTAGGTTATAAGTAGGGTTATAATTGGGGTAACTCCATTTAGGGTACTTATAACTCTACTTATAACCTACTTACTAGGTCCCCTGCCCTTCCAAGTAAGGCAATTGAGGGCTTGAGGGTAATTTCGGGTTGTGGGTTGGGTCGACGCCTCTTACATATATATATATATATATACATATATTATATGTACGGCCATCAGGCGACATCGTAACATGGTCTTTGTCCGCATCATGGTCGTCCCTGCATCGCCACAGTCATAATATTAGTAGTGGCAGTAGTAGCAGCAGAAGCAGTAGCAGCAGCAGTCGCAGTCGCAGTCGCAGTCGCGGTCGCAGTCGCAGTCGCAGTCGCAGTAGAAGTAGAAGTAGAAGTAGAAGTAGTAGTCGTCGTCGTCGTAGTCGTAGTAGTAGACTAGCACCACCACCACCAGCGCCGTAAATCTTCAGCAACATTGCCACCATGTTCATCCATGGCGGCAATTTGGGAGATTGGTACCACGACTGGCACAGCATCAACAACATGAAGCATCACCTCCGCGGCATGCTAACCCAACGAACTATACGTTACACCGAAATATTCATTCAACCTCAGACGGATGCCCAGAAGCCTACTTCCAAAACTCCGAACCCTAAACCCCTAATCCCAACACCCACGCCTCTTTGTTGTGTGCAGGGCAGGGCTGCTCCTCCAGTAGCTGCTCGTCGTCACCAACGACTGTGGCTCTTCGTCGTCGAGATTTCCGCCGCGGCTTGGTGGTCCCAACGGACTCATTCCTTGGAGGCTTATTTCGTGTCAGGTTTTAAAGGACCCTATAATTAGGTACTCGGGTTTGGGATAGTAGTTATGTAGGCTACGATTTGTGGGAGTACGTGATAATTAAATACTTGAACCCTTAGGGCTCCTAACCGTTGATTTTCCAGATCTCTCCTATTTACAAAACTGTAATATGCGAACCTGATTGAGAAACCTAGAACCTTACCTTCTTCGGGTGCTACATATGAATCCTAACATTTTGGGGTTATAGGGCCAGGGTTTCTTAATCAGGTTGCTACATTAGGAATCTAACGTGTTTCGGATTCTTGAAACAAAGGTAAGCAAAGCAAGCACGGTGCTGCGATTCAGGTCTCTGAGCTTCGGGCGAAACGGTTCATGGGGCTTAGAGTGCTACTTGCAATCCAGCGTCTTTCTCAATGAGATTTCACTGAGGTTTGTGTTCACCTCGTGAACTCGCTCCAGGCTGTTAACCTGGGCTTTTAAGTAACCAGGGAGAAAAAAGCATAAACGTTTATTTCATAATGGTTCCTTTAACGAAAAGAGTATTAAAGTATGGTACTCCAAAACCCAGTAACCTTCTCCATCTCCTCATCCACTTGTCCACGCACATCGTCAAAGAACAATGTGTACCTCGGCAAGCCGATGATCATGTTCTGCTTACGTCATGACAGCGCCTGAATAGCTTTATGATCGATATTGCTGCTGCAGTGCACCTATACCCTAAACCCTAACTAAACCCTAAACCCTAAACCCCGAAACCCTAAACCCTAAACCCTACCGGAAAGCCAGGCAAAGTAGTAAGAGTGCGACTCAGGGTTCTGGTGTATGTATTAGGTACTGCCCCCCAGACGGAAAGAGTCTATAATAGGGCTACTAAGTAGTTTAGGGTTTAGGGTTTAGGGCTACATGAAGGTCCTGATATGTCTATATTATGAATATTATTCAACTACTACTGAGTGGGGGCCGTACACCCAATGCATGTACATCAAGGGGGGTTTAAGGTTTCGGGTGTAGGGGGAAAACGGATTTTTCATCATTCAGACCTCCCGTGTGCTTTGCGGGGTTCGGGTTTCTGCACGGAGCCTTACCAGCAGTGTTAAAGAACTGTTCAGACCTCGTTCTTGATTTCTAAACTATGGCTACAATAATCAAGGGATCCTGAGGAACAATGTTGCTAACATGTACTAACGACTCAGACCGCGATATTCCCAGAGACTGCAGTACCCCTTCATTCAGGAATGTGTATATATATATATATATATATATTAAATCATAACCACTTGGGGCTGAATTCATGATTAAAGGCCTCTTCCCTCATTCAGGGGAATTCTTGGAGTCACCTCTTCTTCCCTACAGGAAACCCCAAACCCAAACCCTAAACCCCGAAACTTTAAACTCTACACCCTAAACCTCTAAACCCCTAAGCTCTAAACCTAAACCTTAAACCTCTAAACTCCTCAAACCCCAAACCTTCCTACAGCGGACCTCATCGAGTCGGTACATGCGAAGAGAAGTTGAGTGAAGCCGTCCTCGACAAAGAGAAACGGGCTTAGAGTTGAGGGTTTGGGTGTAGGGGTTTACGTTTAGGGCTTTGGAGACTTAGGCCTTGTGTTTTTTGTGCAATTTTTTATTTGTATATTTTTTCCGGTTGCGGCTTTGGGGGTTTAGGGTTTAGGGGATTGGGGCTTTGGGGGTTTTGGGGATTAGGGCTTTGGGAGTTTAGGCGCTAGGGTTGGGGAACATGCCCATGAAATGGTTTCGGGCTTACCTGGGGATCCCAAAACCTACTGTTTTCGGTGTTCCAAGGGCTCACGACTGATCTACTATTTTGTAGGGTTTGGGGATACAGGTAGAGTTTGAGCCGCAGTGCGTCCCCTTCCAGTCCGTCTATGATTACATGATTACGCTAAACTGTAACCACCCGCACCCCCCCCCCCCCCAACTCCGCAGGCACTTTAAATGCTTGGGTTTGGGGTTTACCTATAGTCTCCATTGTAGTTCCTTTTTGGGGTTACCTTCTAGGATCCTTAATATAAAATTGGTTAAACCAAAAAAAGGAACTACAATGGAGACTATAGGTAGGGTTTAGGGGGAGCTGATTTTCATCTCTGCAGCTACAGCAACCAAAGGGGACAGCTCGACTCGTCCGACAAACTGACTAAGACTTAACCCTAAGCACCATACCCCCAAACCTAAACCCTAAACCCCAAACCTAAACCCTAAACCCTAAGCACCCATATCCGCAAACCTAAACCGGAACCCCAACTCCAAAACCTAGACCCTAATCCTTAAACCCAAATAACTTACCATTTTAAGGACATAGATAAGGGAATCATAATAGGGAACCCTAAAAAGAAAGGTCCCATAGGGTTCAGGTAACCCTTAAGCCCTACTTGGAAGGGCAGGGGACTTAGTAAGTAGGTTATAAGTAGAGTTATAAGTATCCTAAATGGAGTTACCCCGATTATAACCCTACTTATAACCTACTTACTAAGTCCCCTGCCCTTCCAAGTAGGATCTTGAAGCTTTGGCTTTTTTGGGTTAAGGAAGAACGGAAGGTGTCGGGCCTTTGGGGTTGATACGCCTTTATCTAGGGTTGTCTGCGCTGCCCTTACCCTTTTCGGTTTAGGGTTTAGGGGCATTGTCTATTCTACGGGACGACTGAGCAGGCCAAATCTATATATATATATATATATACACACACATACATATACACATATATATATATATATGTATACTATCTATATAATGTAGATGTTGAGCGCAACTACTCTGCCTGTTTGTGTTATGTATCTTATTTGTCGGGGGGCAGCTAGAATTCGATCCGAAACCCTTAACCCGAGAACCTTAAAGCCCCTAAGTGTGTGCGTGTATGTGTATATATATATATATATTGATTGTATATTGTATTGTGATTTCCGTATGTATGTCCTTAAAGACTTTTGCTGGGGTTAAGGTAAGCCCTGAATAGGTAAGGTTCCCCAGTAGCCCATTCACAACAAGGGTGTCCTTCTCCTACTGTTTGGCTTTAACAAGGGAACCCCAAATCAAAAACAAAGTCAAAAGGGTACTACTGCAGAACCTAGACCTAGGGCTCCATGTACCCATATAGTAGATACTTAAGCCTTAAAGGGCTCCCTATATAGGCACTTTAAGGCCTAAGTATATACTATATATGGGCAATTACATGGAGCCTTAGGGTAGAAGGAAACCGGTCCTGCTCCATCTTTGTGTGACGCCGCTCATCCACCAACCAGAGCTTCCGCTGAGATTGATGGCCCGTCAGTGGCGTGTCCTCGCGGCAAAGAAAAGCAAGGTCTCTAAACCTATATAATTCAATGCCTTAACCCTAGCTCCCCTTCGTTCTCTAAGACTCCAGATCTGTAAGCCATCTAGTTCGGAGCTTTCGCATTTAGTATCCTTGCAATCCTTTGTTCCCCAGTAGGTCCTCTTTTTAAGGGTACCCTGTTTCCTACGACTCAGTCATAATAATCCCTTCCCCCTAATAATATTAAACGCCCCACCCTCCCCTAATATAAATTTTGATTTCCGGGATTTTAAATTAAATATTAGGGAGGGTTTCGGGGTTCGGAGCATCCACGTATGAGTGGGATTGAGAGTAACAATGAGCCAGACACAAAGACCGCCCATCACGCAGGGAGCCGACCGTCCCGCACTAAACCCTAAAGCCCCAAAGCCCTAAAGATCTAAACTCTATAAAGCCCTGAGCCCTTTACCCTTAAACCCTAAAGCTCTGTAGTCTCTGGGTCGATTAAATCTCATACAATCCTAGCTCCCCCGTATTTTTTTCAATTAACTTTGAATTGTGGGCCCGAAATCGCGAAATCCTGGTGGCGAGTTTATTTCATATTGGGGAGACTTTAATATTACAGGGAACTCCAGAAAGTTGGAATATGGATTAATGGCAGGATCCCCTATAATTTACCTTAAAGGGGTTACGACAATGATATTCCAACTTTCTGGCTTCTACTGTAGGGGGAAGGGATTACAGAGAATCCGAGACAGAAACTTAGGGGCGGAGGACCCTACTTGGAAGGGCAGGGGACTTAGCAAGTAGGTTAGAAGTAGAGATATAATTATAAGTACCCTACATGGAGGTACCCCAATTATAACCCTACTTATAACCTACTTACTAAGTCCCCTGCCCCTCCAAGTAGCCAAACAAGGTGCCATGTTTTAACTATGGTAGGGTTATATTGACCCCAAAATAGGGACCCAAAAAGCACGTAAGCATAAGCATTTTATAGGGATATCCCTACCTTAATGGGCTTCATTATAAGGGGGTTTATATGGGATATCCCTATCCTAATTTTTGCTTGTGTGGTCTTTTGGGGCCCTATTCAAAAGGTTAAAGGTTACCTAGTCAGCTACTAAGAAGGGGACAGGGAGTCCACTGGGATCCCTGGCTTGGAAGGGCAGGGGACTTAGTAAGGGCTCTTAATGGCCTCCTTAAATTGGATCTATAGGGTTCCTTAAAGGGGATCTATAAGGTTTAGGGATTAGGGTTTAGGGACTTAGCAAGTAGGTTATAAGTAGGGTTATAATTGGGGTACCTCCATTTAGGGTACTTATAACTCTACTTACAACCTACCTACTAAGTCCCCTGCCCTTCCAAGTGGAACCCAGAAACTCCAATATCCCTTCATTAGGGAACATTCCTTACATCATACGAGGGGTCCTACTATAATTTACAGAATGCTCCTTAACCCCCTTGTAGAACCCTATAGATCTTTTTAAGGAACCCTTAGGTCCCTAGTAGAACCCTATAGATCCCTTCAAGGAACCCTTAGGCATTTCCCTTAATCAAGGGATCTTCGAGTCTCTGGGAATAAGGGAGCCTAACTTCGTAGCGGGCCGATGGGAGGATCCCCGCGGCACGGGTCCTCATGATAAGGCTCCGACTCTTTGGTGTATAGGGCTTAAGGCTTAGGGTTTAAGTTTAGGGTTTTTGTTGATTTAGGGGTCTAGGGGTTTTATGGGTCTAGGGGTTTAAAGGTCTAAAGTGGAGAGGTTGAAGGGTTTCGTGGTTCAGGCAAGTTTGAGGCTTGCTCTGGGCGACGGTTTGTGGCGCAGGGTTTGGGGTTGAACCACAAGCAACCAGCCCTTGGGAACCCACAGAAGCCTTTCTAAACCCTTGAGGGTTTAGGGTTTCGGGCTTACTGATTAAGGTTTAGGGTTTAAGGTTCCGGGCGTAGAGTTTAGGGTATAAGGGTTTAGGGTTTCGGGCTTGCTGATTAGGGATATCGCAGTCTGAGGGCTTGGAGTCTTGCTGAGGTTATTGCGGAGTGGTAGATGGACACATTTTGCTGGATACCCTAAACCCTAAACTCAGAACCGTGGCTAGAGAAGTACGTCTTCAGAGCTTCCTCCTGCAGAGGATCCTATTGCAGTTTTCGGTGCAAGAGGTATTGCATTGTGCAGTATCTTGCGTTTGGGGTTTGGGGTTTGAGCGCTCAGAGCCTTACATAGTTAAACAAGGAACCTGTAAAACGGTCCATGTATGTACGTTGTTTAGGGTCATACCTTTTTTTGAAAGGTACATTGGCAGCCTAGGTAACCCGAAAACGTAAGACCTCAAGGGTACAGGGCTCTGGGGATTTCGGGGTTTAGGGTAGGGTTACGGAGACTCGGCCCGTCTCCTAACAACCATCGCGACTCCGAGATGTACAGCGGTTTCGGTTTCCAGGTCAAGAGGGATAGTTCTGTAGAACTGAGGGTAAGTGAGAAGGGACTAGGGATTATCTACTTACACCCTACCTACTAAGTCCCCTGCCCTTCCAAGTACCTGCTGTGCTTAGATTGCCAATGAGGAAGCTCCTCGTGTCCAGCATCTGACTCCTCTGTGGGCCTCAACAATGACCGCTGACATCACGACAAAAATTACGAGTGAGTGAAGTTGGTAAATTTCGCGGCCCAGGGTTCGGGCAGTTAAGCTCAACACCGATTGGCCTTAACTGTTGGAATAGGGGTTGAAACTGTAGCTTACGGCTGGATGTAGGGTTTGGGGGCCGATGAGCCTTAACTCTTGAAGTAGCGGTTTCGTGGCCGAACGCCTACCGATCCTACTGCCCTGAGGTTCGAAAGCACATGGGGAAACACACACACCAAACCAAACCTAAACCAAACCTCAACCTACCAACAAGTACGATAGCTGTCGCCGCGACTTGCTCTACTTTTTTCGAAATTTGCGACAAAGCCAGAAACTGTGGTCCAAATCGGCCGTCGGCTCAACCCCCACCCCAAACTGCCCCAAACTCCCCAAACCTCCAGGCCCCCAAACTCCAAACCCCAAACCACAAACCCCAAACCCCCAAATCACCAAACCTCAAACCCCAAACCCCCAAACCCCAAACCCCCAGCCCCACCATTGGGGGCAGCGAAAAAACAGTTGAGGTTTGGTTTAGGTTTGGTTTGGTGTGTGTGTTTCCCCATGTGCTTTCGAACCTCAGGGCAGTAGGATCGGTAGGCGTTCGGCCACGAAACCGCTACTTCAAGAGTTAAGGCTCATCGGCCCCCAAACCCTACATCCAGCCGTAAACTACAGTTTCAACCCCTATTCCAAAAGATAAGGCCAATCGGTGTTGAGCTTAACTGCCCGAACCCTGGGCCGCGAAATTTACCAAGTGAAGTATCTGCTTATACTGTTTAAACCCTGAAAGAAGTCTAAACCCTAGACCATAGGTAGCAAACCTCACAATCCAATAAACCCTGAACCCTCAAGAATAAGAAGCTGAGCTTCTACGAGAGTTTGGGCTTTCGGGTTCAGAGCCTCTGAGGAGCAATTTCGGCCTCGAGGGTTCCCAAAGTTCCATGGCGTAAGCTCAACCTTAGCCCTGAACAACCTACCTTTTTTAGGGTTCCTTATTATGATTTCCCTATATAGGTCCTTAAAAAGGTAGGTTCTTCAGGGCTAAGGAAGACTCAGGAGGAATTGAACTCAAAGCGGAGTTGGGATTCGTTTTTCCTTTTTTCGAACCCTCGTGCCTTTTGACCGAATCGCCGCAGGACTTAGGGTTTAGGGTTTAGGGATTACAGTGGTAGTTGAACTCAAAACTTTCTAGACCCTCTACACCCCCAAACACACAACACGAGAACCCAGACCCGGCTCTCCAATCCTAAACCCCGTAGAATCTGGGGAAAAGGAGGGACCCTTAATGGGGACCCTTACCCTATAATGGGCTTTCTGATGGATATACAATAGCTATAGTAAGGGTAGCTTTAGACCCTAAACACAGTGCCCTATGAAACCCATGACTCGATCCTGCAAACACAAGGCCAGTGCCCGGTTATCGCGGCTCTGAACCTTATCAGCCCTGTCTGGCTCCCTTCAGCCCTTCTTGATGAAACACCGTCAAACGGCGTAGTTTATGCATGTGTTGGGTTGAAGTTTAACCCTGAACTCCCAATCTTAAGTTGAGCACATCTGCCTGACTTCGGGGTGTGCACTGCGCGGGGCTTAAGGTTGTCTGCTGTGCTGCGTTTTACGGTTTAGCCTCTAAGGCATAGAGTCAATTGTGCAGTCGACAGGGGACAGGGATTTAGGCCTTAAGAGCATGAAACTCTGGAACCCCTGCCGCCACGCAGCAAAGTAAGCCGCAAGTTCTCCATCAGGCTCCAGTATTGCCAGCCCAGGGCTTTCCGCCTGCGGGTTGCTTTCGCTTAGGATTTGAAGTGCTGCAGCAGAACGTTTAGGGTTCAGGGTTGACGGTCCTGGCTTACCCAAAGGCTCCATGTGCCCATATAGTAGATACTTCGGCCTGAAAGTACCTATATAGGGACCCCTTTAAGGCTTAAGTATCTACGATAAAGGTACATCCAGGGCTGGCCAAGTGGCCTAGGGCCCAGGGCTGAATTAAAGCTTCCATTTCTGGGCATGCTAAGCTTGAATAAACGGGGATTTCCGAAAATTTGGGGTACCTCATCTTCGGGTCCTTTTAATAAGGATCCTACTATTTAGGGTGCTACACTAGGGTCCCCTATTTTCGGAAACTATCAAATCAAATTAGGCACTGTTACGGTTTAGGGGAGCCTGAGACTAACCGAAGTACTGTTGATGATATAAACCCAGCATTACCCATAATAAGGAAAATACCATGATTCCCATAGTTTAGGGTCTTTAAGGTAATGCAGAATTTTAAAATCATCAACCGTATTTTGGTAGATTTAGGGTTTGGGCGGTTCCCGGTCCTTGCCGCAAGGCGGAGTAGCAACAAGCAGCCTGGGACACTTGGATTGGATGCCTTATCATATAGGTCTTAAGCACTCTTCAAAAAACGACTGCCTGAACGTCCAGGGCTGAGTACCCTAGCCACAAAAGGGTGACATTTTTTTACACTATGATAGGATTATATGGGTGCTTGTCAAAATTAGGACCCCTTTTTGGGTACCCTAAATATTAGGTGCCGTATCATAATAGAGACCCATAAAGGGACCCAAATTTTGTCAACCACCCGTATAGGTCTTAGCACTCTTCAAAAAACGAGTGTGAGAACGGAAATGTGAACCGGTCCCAAATGCGCTCCCACAACCTCATGATAGAGGATTTTGCTACATTGAATCCCCACCAAAACCCTGTTTGAAGATTGAAGCGTGCAAAGTACCTAGCGACTCCCCAGAGCATGCAACACTAATCTCGTCAAAGTCTCATCTCTGCCTGAACTCTCAACCTTGCACCTTAAACTCGCCACCTGATATCTTAAACTCTGCACCCTAAGCTGTCTGTACGAAGCTTAAACCCTAAACTGTGCACATTGAACCCTCCTGAACCCCGCTAAGCCCTAAACCCGTGTGGTTCCCTTCATAGGTCTTTTTGAAGGAACGTTGTACCTAAGCCCTAAACCCTAAACTCAAATCCTCCCCAGAAACCTGCCAGCCTCTTATCTGGGGCGACAAGGTAAAGAACGGCCAGACAGCCTCGGGGACAAGCGTTAGAGTTTAGGGTTCAGGCCTGACTAAGTAGAATGCGACTTTTGCAGGGGGGGCACAAGTGTTCTTAGGTTCAGGCTCTAATGATTAGAATACTGCTTCTTCTGAGGGAACAAGGAACAGGTGTAATATATGTAGGGGCCTTAATAATCAAAATAGGGCTTCGGTGGAATATTTTACGATAGATATTACTATAAGAAACTTTAACAGATACAGTGTCTTTAGAACATAATGCAGGGGCTAAATATTTATAATACGGTTCCTTCTGAATCGTCTACAAAGCGTTGCTATACAGGGTTCTTGTATAGCGGACCTTAGTACAGAGGCCCTGAATAATCAGGACAAGGTTTTGAGGGTATGTCATACAGTAGCTATCTATAGCAACCAAGTGGTAACCATTCAGGCTCTGTTAGGGGGTCTTAGCATTTGGGATATTATTGCCTCTCTTCGTCGGAGCTGAAGGTTTGGCGATCGTTTATAAATAGGTGGATAGCTTGTTGCAAGCTTGCAGGTAGGGCATGCCCTGGACCTGTAACCCTAAACCCGGAAAACCCCAAAAGCGTAGCTTTTAAACGGTTACATCATAAGGACCCTTAGGGGGATATAGGGGGTCGCAATATTCATAATACGGACTTCATAAGGCCTATTTAAGGAAGTATAATCCTCTACCCCCCCTTCCCCCTACCCCCTGAGGGTCCCTGAAATTTAAGTTAATATAGTCTTCCTGTGACTCTAAACCCTAAGAAATAGCAGGTTATGACCCCTTAATTAGAAGGTAGAACCCTTAAAACGGCAGGTTTTTGGATCCACAGGTCTCTCTTCTCCAATAACCAGGCCCCAAAAAAGTTCAGACTTTGTAAGATAGACCAACTACATAAAGCCAAAGAGTTTAAAGTTCTCCAATTGGCTAAGTAAGAGGTTCAAGCCAGTGAAGGTCAGGCAAAGGCGTCTCAGGCTTTGAGCATTGAACCCTAAAGCTCCAAAGTCTGCATCCCAGCATGGTAAGTCTTAGGATTCAGGGTTTAGGATTTAGGGTTTAGGATTCAGGGTTTAGGGTTTAGGTTTAGGGTTTAGGTTTAGGATTTAGGGTTTAGGATTCAGGGTTTAGGTTTAGGATTTAGGGTTTAGGATTCAGGGTTTAGGTTTAGGGTTTAGGTTTAGGGTTTAGGGTTTAGGGTTTTGGTAAGTCCGGACGCAGATATGGGTGGTTGGCAAAATTATGGTCCCTTTTTGGGTACCCTAAATATTAGGTGCCGTACTATATTAGGGACTCAAAAAGGGGACCATAATTTTGACAACTACCCATATAGAGCCGCATAGCTATATAGAGCCAGTCGCCATATGAGTCCGGGTATTACTTATGAGCTCCTAAACCCAACTCCCGAAGATATCATGTAAACTTTCAGCGGCTTGATTTTGGGGTTGAGGCTTTTGTGCAGGGGGCGTAAGCTGCGGAGTATCGGGCTTTCTTATTATGGACATGCCCAGAGACTGAAGCGATGGCATCTATAGATCTCGATGGCCCCCATATGGGAGTTTCCGAAAATAGGGGACCCTTATGAAGTACCCTAAATAGTAGGATCCTTAATATAAGGACCCCAAAATAAGGTACCCCTAATACTCGGAAACTCCCATATTGCAGCTTCCGAAGCCCTGGGAGCACATGCATCTGACCGCAAAAACACAAGCCCTAAACCTATGCACCTGACCCGATTCTATGAATCCCTTTTCGGGTCTACTGTCTCGGTGACCCTGCTCCAAAGATTGCGACAAGTGGCGAAGCTGAAAGGTGTGAAGTCTCATCAGCGTTCCGATACCTCGAAGGGCACAGCAATCGACAATAACGCAGCAAAGCAGGAGCCTCTATGTCGAGCTTATTGCTACTTGGCGGGGATAATAGAACTGCAGTGATACATACCCCCTACTTGGAAGGGCAGGGGGCTTAGTAGGTAGGTTATAAGTACAGTTATAAGTACCCTAAATGGCGTTACCCCAATTATAACCCTACTTATAACCTACTTACTAAGTCCCCTGCCCCTCCAAGTAAACCCTAAACCCTAACCCTGCCCTGATTCAGGTCTGCGGCAGATCGACATTCGAATCTTGCTTCCCCAATAAGCTACAGAAACAAAAGGCTGAACTTTCAGATTGCACTAAACTATAAGATCCCCAAGAGAATAACCCTAAGCGTCTAAGTACCTACTCATGTAGAAAAAGGTTTTGGAGTATGTTGTGGCGCAAATTCAAACTAGAGCCGCAAAAGATGCAAAGGTCAAGCCCCAATCCCCTGAGCCCCTCTATAAAGAAAGGCCGGAACCCTACATAGGGACCCCGAAAAGCACATAAGCATAAGCATTTTATGGGGATATCCCTACCTTATTGGCCTTCCTTTTAAGGGGTTTATATGGGATATCCGTATCCTCATTTTAGCTTATATGCTTTTTGGGGCCCTGCTACACACTCAAAGCAGCCGCGTGTCAGTGACGGGCCACAAAGGCAGCGGTTGCAAAGGCAGTCACGCAGTACCTGGAAACCCAGAGACTCCAATGTCGCTCAACTGAGGAATATTCCTTAACTCATAATTATTAGGGATCCTACTATAGTTTAAGGTATTGATTATTTAAGGGATATGGCTGGAAACGGAACCCTAACCTAAAGGCTCCATGTACGTTTATCGCAGATACTTAAGCCTTAAAGGTGTCCCTATGTAGGTACTTTAAGGCCTAAGTATATACTATAAGGGTACATGGAGCATTAGGAATATTCCTTAACTCATAATTATTAGGGATCCTACTCTAGTTTAAGGTATATTGATTAATTACGGGATATTGGAGTTTCTGGAAACGGAACCCTGGACCCGAACCCTCAGCCCGTAGAGGGCTTCGGGTCATGTACAGCCTCTTGAGCAAACGAAGAGAAACTCAACACCTGAGCCGACCATGTGTGCATGTATACATGCATACACATGGTCATGTACGCATATCTGTCTGCTGTATGTGTTCATGCATGCATGCATGATGTATGAAAGTATGTATGTATGTATGTATGCATGTGTGTATGTATGTATGTATGCGTGCATATACGTATGTATATCTGTATATATATATATATATATGTACATGCACAATATATGTATACTTATACATATGTATGTATGTGTGTATGTATATACACGCATCAGTAAACACAGTTTCGTATGAGTGAACTTGGCTGACCTCTGAACCCCTCCACAATTTTCAACTTCTGCCCCCTTATTATTATTCATATAGAAACTCAAAAAGTTCAAGTCCTAATAGCCAACCAGAAGAATGCCAAGTGAAGTGTCCAAAGCATGTGTGAAGATTTATGTGTGTGTATATATATATATATACATATATACACATGCAAAGACATATCGGCACAACCGCCACTCATCAGCTCGTCGCTGTCAGAACTACTCCGCGTCTCTCGTAAACATTGCGGGCTTGGGGTTTCGTTTTGAGGATAAACGCTAAGTCATGCCGGAACCTGAATGTGCTTGTCCAGCATCCTCGAGAAACTAACGGTCAACCTTATGGATTAGGGTCTAGGGTTTAGGGCTTGCAGGGTTTATAGGGTTTGCGGTTAAGGTTTATGTAGGGATCACAGCACCCACCAAAAAGTCGAAGGTCACCTACTGTACTACTAGCCTCAAAGAGAGCTTAAGCTTGGAGTAGCAGGCAGGACGTTCAGAACAAAAAGCAGACAACACCATACAGAGTTGTTGTTAAGGACCTTGAATCACTGTGATAAGGAAATTGTACTATTGGTAGTTCCCGTAGATCCCTTACACTCCTTAACCAGAGCCCAGAATACAGAGGTGAATTTATCGGCTCCTCGATTTGTGCTAACGACAAGGACCGCCCTAAACTCGTAATGTAGGGGGCTGTACCACTGCCAATTCCTGAGGGGCTAGTGTAGGAACCTTATAAAGAAACAATGGGCGCTTTATTAGGGCTCCTTATATGAATCCTACTCCTTTGGGTTAGAGGCCCAGGGTTTCTTAATCAGGTTCCTACATTATATACTACAAAACGCGATTGTAGTCGTTGAGGCACCCATATTGCCTCTCAGTACAAGAAGCAGTCTGCAAGGCGTGTCTAAGACACATTCTTCGAATTTAAAATTTCAATCTTATGAAGCCCATATGACAACTCCAATCCAACATCCGTAAACCAAGAGGATTTGGGGGTTTGTCGGGTAGGGAACAAAGAACAGTTTCGGTGTGAATCCAAAGCCGGTATTTGCTTTGACCGTAACCCTGGTTCCACTTTCGGGTTTCGGGTTTGGGGTTTGGGGTCCCGGCCTCTTCGATCCACAGCGCAAGAGCCATGCAAATACACTTAAAGTGCGCCTTTAACTAACCATTGCCCAAGACCCCCCAAACTTTCACGGCTCCGAAGACCTTTCGCCGAAATCCGCCTCAGGAAAAAGACTTTGTACCTTCGAAAAAGTACCAAACACCTAGACAAAACTTTCACCCCTAAACCCTAATCCTAAAGCCTAAATAACCCTAAACCCTAAACCCAAAACTTTCACCCCTAAACCCAAAACACACACACCCGAAATCTTGAATCCTAACCTTGGAACCGCAACCCTAAGCGTAAATCTTAAACGTTAACCCGTTAAACCCTCAGTTCCTTAACCTACTTGGAGGGTCGAGGGACCTATAGTAAGTAGTTATTCTATAGACTTATGCGCACCATAACCCAAATTGAGTCCCTCTTAGGATACGTATAAGTCTACTTACCACCTACTTACTAAGTCCCCCGACCCTCCAAGTAAACCCTAAGCCATGACCCCAGGCCTGCCGCATTGTTCCTGTAACCCCAACCCTCCCTAAGGCTCCATGTACCCTTATAGTATATACTTAGGGCCTTAAAGTACCTACATAGGGACACCTTTAAGGCTTAAGTATCTACTATAAAGGTACGTGGAGCCTCTGGGCCTGAGCCATGACCCTAGGCCTGCCGCTTTGTTCTTATGTAACCCCAACCCAGAGGGTGCAAGTACCCAAATAGTAGGGATTTAGGTCCCAAAATCCATACTCTGAATGGTTTTTGGACCTTGAAACCCTACTATTTGGGTACTTGGACCCTTAGGGCCAAACCTTCCGCCGACGGGATGCGTAATTCGGATGAACATCAGGATGCCGGAGTCACAGAGCAAAGGCTCCTTTAGCCGGTGGGTTTGCCAGGACCCAGAGACTCCAATATCCCTTTTATTAAGGAATATTCCCTAAATCATATTAGGGACCCTACTATAATTTAAGGAATATTCCTTAATTAAGGGATATTGGACTCTCTGGGGAGCCCCCAAGTGCCCTTTACAGGGATCTCCTAGGGTTTAGGGTTTAAGGTTCAGAGTTCCTAGTCCTATTAAATGAGAATAAGGGGCTACAGTAAAGGGTAGTTGCGGGGGTTTAGGTGGAGTCCAGGGCTTACGCTTCAAGATTTTAGGCGGGACATGGCAAGCAGCGAGACGGTTGTGCCCTAGATTTCGTGCACTGCAAGCCGGACATCCAAGCACAGACGGCTAGGTAATTCTGAAAAGCGGTGCTGGCCCTAAACTCTTACCGCCTAAACCCGAAGCTAGGCCCATGGAATAGGTTTTTGTCTCCGGCTTTCGCTCAAATCTGCCGCCCGGTCTCTATGGTACATGTTTACGCTTTAGTATAGGGTTTTGGTGTTTACGGCTTAGTGTAGGGTTTAGCAATCAGGGTTCGGGGTTTAGGATAGGGTTTAGAGTAAACGGGACCAATTCAAGCTTGATCCAAACCATCAACCCTGAACCCTGGACCCCATAAAGGGCCCTTACAGGAACCCTTAAAGGGCCCGTAAAGAATCCTTAGACGAATCTCTCAAAAACAGACCTTAAAGGATACCCTTAAGTTCCTTTACGGATACTATAAAGGTCCCTTGACGGGCACGTGTGTCAGAACACAATTGACCAAGCAGGGTCCCTGTTTGAGGCGCCCAAGCCAGGTACCCTAGTCCAAGAACCCCCTCGTGTTGAATACCCTCGACCGTTCGCCCCCTTTAATGCACTTGTTTGTACCCTTACGAACCCTTGAACGAGCTCTCAAACCCTCTACACCCTAATCCCGTAAACTCAAAACCCTAAAGTCTAAACCTTATCCCTAAGGGTCCAAGTACCCAAATAGTGGGGGTTTCTAGGTCCAAAAACCATTCAGAGTATGGATTTGGGGACCTAAATCCCTACTATTTGAGTACTTGGACCCTCTGGGTACGAACCTTACACCTGCCCTAAACCCCAAACCCTTGGAAGCCATCCGTGCCTCGACCCCAAGGCAAAGGCGAGACAGAGATGGCAGAAGCGCTTGAACTAATCCTGCAAAAACCGATCCGACGCTCCTTAGCTGCTTCCTTTAAGGGTTCCTTCAAGGGCTCCTACACGTGGTTTAGGGTTTATAGGAAGTCTAGTTTAGGGCTAGAGTCTGGTGTCGTGATGTTAAGGGTTTAAGCTCCACAGGGTTTCGGGCTGATGCGCTGTTTCAAGCGCGGGGGGCTCAAGTGCACGATAGTTGGGTTAGGTACTTCGCTACTGTTACTACTGCTCGGCTTGGTACAAGTCCTTTCGCGGTGCATGACTACACGGGAAACTGGAAAGATTCCTGATAGATAAACTCGGGGATTGTGCACCCCGTAGCAAGGCCCTGCGAAGTCGGGTATGTTCGTCTTGTGAGACTTTCCGATGACCCCTTCAACGATTCAGCAACTGGAATCCTAATAAAAACATCCCACCGCGTTGGGGGTTCAAGATAAGATCTGGTCCACGGGCTCCGCTGTTTGCATACAACATCAGACTGCAACTCTCAACCATGTGGGCAGTTTAACAGGCTTGTTTTTTACGCAAGTGCGACACGACTCCAAGAGCCGTGCGAGCCTTCGAAAGCTGCAATCCTTCCAAACCGCAGACGCTAATACCGAAACCCTCAATCGAACCCTGCATAATCATCCCGAACAGACACCGAAGTCCCCCTTTCAAACTCAGCCGTGGTGCAACCGCCAGGACTCATTGTTTCGATGGTTGTGCAGCGGCGGATTCTCCAGCCATCTTCGGTGGTCACCTTCCCAAACCCCATTCAAGGATCTATACTGCGGTTTCTCAAGCGTGTGACTAAACACTAGTTACTTTTTGGGTGCTCAATCTTCGTGACTTTGACTTCTATTGTCAAACTGCCAGTGAAAACGGGATCGACATCTTCGAGTGCAACGAAGTTAAATATAGGGATACACCTTTACATTGTGATGCTCGACTGTTGGAGGGTTTGGGGGACATTTACAGGATTCGTCGTCCCAGCATGGTGACTGTTACCCGTCACGGCTCGCACTTAGTGGCAGTAGCAAGGGCAGAACTAGCAGCAGTGGTCGCAGTCGTAGCCGTGGTCGTGCTCTCAGTGGCCAGCACCAGCAGTAGCAGTGGTCGTTGTCGTCGTCCCCAGCAGCAAGAGGAGTGTTCGTGATACCCTAAACCCCTAAACCCCTGAACCCTAAACCCTGAAACCCTAAAACCAACCCTAAACCCCTAAACCCTAAACTTCCTAAACATACATAGCGCAACCCTAAGCTGATTTTCAGTGGCCAGGCGCCTCCTTCTAAGGCAAAGAGAATGCGTCGCTCGAACTCGGACTGCACCACGTAACTGCGGTTGAAAACCTGAGCTCAGGGTTTGGGGTTTAGCGTTCAGGATTTGTAATGTAGGAACCTGAATAAGAAACCGTGCGTGCGCGTATAACCCCAAAATTGAAGGATTCATATAGTAAACCCTCATAAAGGCCCAAGGTTTCTTAATCAGGTTCCTACATGAGGGTCTCGGCGGGATGCTGGCGGGTTTGCTGGATGAGGACCAACCCGAACTTCTGCAAGGCATGAATGGTGGTATGGTTGATGATATAAATCCTGCATATTCCTGCATTACCTTGAGGACCCTAAACTATGGGATTTATGGTATATTCCTGATTATGGGTATTGCAGGATTTACATTATCAGCCGTATGTCTGCTATATTGCAAGCTGCAGACACCAAGCTTCGGAACAGGACATGCGTGCAGGCGGTTTTAGTGCAACACAACTCGAAGACCCCAACCCGAAAGACTCGACTTGGAAGGGCAGGGGACTTAGTAAGTAGGTTATAAGTAGGGTTATAATTGGGGTAACTCCATGTAGGGTACTTATAACTCTACTTATAACCTACTTACTAAGTCCCCTGCCCTTTCAAGTAAACCTCTAAAACCCGAAACTCCATAGACCCCTTTAAGGAACCCTATAGATCCCTTTAAGGAGCCCTTTAAGAGCCCTTACTAAGCCAGCCGACTGCACTCTGCACTCGGATGTTCTCACGCAGCTGCTGCAGGAAATGCACCACGCGATCAACGAGTTTGGGATGCTCCTTTCCCAGAGACTCCATGTACTTTTAGAGTAGGTACTTTGGCCTTAAAGGGGTCCCTATGTAGGTACTTTAAGGCCTAAGTATAGACTATATGGGCACATGGAGCCTTAGGGTTTGAGGTTTAGGATTTACGAGTTTAGGGGGTCTAGGGCTTAGGGGTTCAGGGGTTTAGGGGTCTAGCTGTTTTGAGTTTAGGGTTTGGGGATTATCAGGGTTTGGGGACTTTTAGGGTTTATGGGATTAGGGTTGATCTCAACACGTCTTCAAGCTGCTCCCTGCATGACTGCTTCCGACAAGACCCATCGGAGACTACCGGCTTCCTAAAGAGCCCACGATGCTTGAGGTTGTAGGTTTAGAGTTTAGGGTTGAGGGTTTATTTTTGAGGGTTTGGGGTTTCGGGTTCAGGGTTTAGTGTTGAAGGTTTTAGGGTATAGCTCAGAAAAGTTGTCCTGAAAGGGTTAAGGGCTTTTGTTGAGGTCCTTTTCTCCCAATCCAGCGAGTCTGCAAACTACGAGAGGGATAAGGGTTTAGGGCTTAGGGTGGTCGATTGCATGGTTCAGGGTATATGGTGGGCGTTGCTAGGATGAAGGGGTGTTGGGCTTTGGGTTGATCAGGGCCTTGGAGCTTTGCAGGAGCAAAGAAATTATTGGATCCAAGTGAAGCCGGGACACGGACTCTACACGAGACAGGGGTTCAGGGCTTTGCTGTGCACCGTTTAGGGTTCTCATATAGGGGTTCATGGCTAAGGGTTCACCTGCACTAGAATCACTAGAAGCACCGACACGGCAGAACGAAGTGCTTTCCTGCTTGAAGTGGGCTTCGTTTCAGCAACATGTGCGAAAATACCCTTAAACACTGGGCCCCAGACATATGGGAGTTTCCGAAAATTAGGGGTACCTTATTTGGGGTACTTATAACAAGGATCCTACTATTTAGCGTGCTATATTAGGGTCCCTATTGTCGGAAACTCCCATATCAACGAGGCAGAGCACCGACAAAATTTGTGCCAGAAGGTGACCCAACTTTGAGTCCGGAGCCCTTAACACTCCCAACTCCGTAAACCCTAAACCAACCCCTAAACCCCTAAACCCTGTATCACAAACCTAAATAAACCCTACACCCTAAACCCTCAATCACAAAACCTAAACCCAAAACCCTAAACCCCAAATTCTACAGCCCTAGACCCTAACACCCTCCAACAATCTCCACAAGACGTTCAGAACCGACTCTCTGCGCCCAGGGCTCCATGACATCCTCGTCCACCTCAAAAACCTGTTTCAAGAAGCCATTGGGTCTTGCGTCGTGTATGCATATTGAGTTATATACATATATATATATATATATATATATATTATATTATATTATATGTATATGTATATGTATATGTATACGTATACGTATATGTATATGTGAATGTGAATGTGAATGTGTATGTGTATGTGTATGTGTATGTGTATGTGTATAACTATGTATATATATATATATATATATACATATATTCGTCGTCCTTTCTGTCTGTGAGTGTATATATATATATATATATCCATACATATATATATATATGTATATACACATGTATGTAATTTTTGATTTCTTGCTTGCTTTTCGGAGGAGAGGTGTGTTGCAGGATGTCCCAGCATGGCAACGGGGGGTGTGCTGTAGGCGCTTAGTTTGGGGGGAGCCCGAGAGCAAGGGTCGAGAAGGTTAAGAAACACGACGACGACCGCCACTGAACGGTTAGGGTTTAGGGTTTAGGGTTTAGGGTTTAGGGTTTAGGGTTTAGGGTTTAGGGTTTTAAACCTTGAAGCAGGATTCCCAAACCATCATTATATAATTTATGTTGCATGCTATATATTATATGTTATATATCCTGAACCCCTAAACAACCCTGAGCCCTGAACCTTGACCCCACAACCCTTGAAGCCAACCCCTAAGCTCTACACTTTGATCTTTAGGGTCCCGGCATAACATAAATTCGGGGTGGCACTGGAGCACTGCTGAGATTCCGAGGCCGGCGCCTTCTCTTCCAGCTCAGCGAATTCGTCCCAGACCATCCATGCACAAGCCCTCTCAACGATGTAGAGGAAAACGTCGGAAAAGAAGACCAGAGATGCAAGCAGGCAGCAGATAAACGGACCCAGGACCTCATGGAGGCGTTACTTGCTTGCAGAACTACCCGTAGCTCTTGAACACAAAACTTGATGGACACCTTATACAACCGGAAACCCTATGCTTTTTGGACACCTTATAGAACCGTAAAGCATGTCAAGGCCTCCACGCGCGAGATCTTCTCTTGCTCGAAGAGTTGGAGTGTTTGCCCAGTGCTAATCATCCGGGCCAGAGGAATTAACCTCTCAGGTTTATAGGGTTTTGGGGTTTTACCCTAAACCCTAAACCCTAAACCCCTAAACCAAGTAACCTCTCAGGTTTAGGGTTTTGAGTTTTAACTCTCGGGCTGAACACCCTGGCCCAAAATGTTGACCTTTTCAAGTTTCAAGTATAGTAGCATCATGGGGGTTTTCGAAAATAGGGGATCCTGAAATAGTACCACTAAATAGTAGGAACCTTATTATAAGGACCCCACAATAAGGTACCCTTCATTTTCAGAAACTCCCTTATAGAAACCCCAAAAGCTTCAAAGTTACCTACTCAGCGTTAACCTAAGCTATTCAACAACTGCCTTGGGCAACTTGTATACTCTTCGGGATAACAGGAATCCCAAAACGAACAGCAAAAGGTAAAACCCTAAACCCTAAACTCTAAGACCCTAAGACTAAGACCCTAAACCCTTCGACCCAAAACCCCAAACCCTAAAACCCTAAACCCTACCTTAAGCCGGAACAACCTACCTTTTTAAGGACTTATATAAGGAAACCATAATAAGGAACCCTAAAAAGGTAGGTTATTCAGGGTTAAGGTAAGCCCTAAACCTCTGAACAGCGTAGTAGCAGGGCTATAGGAGCCCAGGAAAGCAAAATGCCCAGCAAGCGGAGAATTGCATCACAACCTGCGAAAGCCAGGGCTTCTCAAGGCCTACTTGGAGGATCATGGGACTTAGTAAGTAAGGTTATAAGTACCTTAATTGGGCTTATAAGTAGTTATAAGTATAGTTATCCTAATTATAACCCGAGTTACTAAGTTCCATGATCCTTTAAGTAGGGTTTATAGGGATTTGGGGTTTAGGGCTTCGGGTTTAGGGTCTCCTCGACTACTAAGACCTGACATCCTAAAAACTTAACCCGAGACCCCTCTCTAGTATTCCAACTACTAGAGTTCAGGGTGTAGGGATTCGGGTTTAGGGAGGTGGCACAGGAGATGACCGAGCTAAGGAATTCGCTTTACATCATATTGAACCCCTTACGATTTGAGTGCCCTTCGAATAGTCTTCCGTAATGTAGAGGTATCGGGCTCTCTGAACTAAAACCTCCTCTAAAGCCACAACCCTGAAACCCGGAAGCCCAAAAGCCTGCAGCTTAACATAACGCTCTGGGGCTGAGTACCCGAGGCCAAGAAATTTTCAATTATGATAGGATTATCTAAAACCTAAAAGGTTAATGGTTACCCAAGACCCTAAAAACTTAGTTAACCCTATAAACCCTAGAGACTAAATTTGTAACTAAATCCTACAAATCTAGTTCATTGTCGGGATAGGATGAAAAAATGTACATTTCTATTCCTTCTTGGGTTTCAAGCAGCCATAAAAATGTAAAATGTAACCCAACTCTGACAAAGAAACCCTACTCAGCTACTACGAAGAGCTCTTTGGATCAAGTTGGCCTGTTCTGGGCCAGCCCACCGCCCAGACGCCGTAAGTCGCCATCAGCGGCAGAGCCAAAGGCACGAGAGGCGCAGATGCGAGGATCCTTGGGGTGCAGGGTTTGTGGTTCGGTTTAGGGTTTAGGGTTTAGGGTTTAGGGTTTAGGATTTAGGGTTTAGGGTTTAGGATTTAGGGTTTAGGGTTTAGGGTTTAGGGTTTAGGATTTAGGGTTTAGGGTTTAGGGGCGAGGTTTGGGGTGTATGGTTTGAGGCTTTAGGGTTTGTAGGGCCCCAAAAAGGCACATAAGCAAAAATTAGGATAGGGATATCTCATATAAACCCCCTTATAATGAAGCCCAACAAGGTGGGGATATCCAGGTAAAATGCTTATGCTTATGTGCTTTTTGGGTCCCTAAGTGTGGGGCTTTAGGGTTTGGCGGGGTTTGGGTGGATGGTTTGAGGCTTTAGGGTTTGAGGGCTTTCAGGATCCTCCAAGTACCCTTTAAGAGGGCCCATGTGGTCCTTAAAATGAGGTATAGGGTTCTGGGTTTAGGCATTAAGGTTTGAGGTTTGGGGCTTACCTTCACTCACTTGTAGGGTTTATTATCATGCCTAATGTAGAACCTTCGGGGATCCTACACAAAAGTAGGTTGTGGTAACTCACGGTGGGGTTCAGGGATTAGGAGTCCCAATTCAGAAGCCTGTTAAGACAGTGAAGGGCTCAGCTTTCTAGATCTTGTCGCGCATCTGGGCCGGCAGGACGCTTTTGCTTTGGCAGGGCCATTATGCGATAATTCGGGGAGAGATAACTGTCGCCAGTCTGATTCACAGACCCCATGCAGCGAATAGGGCAACCGTTTGATGAGTCACAGAGTTTTTGATCTGAACCACATTAAGCCCCAAACCCTCAAACGTGAGTACTCTTTCTACCGCCCATGCAAAAATGAAAGATATAAGACCGTAGCCCAGGGTCATGCTGAGAGACAGCAGCACCAAACTGAGAGGAACTTTGTATGCCTCGGCTGTGCTTCTCTGCGTTTGGCGGTTTTTGTTTGAGGGCCCTTTTTCTACCTGTCGAGCAGCTAGCATTTGGCGGTTTAGGGTTTAGGGTTTTAGGTTTTAAGGTTTTGGGCTTTAGGGTTTAGGGTTCTGGGTTTTGGGGCTTTTCCGAGGCACAGGGCTGGGTTAGGGTTGAGGATGTCGCGAAACCGGACCTTCACCAAGTTTCAGGCTACACTTCAGCTTTGAATGGGGCTTCAAAAAAGGTAGGGCGACAGACCCATGCATGAAACACATGGATACCTGGATCCGCTGGACGCGACTATGCGTTCAAACTCGTAAACCGTTTATATCGCTTAACGGGCCTGGCGTTGCGTTCCAAACAAGAACAGCGATGTCGAAGACAAATGCTGTGTCAATATCCAAGCACCCCTTCCGAGTTCACAAACATCTCTTCCGGCATCTTGCCGCTGACATAGTGCACAGAAGCTTTGTAGGCATTCTGGAACGGCGACAGACAACCGTCCCGCCAGACCTCAGTACCTGCCACATTCAAAGACCCGCAGGTGTCGAGATCCCGTGAAGCGCACAACTGTATGCACGTGAACCATGATCGTCTATGCCGCTATGTATAGAGCTAGAAACCAGGCAATCATTTGTCCAACACTGTGTGTCTCCATGCACACATGTACGTATATAAGAGGTGTGTAACCATCGGTATCTATATAGAAGAACCAATCAAGACACACACACACACACACACACACACACACATGCGTGCACACTTAAACGCAGATTCAGACATACATACATGCGAAGACGCATACAGCCACACGCACGCATGTGACCGAGACGGAAACGGAGACCGAGACACAAACAGAACTACAGTAGCATTGAAACAGACACGTAGACACGCAAACACACAGACAGAGAAACAGACACAGACACACACCCGCACGTTTGTTTGTGGTTTATCTCTCTCCTGTCTCCCCCCGGCTCTCGCTCTCTCTCTCTCTCTCTCTCTCCCTCCCTCTCTCTTTCTCTCTCTCTCCCTCCCTCCCTCCCTCCCTCGCTCTCTCTCTCTCTCTCTCTCCCGGGCATAGGGGTCGGTTAGGCCCCCGGGCTTCAAGACCACCCGCATGTTTGTTATGCGAGTTTTGGGGTCTCTCTCTCTCTCTCTCTCTATCTCTCTCTCTCTCCCGGGCATAGGGGTCGGTTAGGCCCCCGGGCTTCAAGACCACCCGCATGTTTGTTATGCGAGTTTTGGGGTCTCTCTCTCTCTCTCTCTATCTCTCTCTCTCTCTCTCTCTCTCTCTCTCTCTCTCTCTCTCTCTCGCTCTCTTAGCAAATACACTATACACTGTAAACTCACCCCTAAACCCTAAACCGTAAAAACCCTAAACCCTAATCCCTGAACCGAGCAAGGCACCTCCAGAACCAAAGCCGCTGGTGTCGACTCTGCTGATCCGAGGTTGGAGAACCGTGGAGTACACCCCGACATCTTCCATGAGCTCCATGGCTTCAGGGTGTCTATCTGCTTTTGGCTTTCTATCTCTTTAAGGAGCTTGAGAGTGTCTATCTCCTTGAGGAGCTTTCGGGTTTATGGCTGTAAGGAATTATGGGCGTTGCAGCGGGATTCCATAGGGGCTTATAGGGCTTAAGGTTTCGGATTTAGGGTATGGGGTTTATGGCTTTAGGATCTTACTGGGTTTTTATGGGTTTTTACAGGGGGGTTATAGGTCGCTAGGGTATATAGGGCTTAGAGTTTAAGGGTTTAGGAATTCGGGGTTTAGGGCTCCATGTGTTTAGGGCTCAAGAACACTGAGTTTTAGGGTTTCGAAGGCTTTACGGCTTCAGGGCTCTGTGGTTTAGGGGCAGCTTCCATGTTCTGTGACGAGTCAGTTGAGCCGGGCTAACCCTTGGGGTGAAGCACTGCGGCAACAGTCGCGATGTTTCAGGTCTTCAGGGTTTTGATTAAGGGGTTTGTCTAAACATATTATGTGCTCGCTTCCTAAGCAAAACTTCCATGGAGACCAGTATACTTTCCGAAAACAGGGGACCATAATAATAGGACCCTAACTAGTAGGATCCTCACTATAAGGAATCCCAGGTCCAGTACCCCTAGTTTTCGGAAACTCCCATGTGGCTGGTTGTCAAAATTATGGTCCCTTTTTGGGTCCTTAATATAATACGGCACCTAATATTTAGGATACCCAAAAAGGGACCCCAATTTTGACAACCACCCATATATACTGTATGCCGTAAGGGGGCACTACGCAGGGCCAGTTTCTTCGAGTCAGTCGAACAAGGCCCTGTCTGCAGATTTAAGCGTCGTGAAACAAATTCAAGGGACTTCGAGTTTCGGGCTTAAAGCTGGCTTTAAGGTTTAGGATTAGGGTTTAGGGTTTAGGGTTTAGGGTTTTGGTATAGGGGTAAGGTTGAGGATGTAGGGTTTAGGGGTTATAAGGTTTAGGGTCGAGGTGTAGGGTTTTGGGTTGAAGGTTTAGGGCTAAGGTTGAGGAGTTAGGGTTAAGGTTTGGGGTCAAGGTTTAGGGTTTTGGGTTGAAGAATTTGGGGTTGAGTTTTGGGCTTCGATTTTTTGGAGGCTTCCATGGGTCTTTGGGCTCTCAGCTCCATGGTTGCGAGGTTTCGGGTTTAGGATTCGGACTTCATGGGCTATAGGTTTAGGGTGAAGGGTTTGATTGGTTATGGTTCAGGGCTTAGGGTTCCATGGGTTTGGGGAACCTAAACCCTGAACCAAAACCCTAGAAATTCCACGGCTCTTGAACCCTAAACCCTCAAACCCAAAACCCCCTTAAGCCCAAGAAGCCCTCAAACACTAACCTAACACCCTGAACCCTATACCCTAAAACCCTTAAACCCCCCGCCAACCCTTACATTTCAGTCAAACCCTCGCAGGTCGGACTTGCAACGCTCACACCTATAGGCCCCTAGAGCCCGAAACTCCGCATTTAAGAAACACACCTTCCTAGTTTATCGGGTATCATGGGGAACTAACGGTTAACCTTTTTGGTTATATATATAGCTTATATAGGGACTACACTACCCCAAAAAGGTTAAAAGTTACCTACTCTACTACTACCCTAGCGCTCCTGGACCCTTGTCAGTGAGATCCCGAACCCTAGCCCCCAAAGCCGAAACCCTCCCCCAGAAAGCCCAAGACAGTCTTAGGAGCCTTAGGGTAGGGCTTAAAACCTGAAATCGTAAGGCATTGCGGTTTCTTGGGGTGGGCGGAAGACCTCAGGTCCTGAACTGCTGAACGAGTAGGGTTTAGGGTTTAGGGTTTAGGGGTTTAGGGTTTAGGGGTTTAGGGGTTTAGGGGTTTAGGGTTTAGGGTTTAACGGTTTAGGGGTTTAGGGTTTAGGGGTTTAGGGTTTAGGGGTTTAGGGTTTAGGGTTTAGGGGTTTAGGGGTTTAGGGTTTAGGGGTTTAGGGTTTAGGGTTTAGGGGTTTAGGGTTTAGAGTCCCTTAAAGCTTGAGGTGCATTGCTAAACCGCAAGACGCAAAGAGACCTCGTCACGACAGCTGCCGGTCAACAGCTGCGTACCGTCCGCGGACACATCCTCCGTTCCGGAGATGTCGGGATCAAGTTCTCTAAAGGGCCTAGGGCTTTAGGGGTTTAGGGTGCAGGGTTTCAGGCTTTACGGGTTTAGGGTTTTAAGGCATTTAGGGGTTTGGGTTTAAAAGCTGTGAAACTCAGTAAAACTTCCATGCATCATAGCTTCACTCCTTAAACAGCCCCTCAGACCGTCACCCAAACGAGAGCTACAACACGAAGGCGAAAACGGGGCTCTGGTTAAGGAACTTAATTTCTGGTACCATCACAAGGATCTATAGTAAATCATAAGGTTTCCTATTATGGTAACTTAAATTCCGTAACTAGCCCTAAGAGTCACCTGGGAATAATAAGGGTGCCCTTTTTGGTTTAAAGGGGTTTAATAAGGGAACCAGAACCCTAAAAAAGGGAATAAGGGCTTACTCTGGGTCCTAGTTAATACGAACCCAGCAAAGCAAACCATTGTTTCCAAGCCCCCGGCGAGAGCATCGCCACAGATGTGCGGCCCGAAGATCGCTCGCACGGCGTGACCTTGGGTTTAGGGGTTTAGGGTAGGGCTTAGGGTGTTTGGTGCAACGTCTTTGGCATAGTCTGGGTTCTTGAAGCCTCCATGGTTTGGGGTGTAGGATTCTTCCCTCACACGAAAAAGCAAGAAACCCCTAAACCAGAAAACCTAAACCCAACACCCCTAAACCCTAAACTCCTAAACCCTTAACCGCCAAACCCTAAGCCCCGAAACCCTAAACCCCTAAACCCTAAACCCAAACCATAAACCCTATGCCCGAAAACCTGAAGCCTAGAAGTCGGCTCGGTTCCTCAGAGTGCTGCAAGAGCATCGACTTGGTTCGGTTTTGGAGCCTTCTCAGGGTTTATGGCTGAGGGCTTGGGGTGTAGGGTTTATGGGTTTATGGGTTTGGGGTCTAGCATGGTTTAGAGTTTATGGGTTTGGAGTTTAGATTTATAGGTTTAGGGTTCCGGGGTAGCTGCTTAAGGCTTGAGGGCTCCTGTGAAGCTTCCCTTTCAGGTCCCTTTTCTGGGTTCATAAGGGTTCCTTCTGGGGTTCTACGGTTGATGATATAAACCCTGCATTACCCAGAATAAGAAATATATGGGAATTATGGTATATTCCTTCTTATGGGTCATGCAGGATTTATATCTACAGTTCGGACCCAGGTTCCCTTAAGGGTTGGAAGAAAAGTTCTACCCAGAGACTCGAATATCCGCTAATTAAGGACTATTCCGTAATATTCCTTAAATTATAGTAGGAGCCTAATATGATTCAAGGAATATTCCTTAATTAAGGGACATTGGAGTCTCTGGCGGGTATAAGTAAGGGGTTTAGAAGGGCTCTCTTAAGGGCTCTAGAAGTGTATACGGTGTTTTTACATAGAGCTTGGGGGAAAAAAGAATGCCCAGCTGCAATGTTTGGTTTCAATACCTTAGACGCTTACACCTCGTAAACATTAAGGACTGCTCTTTAGCTCATAATAAATGGCTTTTGGTTCAGATTTCAGGAAGGTCGCGTTTTCTAGGGCATTGCTTAAACATAGTGCTTCTGCCATTGGGGCAGCCGTGTTCTTTCCGTGCTAGGTATCGCAGCACAAGATACGGGAACTTCATGAACAAGGGACCCCTTCAGAAAGTTTTCAGAAGTTGTTGAAAGGGTTGTTATAGGATCGTATGTAGGGAATCAATCAAGGCTGCTAAGGCTTTACAATAACTTTCATAGGTTCTTTTCAAGGGTCTACTGTACTTGCCAGAAAGATGAGAAGATGGTTGTGGGGTAATGTAGGAACCTGATTAAGAAACCCCGGGCCTTTATTTGGGTTCCTTGTATGAACCCTACTAATTTGGGGATTAAAGGCCCAGGCTTTCTTAATCAGGTACAGGGACTGCAAGGGGATGTTGTTTCTATTCACTTCATGATTCTCTTGAAGACCCTAGAACCAAAAGCTTCTTTCGCATAATTCCCATCTGTGCACGTTTACTGCACGCGCCAAATCTTAGGAGCTTCGACTCAAATTGAGGCTCATGCCGGCGCGTAAGTCCCAGTATTGCACCTCGACAAAGCCAGAACCCTAGGGCACCTACCCTTTTAGGGTTCCCTATAATATGACTTCTTTATGTAAGTCCTGAAAAAAGTGGGTGACTTGAGGTTAAGGTAGGGTTTAAGGCTTAGAAGCCCGAGCCCTGAACCTGAAATCCGACAGCCTAAGCACCCTGAGCCCTAAACCCTAAATCCGACAGCCTACCCCCAAAAAATAGCTGAAGCGTGAAGGCTTACTAAGTTCGAAGCTACAAGGTGGGAAACCACAGTATCTCGTCGGGTTGGGTGTCTTGCTAATTGTTGCGGTCTAGGTTTTGCCACTACAGGTTCACGGTTCGAGTTCTGGGCTTACAGATTAAGGTTCATGAAGCCTGAGTTCGTGCGCAAAAGCGTTTGAGGCCTGCGATCTGCCTCAAACCCTAAACCCCAGCTCAAACGATTCTAGTCAACAGTTTGGTATAATTCGCGGATTCGGGTTTAGGGTAACTATAATTAATGCAAACGCGAATGGGCCTTACGGATTGGCATGCGTCTTGTAACGACCCAGAACCCGGGATTCTAAATTTGCATATCTGGGAGCTCTGCCAACATGTGGGAGTTTCCGAAGATAGGGGACCCTAATAGAGTACCCTAAATAGTAGGATTCTAATTATAAGGATCCCCAAAAAAGGTACCCCGAACTTGCGGAAACTCTAAACCCGTAAAGATCCCTTTAAAGGAACCCTTATGGTACTCTTTAGTAACTGTTTAAAGGAACCCTCAGGTACCCCAAATTTGCGGAGACTCCCATGTGGGTCAATGTGGGTCCCTGCAGCTGGAACGCCAAGGAGCAGGAACGGTCTTCCATGTGTGCCGGAACATGGCTTAGGGTTTAGGGGTTTGGGATTTAGGGGGTTAGGGTTTGGGATTTCCCCTTAAAAGTAACCTGCACCTGCGGAGTAGGAGTGCTAGGAACAGTAGTCTCAAGATCCTTGAGGTTCTGGCAGTGTTGTCCCATCCGCCAGAGACCAATCCCCATGGCCTCAGTTGGCTGGGGAAGGTTTTAAGGATTGAGGGTTTAGCGCCAACTAGCCTGTTCAGTAACCCACTCCGAATAAGTATAGTTTTGTTTAGGCTTCGTATTTTAAAAAAGGAACCCAGAAACCTGAAAATAAAAACGTGTACCGCTGAACAGCCTGGCCAATCTAGAAGCCTACAGGACTAGAGTAGGTTTCATTGGGCTTCTGTTTTCCGATTACAGTAGAAGCCAGAAAGTTGGAATATCATTATCGTAACCCCTTTAAGGTAAATGATAGGGGATCCTACCATTAATCCATATTCCAACTTTCTGGAGTTCCCTTTAGATTGGAGGCATCTAAGGAACAGTAGTATGCAGTATGCTTCACAGAGACCAAGCACTGACAGAAAAATCTATCTGTCTAAGGCCTTCACACCTTGCAATCCACAAAGACCTTCATCTGATTGGATAGACCCAACATATCGGCAGAGCACCATGACTACACTGACATCCCAACAAAATCTAGATGGTTTACACACACACACACACCAAACCCTACGCCCTAAACCTTCCGTGACACAGGATGGATCAAGAACTGGCGTGGCACGAGACTCTGCAGGATAGGTTTCCTCCGTTTAGGCCCTGCTTGGGCTCTAGGGGCTTGGGGTTTGCAAGCTTAGGCCTTTAAAGGGATCTATAAGACTGTCTGTAGGGTTCTATATGGGTACTTTAAGGGTAATTCTCTCAGTTCGGGCCCCCTTATCGTATTATGAGAGTAGCTTACTGACTTCAGCTTAAGGCTTCGGGCTCAGGGTAAAAGAGCTCCACAGGAGGATGCCAAAATACCTACATAGTTCCTACATAGTTCAAATCAGGAAATATGCTTCGGGCAAGTATCCTAAACCCGAAGCGCCGAAGCGCTAAACTCCATATAGGTTCGGGAAAGTATCCTCTACCCTAACCTTATATCCTAAACCCCTAAATCCTAAACCCTTAACCCTAAACCTTATACCCTACCTGGACCCTAAAGAACCTACCTTTTTTTAGGGTTCCCTAATATGATTTCTTTATATACGTCCTAGAAAAGGTAGGTTATTTGGGGTTAAGGTAAACCCCATATAGGTACTTGGGGCTACGGCCCCTTTGGATAGCAAGTGCCCACTCGCTTTTCTCTCGGCGGCACGTCGAGGAAATGAGTCGGCGTCTTCGTGCAAGGGATGGAGTAGGGTCCCTTCCCCAAGGGTCCAAGTTGATTATACTCTCCAAAATCCTAACCTACTGTTACATAACTACAATCCTAAAACCGACTACCTAATTATTGGGTACTTGGAGTAGGGTCCCTTTTAGCTTAGTTGGCGAGTTCATAAGCCCGCCCAAAAGTGTACACTTTCAGACTTATATTGGGTGAAATTATCTCAAAAAGTGCAAAGTGAATACACTCAGCTACTAAGTTAGGGTTCCTTTAAACTGTAAAGGGTTTAGGTTGTAGGGGTTCCTTTGAAGGGATCTATACGAGTTTCTGTAGGGTTTCTATAATGGTACTGTTACGGTACTATAAGGGTAGTTCTAGAAATTAGGGTCCCCTTTTCCGGGGTTCGTATTATGAGAGTGTCGTACAATATCGGGAACCCAAAAGGGACCCTCATTTAGGGAACTACCCATATACAAGAAGCTGACGCTTCGAAGCTTCAAGCTTTAAACCTGTAACCCGAAACATGCGACCCTTGAAGCCTCATTTTGGGGTTTAGGGTTTGGGATTTAGGGTTTAGGGCTTAGGGGCCTTCGTAAACCTGAAACCCGGGCTTTCGAGCCTTTGTTCTCATTCCAAAGTCGTAGCGGGGTTGAGCCTCAAACTGCCATGACCTACTTTCATGTAAGATAAACTATGAACACTAACATAATTAGGGCCCTATGAAAACGCAGGTTTTGGAAGTTCAGGGTAGGGTAAGCAGGAGACACCGTCAACCCTTAACCCTAAGACCCTAAAACCCTGAAACCTGTAAGCCCTGACGCTCTCGAGAGTCTCGAGACAAGGAGGACAGCAAAACGTCTGCTACTGATTTATTAGGGGTTTTATGGGTTTAGGTTGTTTACGGATGTAGGGTTTGGGGTTTGGGGGTTTTTAGGGTTTGAGGTTTAGGGTCAAGCGTTTAGGGCTCAGGGTTGGGGCTTAGGGGTTTACCGAGCGGTCAGCATGCAAGACTCCTGACTTGAGAATTGCGCAAAGGCTCCAAAACCTCTCAATGAAGGAACCCAGAGACTCCAATATACCTTAATTCAGGACTATACCTGAAAAAATAGGATCGCAAATAAGGATGAAGGAATATTCCTGAATATGGGAAAGTGGAGCCTGAAGAACTATCGAGCCAACGCCACAAACCTACACTGTGAAATCCTGTCAAAAGCTGGTATTGGAGTCTTTGCCTAAAGCTTGCTCTAACAATGCTGCTCAACCCTGAGAGCAGTGGCGATGTCGGCATCAGAAAGCGCGCCGAGCACCCCAGCCAGTGGCTGCGACAGAGCACCTGCACTTCATCAAAATGACTGTGGAAATTCTCGTCCCGGCTTGACCCTTAGGCCCCAAGGGCGCACGTACCTCGCAATCATATACTCTCCCAAATACTAGCCTGCAATACTACTATCCGATACTACCCTAAACCCAAGTACCTGACTTTTAGCCCCATTGGACCCTTAAGGTCAGAGTTAAGGGCGCGGGCTTCAGCTGTCGGGCTCAGGAGCATTGGGACAGCTTACCTTGAGACTCCCAAACCCGCTGACTCAGGGCTATTCTTCAATTATGCACATGGAACCGTCATATTAGATACCTCACGAAAGAGATAGAATAGCGCTACCACATTTTCTATGCATAACCGAAAAAAAAAGTATAAGAATACTACTTTCATAGTCTCCGATCGGAGGAGCTTTGGGGTTCGCGTGTCGCATCCCAGGTTGCCTGGAGTCCCCAAGAAGGCGTTCAGTGGACATGGATGGGTTTCGGGGTTCAGGGTTTAGGGTTATGATTTTTACACAGCCTTCATACTGCTGATGGACAAAATCCTGCATGACCCTAAGGACTCTACACTATGGGAACTATGGTAAATTCCTTAAAAAGGGTAGTGCAGGATTTTGTCCATCAGCAGTAGTATTGGGTTTAGGGAAAGGTTTGGAGCTGCACAGACGAAGACGACTGCCATGTTGTCAGGCCGAAGAACTGGCACTGCCCTGGGTGCGAAGCAGAGCTCCCACTGGATTGATCCTCACTGTCCTGAAGCTGTCTGGTTCTTAATAGGAAAGGGGGGAATGGGTTGTGGAGAGACTATTATTTGGGATTATATAGGGACTACTATAGGGATCCATGGGTTATGGAGACTATTATTTGGGATTATATAGGGACTACTATAGGGATCCATTCCCCCATTCCCTACTAAGCACCAATCAGGAAGTCGCCATGCGGATTTGTTTAAGGCACAAGATCTTTCGTGTCACCGTCCGCCGGAGGGTACCAATCCGGACGAAGCCCACACCCTCAAGGTTGAAGAGTCCAAGGGTAAAAGGAGGGACCCTTAATAAGGACCCCTAAGTATATACCCTTAATATAGCTATTATATACCCATTATATAGCCGGTAAGGATCCCCATTAAGGGTCCCTCCTTGTCCCCTTTGGAAGAGGGCTCTGAGGCTGACGAGCCGCTATGCCATTCCGGGTCTAACGCCCAAACCCTAAACCTTAACTCCTAAACTTACTCCCCCAATAGCCACAAAAAAAGGTTATTAAACTTTCAGATTACTACTAAACTATAAGAGCCCCAAGAGTTTAGAAGTTTGGTATTGGAGAACTGAGTAAACCATTCCAGCACTTCGAAAGCTACCTTCAAGAGCTGAGGACTCCGACTTGTTTTTTTGCTCTCTAGGCCCAAACACCCCACTAAACCGAAGTACTACTGTTGACGGACAAAATCCTGCAGTACCCATTATAAGGAATATACCATAGTTCCCATAGTTTAGAGTCCTTAGGGTCATGCAGGATTTTGTCCATCAACAGTACGAGCCCCACCCCAAAAGCCCTGCGCAATAAATTCCCCTGATCGCCCTAAGTGCCTTTGACAACGAAATGCCTGCCAAGAAAAAGAACAACCGCAAACCCCACCGCCAGCCTGTGCTAGGGATAAACGATAGACCCCAAGCCCTAAAATAACACCGTAAACCCAAAGCACTAAACCGGAAGCCTAACCCCTGAACCCTAACCCCTGAACCCTGAAACCCCTAAAACTTTCAACCCTAAGCCCTAAGAGCCCTGAGGCCCTCAGGTGCCTCGCTCAAAGGCTTCCGCAGCTTCGCCCAAGCAAACGGCGTTTGCTACAACGCCTTGAGGAGGGTGCAGGGTTTAGGGGTTTAGGGTTTAAGGCTTAGGGTTTAGGGTTCACAGGGTTTAGGGCTTAGGGGTTTAGGGTTTAAGGCTTAGGGTTTAGGGTTCACAGGGTTCACAGGGTTTAGGGCTTAGGGGTTTAGGGTTTAAGGCTTAGGGTTTAGGGTTCACAGGGTTTAGGGCTTAGGGGTTTAGGGTTTAAGGCTTAGGGTTTAGGGTTCACAGGGTTTAGGGCTTAGGGGTTTAGGGTTTAAGGCTTAGGGTTTAAGGTTCACATGGGGCTTAGGGGTTGAGGGTTTAAGGGCTCAGGGCCTAGGGGTTTAGGGTATGTCAGAAGGTGGTGGTAAAAGTTGGATTGTGACGTTCCACCCTATTCTCTGGCGGCTGTGTGTTTGTTGGTGTTGTGCTGCTCTTGTTTGATCATCGGTTGCTTTCGTTCCACTTACATGCATACATATGTGTGTATATATATATATATATATATATATGAAGAGAAGATGTATGTGCGGAATAACTAAACATAAATGAGCGCCCTAAAACGGACAACAAAGAAATCTACACCGTAAGCCTAAACCCGCAAGCCTGGCTTCTCCGGGAGCCTTGGGAACAGTCGATCAACTTCGCATTCAGAGGTTCACCTAGAGTAAGGACTTTCAAACGTTTAAGGTTGTTGAACCGTTGAGGCTAACTCCGAAACCCTAAACCCCATAAACCCCAGAGTTTATGATTCAGGGTTTAGGGTGGCCAGAACGCTTCATGGCAAATCCGAAAGCCTACAGTTACCAGTACCTCCTGAAGCGTGAACAGTAGGGTCCTTGATGGCCCCCTTTTAGTAAGGGCACCCTTTTTCCTACTATTCTGTTTTAAGGAGGCGACCCCAAAAGACAAAAGACAAAGACACTAGTCAGGAACCTAGATCATGCTAAATCCGAAGGCGTACGGCTAGCTCCTGAGGCTTCATCGATTGACGGGCTGAGGGGCTGGCGCAGTGGGGGCTTGGGGGGCATGGCAGCCTCTAAACCCTAAACCCCGAACCCTAAACCCTGGTCATGGGCCTGGCTGGGTGGGGGGGGGGGGGGGAGGCAGGCTAGTGGGGCTGGGTGGGCTAAGGTGCTTGGATATTGGCTTGGAATTGGGCTGGGATCTCTTCCCACACATTTAATGCAAACTCGAAATTAGAGAATATGCAACTCGAAGCGAAATTCACGCAATTTCTATTCATCCTGCTCTTGAGAGTTTAGGGTTTAGGGCTTCGGGGCGTCATGCCCATCTAGACGCGAAATGAGACGTCCCAAGACCCGAGACGTAACCGTCCTGACGCACTTAACATGCTAGCGGCTACCATCCGAAAGTCTACCTGGACCCTAAGAAACCTACCTTGCAGTGTTCCTCAATAAGTACTTTAAGGCCTAAGTATACTAATGTACATGGAGCCTGGAAGGGCCTTCAACCCTGTACAGATTACACAAAAACCCTAAACTCCTCAAACCCCAAAACCTCAAACCGCCCTAAACCTATGAACCACCCAACCCCTACTCACTACTCCTAGGCCCCACAGCCCCGAAACTCCTCCTCAACCCCTGAAACCTAAACTCTAAACCCTGGATCCTAAACCTCAACCCCTAAACCCCCTAACCATCCTAACCCCTCTTGGAAGGGCAGGGGACTTAGTAAGTAGGTTATAAGTAGGGTTATAAGTACCCTAAATGGAGTTACCCCAATTAAAACCCTACTTATAACCTACTTACTAAGTCCCCTGCCCCCCGAAGTAACCCCTCAACCCCATCTCCGACCGAGGCACGCTCTGCAGGCATTGCGCGGAGGAGCCATGCGGCCTGGAGCAGAGGATCGGCTGGGACATAGGGGGGCCTTAATTTTTTCGAGTACGGTTTGGGAGTGTCCGAAAATTAGGGGTACCTTATTCAGGGTTCTTATAACAAGGATCCTACTATTAAGGGTACCATCTCAGGGTCCACTATTTTCGGAAACTCCCATTTACGAGCTCCTCTTAAAGTCTTAAAGGGGTCTACAAGGGTTCCCCAAAATAGCTCAGCATCGAGGTATTGATAATTGGGATGGGGTTGTGGGGACAAGTAAAGTATCATGGTAATAATGCCCCCGCCCCCCCGAAGCAATAGAACTAGCAGAGGGTATGGTAAGTTACTATAGTATAGTACTACATACAATGAAACTATGGAATACTGGTAAGTATTGCGATCCTCATGAGTACATTAAAGTCCCCTTTGCAGACTCCAAGAGCACATTAAGCTATTACTAGGTACTCTGACCCCGAAATTAAACTTAAAGGATCAGACATAGGCTTGAGGCTAAAGGTATAGATTTACATACACGATTTAGGGTTTGAGGTTTAGGACTGAGGGAGTTTCAGGTTGTAGAATTTAGGCTGGCATAGGGATATTGCTTATGGTTTAGGTTCAGAGCTTCAACCGTGATTTGCTTCAGGGGTTTCGGATTTATGAACCTGCCAGCCCCACAGATGTGGCCTGGAAGGTAAGTTCTGCCAAAGTGCTGAAAACAAACCCTACCGCTCCATGTACCCTTATAGTATATACTCAGGCCTTAAAGTACCTACGTAGGGACCGCTTTAAGGCTTAAGTATCTCTACTATAAAGGTACATGGAGCCTTTGGGAAACCAAGCATGCCGCCGACTGGGCCATCTTTGGGATATCCGGGGTGGGAAAGCATCGAAGCCAGCGAATAATTTGGGTACGGCCCCCATACAGTAACAGTCTATAATAGGGCTACTATTAAGGGCCTTATATATCTATATTATGAATATTATCCAACTGTTACTGAGTGGGGGCCGTACTCAACTAATAATGGCTGTGGCCCGGTTGCCCTTTTCAATAAGACCCGAGCGCAGTGCTCTGTAGCCTTAGACTTTGAGCTTTCTGAGCCCTGCAAACCGTAAAACTCACCCGACCCTACAGAAACGGAACTCTTTACTATTTACTATAGGGGACTAAACAACTAGAATGGGGTTTGGGGGTATATTATACTATAAAACAAGCAAGCCCCAAAATAGTACTACGAATCTTGATTCTGCAACAGGGGTTGGCTTCACTGCTTAGCTAGCTGCCTAGAAAGATGATGGGCAACATGCCCGCTTAGGTGAATCCCTCTTGAAATAAAGGCTTCCACCAGGGGCTAAGCGTTCAGGGTTCTGGGTTTAGGGGCTAGTGAACTAAGCTGCCACTATGGGTTCAAACTGTGTAGGTTCATAGTAATCAGCTTGGTGGACTAGAGAGAGGAAACAACATTTGTGTCGACAAACCAAAAACTCAAATCCACCCTAGGCCCTAGACCCTAAACCCATGCAGGCAGGGCCTGTTGCCAGGCGCCCCTGCACGCGCCCAAGGCTGCACCGAACGTGATGGCCTAGGTTCTCAGAGACTCCAAATCCCTGCAAGTACAAAACATACCGCACATCATGTTAAGGATCGCGGCAGGTTAGGGTTCAATTAGGGTGCTGCTGATGCCTTCAAGTAGTGTTGCGTTGATTTGGAGGTTAACTCACGAATACCCGGTTTGCAAGTTTTTTTATGCCACATCCTTCCATTCATCAAAAGATGGCCCGCAAGCTGTCCTCAAACCCTACAACCCCCCCGCCCCCCAAACAACCCAAACAAGGACTGCTTGCCAGCACACGTTGGGCCGCAACCTGCCCGGAGCGAGGTCTGTAAACCTGCGACCCGAAACAAATGAGGGTTTGACTGTGGCGTTCGTTCAAGGGTTCGCTTTCACGTTTGAGGGCTCTGTTTCTTTGAAGGGTTTCTGTCGGGTTTTAGGGTCCTTTTAAAGGATTACTATGGGGTTGAATGTAGATGGGTTTTAGTGCAGGGCTCACTTACAGGGCTTTAGGGATAAAGAGTTTACGGTTCCCTTGGAAGGCTTTTGTGTCTACGGCTTCAGGGTTTTAGGTTTTTGTCAAGGCTCTAGGGATCCGCGCGAGTGCTTTTGAGCTACAAGAATAAAATGGCCCTACATTTGGGTGGTTATCAAAATTAGGGTCTCTTTTTGGGCCCCTATTATAGCACGGCACCTATTATTTAGGGTACCCAAAAAGGGACCATGATTTTGAAAACCACCCATTTAGACTAAAGAATCTTTGAAGGGGTGCGTCATGCTTTAAAACTAAGTGCATTTGATTGGGGATCTATCGGGGTTCAGTATACAGATATGGATACTGCATCGGGAAAAGCCTCTGGTGACATGTTACAGGCGGGCCAAAGTTACTTGTCCAGTATCCTAGCGGAACTGAAGGTTAACCTTTGGGATTATTTCGGTGGTCATAACCCCCATAAGGCGAATAGATTGCCTGCTCTTCTACTGAGTTCCCGTTTACATGCAAACACGTCGTCCTGAAACATAGCCCTTGCTTGAACGACGGGGGACACACTTTGTTGGCCGGACCTTTCCTACTATTTGCTCAAGAACCCCCCAAAAATAAAACATATATTCCTTATGGGGGTAATATAAGGATTAGTATCTTTATTTTTTGGGGGGGGGTTCTTAAGCAAATAGTAGTTTCCTGTCATGTAATCAAGTGTTTCAGTGGCTCAGGGCGATTAGCCTGAAGCGCTAAGCACTTAGAGTCCATGCGTTTCATGGTTCAGGGGTCAGTGTTATAAAGATTAGGGCTCGGATTTGGACCGAAAAGCAAGGTTTCGGGGATCAGGGTTAAGAGTTCCGGGCTGTCGTGCTTTATGCTTTTAGGCCTTTGGGCCCTCTAGGCTCCCTTTGCTCCTGACTCAACGATGAACAACGGTCTAAAGATTCATTCCCATAGGCCCAGGGAAAGACGAAACTAAGCTAACAGCATCATGCTGACCCCTTAGGGTGGAGGGTTTACGGTTGTGGACAGTAGTATCTTGAACCTTGGAAAGACAAGATGAAGCTGTCAGCATCATGCTGACTCCTGGCTTAGGGTGGAGGGTTTACGGTTCCATCTCGAACCCTGAAGCCTTCACCCTCGTATCGCCAAGATGTTCAAAGAATGAGGAGGACTAAGCAGAGCTTCCTAGACCTGAATCCCCTATGACCCTAAACCCTTATCCCCTGAACCCTTGAGCTCTAAACCCCTAACCCTGAGCCCTGAACCCTAGACCAAAATCCCTAAACCCTAAACCCTGAGCCCTAGATCTGAACTCTGTGGGGGGAATGTGCTCAGAAGGACAATTCTGACAAAGTAGGCTCTTATGAAAGCAACGACGTGTTCAGGGTGTACAGGTTTAGGAGAAGTTTAGGGTTAGGGGCTTTGGGGTCTCGGAGGGGTCTGAGAAGATCTCATCAACAAATCTGGCTCGTGTACAAGAGTTGCTGTACATCGGGAATAAAACACTCAAACACAAACATAAGTGGGGGTTCCTTCGATATGGACAACTGAGAGGTCCCTAGCTCAACAAAGATTAACCTTTTCAGCTATAGTTGGACTATACAAGCCCCAATGAAAAGAGAATAAAAGGATATCTGCTCAGCCATTAAGACAAGGAGCAGCTGCAGGGCTGGCTGCCAGCAGGAAGCTTTTTCGCCTTGTCACAGATTCCTTTACTGTACTTCTACGGGACTTAGGAAGTAGTTGAGGTTACAAGGGCTCTTGTTGGGATCATCTCATAAACTGGTTTACAAGGTCGCCAGACACTCTATACCATAGTTCCCATAGTCTAGGGGCCTTAAGGTAGGGTTTAGGGTTTAGGGTTTAGGGTACTGCAGGATGTATATCATCAACAGTAGGGGTACTTGAGCCAGACCGAGATGCAGCTGCTCAGGGCGCTGTTGTAGCTGACCTCCCCAAGAGCCCACTGCTCCGATTTAGGGTTTATAGGGTTTCAGGGTTTAGGGCTTAGAGTTTAAGATTTAGGGTTTAGGGCTTAGAGTTTAAGATTTAGGGTTTAGGGCTTAGAGTTTAGAGTTTAGGGTTTCAAGGTTTAGGGTTTAGAGCTTCGGGTTTCAGGGTTTACGGTCTAGGGTTTTAGGGTTTATAGGGTTCAGAGTTTAGGGCTTTAGGGTTGGAAGATACAGAGTTCTGTAGGGCTGTGCGGGCTGCCGTGGGAATTTCTGAACATGCCTCCAATCCACAACTGCAGGGTTCAAGGGTCAAGGGTTTGGGGCTCCGGGTTAATAGGGACCACCCCGTAACCTATCGGGCCCTATAAACCCTAACCTATAGGCCCGCAAGGGATCACTCCAAACCCTACAATGTTGAAGAAACCCGCCCCCGGCCATGTCTGGCTGCAGCATGCGATCGTTGAGGGTGCCCAAAAGTGCCAGAGCAACCGGCCATCGACCTCGCTGCTCACCTGACGGGATCGGCGAGTTCAGTTTTTAGGGTTGCTCATTCTGAGTATCGCTCCCTAAACAAGAAGCCCCAGAATAATCTTCCCTAAACCAGATAAATATGGATAGCCAGTGCTCCGCCCAGCCCTGAACACAGATGCTTTGACTTTACCCCCCCCCCCCCACATGCGCTGATGGCAGCATTGAAGGTCACCACATTCGCCACGACGTCCACAGAGCACATGCTCACGAGCAAATGAACCGCCAGTTGCCAGTGTGCTGCCTTCTCCTGCGGGGAAAGAAGTTGATTGAACCCCATAATGACGGGTGCAAGGCTGAAGGTTAGTAGGTATCATAGCTACATCTCATTAGCAACATCCCCCGTGCGACTGCGACTTGGAGGAGACTCCAAGAACACGCAGCCGTTTGCAGAAGCCGTCTTTCAACCAACGAAGTTTTGCGAAACCGTAAATCCCAACCCCATAGCCCTAAACGGCCTAAAACTAAAACCCCAAAAACACCCTAAAGCCTATACCGAGACCCTTTCAGCCCTTAGAAATTGGACCTTTTTGCAGGCGAGGGGCGCAGGCGCTAATGAGACTGCCGTAGCTGATGGTGTCTGGCATTACCCTGGCCACCAACATGACCGAGAGAACCTTACTTCTGGTTTCGGGTTTTGGGCTTAAGGCGTTTATGGCTTTAGGGTTTACAAGCACCATGAAGGTGTCTTGTAACTCGTGGATAGTGGAAGAGTCGAGCGCTGGTTCTGGGAAGCCCAACCGAACACCTTGCTCAGTTTCGCATTTCACGGCCCGCGACAAGTAACTTCTGTCTACCGAGTCTGTTTCAACGGTGTTATGAGTCATGAATTCTGTAAAAAGAAATATGCAAACTGAACTGCCAAGAGTGATGCATGCGATCCAGTTGCGACGGGTTGAAATTTTGGGCTCAGGGGCTTAGGGTTGTGTTTTCAGGGTTTGCTGTTTAAGCTTCAGTGGGAATTGCAACGTAGAAAGCCAGGTGTATAATAAGAAACGCTGCGGAATAATGTTGGTAATCCTTGGGGCTTTCCATATCACTCAAATACCAGATTCTTCAACCCTGCTCACCAATTGCAGGATCAGATTTCGCAAGTGCATTGTAGTTGACGCCAATTAGACGCACCCTAATGGAGTTCCCCGGCTTCCAACAATACGTAGAGACTTAGAGCCTGCTTCAATAAGTTGCCAGAAGCTCCAACGACATACGTAGGCAACTTTATGCTTTTAGCAGGGTTTGGGGGCAGATTAAAGTGTAACGATATACAGCAACCAAAGGGGTTCCGGTAGCAAAAAAAAACGAAACGCCAGATACCTTTATAACCCTAAACCCAAAACAGTCATGGGACTGCCAGGGCCATTTCCCAGTCCCCGGCTCGCTCACAGGCGGCCATCGCGCCGCAGTAACACACCAGATCTGGGCGAAGCCTTTGGGGTTCAGGGTTTAAGGTCAGGGCCCAGCTTAAGAGTCAATAATTTTAGGGGTTGGAAGGTTTGGGTTAGGGCTCAGGGTTTGGGGGTGAAGGTTCAGCAGATGGGGGGTCTGGGGTTAAGGCAACAATTTTAAGGTTCGGGGTTGAGAGTTTGGGGCCAAGGTTTAGAGTTTAAGGGTTCCCTAAACCCTTCCTAAACCCTTATAAGCCCTAAGGACGGTTGGCATTTCCCACTACAGCTTCGCAATGTCTGGCTTTCCCGGCAGGCCTAAAAGTTGACTCCGTTGAACGGAAGGGGTTGGTTTCCAGAATCGACAGTTCCGCACATGCTTGGAGGAGTCGTGTGAGAATTGCGTCACACGCCCCTCGTGGTCCTCCTGAGTCCCCCAACGGGGCATGATTTCCTCCTCGGCGCCTTCTTCATATTCTTCGTTTCCTCACGCGTAACGACGCCACACCAATCAACATTAAAACCTCGCCTTCTGAGGAACCACCCTATGGGGGACTGCAGACGCCATGATTCACGCCATGATTTCGTAGCCGGTAACGACGAGGCGCTGCATGAAACATCGAAGTTTGCTATTATATCTACCTGTTGGTCTGAACCAAGCTCGCACACAGCTTCGTAAGAATTCTGTGCGTCCAATGGAAAAACAAACATGACGTGTATGCTCTCAAACACGCGTAGCGTCATGCTAGCACAAGTTTCGTAAGAATTCGGTGCGGCCACAATCATGCAAGGGTGGGTTCATCCCGAGCTCGTGTTCGGTATCACTGCGGGGTTGTCGCCTTCCTGTAAGCAGCTCGGGTTATGTTTGAACTTGCAAAAGGACAGCTCATGCTTTCGGCGGGCATAGTCGCGATCAATGGAGGGAGCGGGCTCGTGCCAAGCAAGCTACCGGCAACTGCTCTGGAGTCCGCTGCCTCGGCTTGCTTCGCCTTCTCGGCGGAAAGCTCAAGCAGCAGCTTCCCGACACCGATAACTGCTTGGCATGCAGCGGACTTTTCCTGGGCTTGAAACTCTCTGGCGAGTGGGAAACCCTGTTGGCGTCCGCTTTTGCTGCAGAAGGAGCAGGCGTGCCGGCTTCTTGTAGACACTCAGAGTTGAAACACCGCAACTACCAATATGAATTTGGGGTCCCCCATTTGTGTTTCTATGTTGTCCCTGTGCGCGGGCGCCACTAAGCCCGGATGTTCAATCCCGTGGTAGCTTCTCTTAGTGTAACGTGGTCAACGCCGGTAAATCTTCGGATGGAATGGCAACGAAAGACCGTGACGTCGTAGTTATGTTTGACATGAAACAGGGTTGATAAAGTGTGATCGACTTTGCATTGGTTCGACATGGTCTGTAGATATGCTATACTCAATCTTTGCATGGTGTGAACACATAGGGACATGGAATGCAAACACTTGCAAAACAAGATGTAAACGAAATGACTATTCGTCAACCATCAACTAACGATGACCCAAATATCGAGAAGGTTCTTTCTTGAACCTGCATTGATACTGGCTAGTGCAAGGAGCACTTGTTGGTGGCACTCGATTTGTGTGTCGATGTATACATGCACGTATACATATGTGTATGAATATTACATAAACTTTATATATTGGATTCATGTTGTGCATATATATATATATATATATGTACATGTAGTTATTGTTATATATATATATATATATGTATAAATAAATAAATATATATATATATATATATAGATGTGTATATATATATATATATACATATATACATATATACATATATACATATATACATATATACATATATATATATATATATATATATATATCACCCTTATACCGTATAGTCACACATGCATGAACCAGTGTATGTGAACTTTGCAAGGAGCTAAATAATGAATTATTAGATGAAGACAAGTATATATGAATACGTGATTATTGAGTGTGTGAAGATATATGCATACTCACATGTTCCTTGTTGCCGTCAATTTCGGATGCATGCAGAGTTCGCCAGTGTACTCCTGAGCCTGGCAAGGCACCAAGCAAGCCCCCTGTTCAAAATCTGACATCAGTTTGCAAATGCCGCAGGCCGGCTTGAAAAAAACTCAGCTGCACAATGATTTGGTACCATGTGCGCCATCCAGGCAGACCGAATCACTTCAGTCAAGTCCTACGTTCGAATCCCAACCCTTGACCTCTTTCTCGATACCCTGATAGGTCGGAGCACTGGTTGCCGAACCTGTTCGTGAAATATGCCATGTCTCGACTGAGACAATAGGCCCCATACCGCGGCAACAGGCGGATGTGCACAACGTATGCCGTAAGCACACGATGTCACCAAGACATAGAAGCAAAAGCCTAAACCTGAATTGTCGACCATGGCTCGGCTTCCGTGACTGGCCGCGGCAGCACCTCTGGCAAAAGTTGCTCAGCTCCTGGCATGCAGCAATCATGGCCAGCTGTGCAGTAGCAGGCTCCCGAGTTGTATAAAACTCTTTTACAGAGATGCAATGCTGGAGACACAACGAGAGAGAGAGAGAGAGAGAGAGAGAGAGAGAGAGACAGAGAGAGAAAGCGAAAGAGAGGCAGAATGCTTCTTGCTTCGCGCATATGCAGCAGGCTAGATTTTTGCTGGAAACTATCATAATCATCGAGCTAGTTCTTCTTGTAGTGAAGAGGTGAAGACAAAAGCTTCGCAGCAGAAATGTGCAAGCCCGGGCTTCGAAGGATTCACGGCTTCTGCAAACAAACCTCTGGATAGCCTTTATTTGCTTCGCAGTCGCCGAGTCGCCCCTGCTACCGCCAGCGTTGGCGGAAGCGCCCGTGGCGCGGTGGTGGCGGCAGGACCTGAAGCAAGCCTGTCGCAAAGAGATGCTCGCGACCTACCACGCATCGTGCGAACAGGTATGGGCACCGGGAGGTGCCAGCTCCAAATTGGCAATATAACAGCCGAGGCTGAGAGCCCATTGATCCTCCCAGGGTGCAACAAGAAGACGTGTCTCTGTCTCTGCGCCGCCTGGCGTTCCAAGACTTGCAGGAGTTTGAACAATCTTGCCATCAGACCCAATTCGGCCTGCCGACTCGATGATTGATATAAAGACGGCTTGACGGCGAGCCCTCTCTGGCCCGCTCGTCGCGCGGCAGGCAATAACAATGCTCCGGACCGACGGACATGGCGACGCAAGGCTTCCACTCCCGTCCGAGAGGATGCGAGAGGCTTGTGTTCGTCTGCGACGACGATATATGTACATATACATACTCTCTCAAACAAGCACGACAACAAACCCCCTCTCGCACTGGAACCCACTGTGCTGAAGTGCGGATGCCAAGCGGCATGCGGCACTGTGACCTTACAACATCAGAGCAAGGAAAACAACCAGGCCTGGTTCCCCGCCAGTTCGAGACGAGCCACATCAACGGGCCGGGATCTTTTCTCAACAAACGAGTGGCAGGAGAGCAGGCGGCAACTAACTACGAGCGGCTCTGCCTTGTCGACGAAGTCCAACATCGCACATGCTACCGCTGCCTCCGAGCCCGTAGCAGTGGTATGAGCGGCACTTGTCATGAATTTGCCCGCCTGCGTTGGACTCCGTCATGAGCAGTCGTTTACCAGGCGGTGCTCGGTGATAGTCGATGTATTCATAGTATAAGAAGGACACACCATCACCGCACCACCTCTGGAGCGTAAAGCCTAAACCACCAAAGCATGTAGGTGCCAAACATCAATCATCAGAAGGGAAAGAAGGCTTTCGAGTTTAGGGTCGAGGGTCTAATGGCGATTTCACGAGTTCGATCCTTTGTAGCTTCGGCAAATACCCTAAACCCTAAGCCGAAGCCCATACCCTGTAGGGTGTTTTGCAACAGCAAACTCCTTCCCAACAGCTGCCTAGGAGCAACGCGTCTTCCATGGACTCAAGAACCGCAAGGGCCTTGCACAGACTGCTGCTCTGGGAGTTGGGGTTAATGTAGACCCGTGATATAAGGCCCTTAAAAGAAGGTAGTCCACCAAATAGTTTGTTAAATACCGAATAAATAGTTCATTAGACCGTAGCTTTTTAAACTCCTCAATGAAAGGCAATCTGCTAAGTTGCTTCATAAAATGCCCTAGCAGAGATTGCAGCAGGGAGCCTTAATTTAAAGCCTTCAAAGAAGCGAGTTAATTAAACACCTACACCACGGGTTTAGGGTTTCGACAAGGGTCAGATACGGCACTTGATGACATGGGACAATTGTGTTGTGGTGAGGGCTATGGCTAGGGTCAGTACCAGCACGACGTGGTGAGATCAGTTGCAGTTGCCTAACCAACTACCTCGGACAGACCTGCAGCGATGGAATTACGGGGTGCGAAGCTGTGGCTCAGCACGAAGCAGATGCATCCGGTCCAGCCTCCGATACATGACTGCTCCTGGCACATGCAGTGATGGCGCTGCTGTAGCTGACTGCATCAGTAGAGATCGAAAAGCCTTGACGTTGAAGTAACCAGGGAGAAAAAAGTATAGACGTTCATTTCATAATGGTTCCTTTAAGGAACAGGTACCAAAAAAATATTCTTGTATGGTACTCCAAACCCAGGAAGCTCGAGGACGTGTCCAACAGTAGGAGAGATCTTTGCCATGGAGCGGCTTTCTCACAAATGCTCATGGCAGTGCCATGGCAAATGACGTCTACCTGCGAGTCTCAGCAATTATCAGACCTTAAGTTTCTCATGACCTTGAGTTAGTGGACCTTTGAAGGAACCCCTTTCAGAGTCCCTTAATACGAGCCCTATTCTAATCATTACGGCCCTTATCCTACTTGTCGGGTATCATGGGGAACTAAAGGTTATCCTTTTTGGCTATATAGGGATTATATAGGGACTATGCTACTCTACTGCCAGGTTATATTCCTCCGAGTTATTACTCGAACCCTAAACCCTAAACTAAAACCTAAAACCTAAACCCCCTAAACACTAAATTAAACCCCAAAACCCTAAAATAAACCCT